TGACATGCGCTTCCGCCATCTGACTTTGATTCTTGTCGCCGCATATCCTTTTCTTTGTCTTGAACTTTGTTCTTCAACTTTGGGCAATTCTTTCGAATGTGTCCTTCCTCTGAGCAATAGTAACATTTTACCCTGTTCCGCTTGCCTTCCTTCTGAAAAGAATCTCTGCTGAATCTTGCATTTGCCTTAATCTGCCTCTCCAGATTATCTATTTTATTCTGCATTTTCTGCATCAGCGCTTTTAAATCTCCAGACTCGGAAGCTTGAGCTGGTGCTTGTCCCTGACTTTCAATAGCGCGCAAATGACTTCTTTTCTCGGTCTTATAGTAGGCGTCAAGTTCTACTGCCAGGCGAATAGCTTCATTTAGATTCTGGGGTCGACTTTGTTTAATGCGTAGTCTCATATCAGAATCTATCAATCCATCAATAAAAGCCTCTTTACCAAGAGTTTCTCTTACTTCTGCCGGTGCAGATGGATATGCCAAATACGTTAATCGGCGCACAGCTTGGCCTAGCTCAGATAGTGTTTCTGATGCCCGTTGACGCCTTTCTTTGAGTTGCGCACGGTACAACTCCGTTTGATTAGGTGGAGCAAATCTCTCTTCAAGTGCTTTCACTAAGAGGTCATATTGTTGTCCCGTTTCTGGCAAAACATTTCCTAATATCCCTTGTGCAGCTCCTCGCAGTGACACTGCTAAATACAACCCCTTTTCCTTATAATTCCAATTGTTGATAGCCGCACACGCATCAAAATGGGATTTATAATCTAGCCAAGAATGAGTTCCATCAAAGGTTGCTGGTTTAATGTTACACTTGGCTGTAGCTTTCTCACTTTGGTCCTTCTTCTCTTTATCAGCAACGTTGACTATCTGTCGGGGAAATGAGCTATCTATCCCTTGGTTTACCTCATTTCCGGAATTTCCATATCGACTCTGCGCATTTGCAGGTATTTTATGAAGTGCATCCGCAGGAGTTTGATGCAGCGCATCTGCTGATATCTGCTGCAGCGCATCCGCGGATGTACGCTTCCATGGAATCGGTAGCTGTGCATTATGCTCTAAAGCAGTTTCTGAAATCTGCGCATTTAATGAAGATCTTGGAGTCTCAAACTTGTTTTGTATCCGACCCTCATGAAATAATTCTGCATCTTTCGTTTGCGCAGGAGGCCTATTATGATACTCTCCTTGCGATGGCATTTCCAATCGAACTTGAAAAGGAGAATGCGCCAGAGTCTCACTCAACATATGGACCGGGTGTGGATGTGCACTTGACAAAATGCTCGGCGTTTTCCAATTTGGCTGTGGCACCATCGTTTCATATTGTTGAGCACGCGTAGCATAATCCCTTGTCGAACTGGGTGCATTTGGTTCTGCAGTCAAATTTCGTTGAGCTGTTTTTCTCCTCATTGTCACACCATCTAGCGCTCCTCCAGGCTGATTTCCTTGTGCGCGTTCACCAGTCAATGACGCAATTCCAGAATCGCGCATTGGTCGAGTTGTTTCAACGGGTGTAGATTGCTGTTCTATTTCAAGACGCAATCTCTCACAACTCCTTTCAAGAAAGGATATCTCTTCTTTGATCATTTCTTCCATCGCACTCATGATTTACAAGGCAAATATAACACAATTAAAAAAAAATTATCGATTTAAATTCTATATTACTTTGATTATTTGCCGAATCCCACCGCTGCCACCAAATTTATGTAACGTTTTCGGGTTCTTTTATGGGATTCGGCTGTTCTATCGGAACAATCAAATAATAAATTATTTTTCTCAATCACAGATTTAGATTAATAGTATGTACAATTATTCCTTCGTTTCTCGGGAGCGCAAGCGCCTTCCAAGGACTGAAGCGCGTCCGCTTCTTACCTTCAGTCAAACAAGAATATCAGGTACTTTATCTAAATAATATATAATCAATCAAAGTCTCGAAAGTCTATTTCAGACACATAAGACTTGATTCAAGGTATTCCTTGCAGTACCTACCACGTTTGACTTCTCTGTATACAACCGTCTTTCCAATTCGGCTGTCAGCAACAGACTAACTAAAACAACCGATTGTCTCCTTATTTATACCTACAACAGGTCACATGACCTGCGGAGAACCTAAAGGAACCAAGAAACCGGAAGTCAGTGCAACTACCGAGAAATGAAAGGATAATATGATCTCGATTACAGTTTTGGCTTCAATCACATCCGCAATGAACCCTATATGTATTGATCAAGTAGACGAAACAATCCGTAGTCAAATTCAGTATAAAAATAAAGTTTTAATACATGTAATTGGATTGAAATTTGTCAGTCCATACCTGTCTTAATGATAGGTAACACTGTAGATTCCTAATTATACGCGAGGAATTAATTTCCGCGTAATTTCGCGAGAAGCGTCACTCGCGAAAAATATTACTCGCTTTTATTTTTATGGTACTGAAATCTATGTAAATTCTGTTCATCAACCGTTCATTCGCGAATTATAATTCTCGCGATTTGACGTTAAAGACCCAGTTCGCGATAAAAAGTACTCGCGAAAAATAAAGAATCTACAGCATTTGTTAACATATGATCTTACGATCATATAATTTACGAAATTCTGACTCCGAACAAGGTTGTTGAAATCCCTTTAAACATCGAATTGTCTATCAGAAGCCTGTCTTCGCTTTTGTAAAATATGAGTTGACATGATTGAAATACAATTCGACATTAAGATATATCAACAACGTACCGAGTATAATCAATTATATTTCCATTCATAGGTCGACATGACACATCCCAGTGAGTTTGAAATAAAAAATATGAAAGGGTCTGGCACATCTGCATCAAATTTTAATATTTCATTTGAAAAGACGTTTATTGTAACATTTCAACAAAGCTTTATGATAAATAAGGACTTCCCTAATGGCTTATTTATGTAATAAAATACCCTTATCACCTGCATATGGGTTTTATATCTCTCAGTTGATACGATACGCAAGAGCATGTTGTAGTACGAATAATTTTTAAAACAAGGTAAGTTATTGATATAAACAAGTTGAAGAAACAAGAATACCAACACTATGGTCGATACAATGACCTTGTCAGCAAATACCGGCATCATCAATCATCAACATCAACATCATAAGGTCAAATGCTGATGGACATTTTTCAAATTAAATTGTCTACAGATTTTCCCGATCATGACAACGAGGACACAGCGGATCCGATGTGACCGGTCGGCAGAGGATGTTTACACCTTCATGTCACCTGATTCTAGATCTGATGCTTTTATAGGTACGTGTTTGCTCTACTCCCTGATCTGTATAATTTGATTGGGCTTCTGAGCTTGAATACGATAAAGGCCAACTAACAACTACATTGTATGACAAACGAGATGAGCTTTTTCATCGTCAACTTTTCTTATGTAGTAATATTCCGCTATCACCTGTATATGGGGTTTACCATCATATTCGGTGCTCAAGAGCATGCTCCGAGTGCAATCAGTTTTAAAACCAAGGAAAGATCGCACATTTAATTTGATGTTCCAGAGGATTCAACAACCTCATCAAAGTTAGCATTTCATAAATTCTATGGCCATTATAATGACCTTATTAGCAAAAATAACCTATCATTGGGCCGTAAAAGCTCAAAAGCTGAAAGCTCAGGTAAACCATAAATGAGAAAACATGTGCCTGCCCCAAGATTTTTTTTATTCCAGAAAATAGAAAGTTGCAAAAAACTAGTACAAAATAATTTGGATGCGAGATGTGGTTACTAGTAATTAGCTAGAGTAAAATGGAGATAAGACAGTAACAGTATTCAAGATCAAAGTCCATGAAACAATACAAAATAGGAGCAGCACAAACATGGACCTCCAAAACATTAGAGGTGGGATCAGGTGCCATGGAGGAGTGAGCATCCGCTGCTGACTGGACACACCCACCATGTGCTCCTTTTCATGATCGGAAAATAAAGGAAAAATCCGTCATCAATTCAGTGAATAAACAATGGACTAAAAATTAGTATGAAAAACATCAGTCAGCATTTGACTCAATGATATATTGTATAATTGCTGATATTAAAGGTCATTGTATCGACCATAGAACTTATGGAATGATAACTTTAAATGAGACTGCTGAAATTCTTTTCATCAACTTGTCAATAATCTATTGCGTTTAAGAAGATGTTCTTATGTAGAGCATGCTCTACTGAGATATAAACTCCATATGCAGGTGAAGGTATTTTGCTGCATAGGTAAAGGAAGTTGACGATAGAAAAATTAAAGTCGTTAAGTTTATCATAGAGCTTGGTTGTTGGATTACTATTAACGTCTTTTTCAAGTAAAATATCCAAATATGAAACAGATGTGTTACACTCTGTGGTATCTTTTATCTCAAGCTCACCAGGATATATCTTATCGACAAGCTAATGGAAATAACCATTTTTAATTGACAATACATCGTCGATATATCTAAGTGTCGAGTTGAAGGCCACAGCAAGTGTTTTCATCTTTTCATGCATAAGATTTTGCACAAATTCTGCTTCATATGAATACAAAAATAAGCCTCGTCTTCACATTAGTGTTAGATTATAAATGTAACCTTTAATTTTTTAATGTAGATGTCACTTAAGGCCTGAGAGAGACTGGAAAGAACGATCATTAGGCATTTATGCCTGCTGTTCAATCCAACAGTTCTAAACTGATAAATGTAACTCTCACTTGACATTATGCATTTTATATGTACAAATCAAAACTCATTCCAAAATGCATTAGATTTTGTTATTCACTATAACTATAATGTTCCTATGATTGTTATACACGGGCCTTAATAGACTGGATATCTTATCCTACTAAGATTTAAAAAAATACATTTACACTTACAAATACCGTCTTAGATTGTATATTTGAAATTTACTTATTTTGGGTTCACAGGTTATCTTGAAGTTTTTACACACAGGTACTATAATTTAAACAGAAAGGATCTATGATAATATCAGTAAAATCACAACAAAAATATATCTCAAAAGTAATTTTTTAGAAAACCTCATAAACTGAGGCATTTTAATTTCATATAATACAAAATGTATATTTCATTCATTTTAGGGTTCATTCATTAAAATCAATACTTTATGCACAGTTCAAAATATAATATATATTGTAATTAATTAAAATGTCAAAGATTGAATCAAGGTCTTCCAACAAAATGACTGTATAGACAAACTTTTCTTCTTCCTTGATGGTGATCAGATTTCCCACTTCCTTAATTGAAGATTAACTTCCTGCTTCCGGTATGGGCTCTGTATCTGCATCATCATTTTCAGTGTCATTTTCACACTCTGGCTTCTCTAAAGACTTGTATTCTTTAATAAGGCCCTCCATTGTATCTGCATTGTACAGTTTTAATCATACAGCTGAAATTTGGTATATCACATTGATATCTTAAATATATTGTGAATTGGAATTCCCAACAGCTTTTTTATTTATAGGTATGTATTTTAACTTTCATGTCTTGAAACATACTGTAAACGTATTACATTTGGCTGTGTATTCTTTTTAGCGCTTTTGGCGGAAAGGGTCTTCCGCTAATTCAAGTACAACGCTAAATGTCTTTTACATATATACATAAATAAGAACATTGAGAAATGAGCTAAATCAAATCTACGCTAACTCGTTCAAGAATCAATTTCCGCCAAATATCGTACACGCTAAATATAATACATTTACAGTATATCCCCTGGCCAAGAGTATTCCCCACCCAGTCTGATCTAAAATGGTTAAATTAGGACCCAAAACTGATTTATTTGCTGTTCTTCCATCATCCTTTAAAGTTTTAGCATGATCTTAACTCCTCTCTCATACATCAAAATTGCTTTGTTCCTCTTTACAGCATAGGCGACCGAACCCCCCCCCTTTTTTTTGCAAAGATATGCATGATATAGGCATTGAACATTGGGGTGAGGCTTAGCCCCCACCCTACCCCCAACTTTCAACAATCACATTGCAGTTTAGGTCAAAAAAGGGTAAGTGGTAGGGTTTGTAAAAAAAATTTGGTACTGCAAAAAGTTTGAACCTACCTACCACCCCACGAAACAGGATTTTCATGTTTGTACAATGGACACATTTTTTTTTTGGTCTGTATTTTTTATTTGTTTGCTTGTCAAGTTTTTCTGTAGGTTTGAAATTTTTTTTCTCTTTCACTTAGCCCCCTCCTCCACCACTTTCAATTTGCAATGTACAGTAAAACACACTTATAGCAAACATGTTTATAATGAATTCTTGGTGGCTAGTTTAATTGATATAATAAAGCAAATTCATTTGCTCCTGGCACGCCTACAAAGGCTACATCCATTTAACATGTTTTACATTACAAATTTTAGAAATAAGATTTTGTTGAATTTCAGCATCTTTTAACTTACTTTTGCATTCCTTCATAACCTCCTCTGCCTTTGTCTGGAAGAAGACATTACTATTTTGCTGCTGCTTGTACACTTTCTAAAAAGATGAAATAAAAGTAATGACAGAAGTATACAAAAATTAATATGTACTACAGCATAGTATAATATTCAACATATAAGATCTATTATTATTTCTCTGATAAACATGTACTTGGATGACTCAGAATGAAATATATATCATTCAATATCAGGAATTATCAACAACAGACCCATGGGCCTCAACAGTCACCTGAGTATCATAAGAGATTGAAAAGATTCCCATGAAGTGAGAACTTTAAGTCTAGAACTAATCAAGACAAAAATTTTATTTTGGTGAATGGTGAAAACTACATAATTATAAGAAAGTATGACCCAAAATGAATATCAAAACTACTATAAAATTTTTAATAATCAAAAGAAATCAAAAAAATATTTATTTAAATATCTCTACCTCTTTGACTTTTGCTTTGAAATTTCACTCTATAAACTGAATATATAAGCAATATTTTACAAAATATTTAAATAAACACATGGCGAAAATGTTCAGATGAGAATTCAGATGACTTAAAGGCAGAGATTTTAAGCACTGCCTTCAAAAATACCTGGTCTGAGTAGCCCTGTCAATCAAGTGTGTGAAGGTCCATCATTGGATGCTGGAACTTGATTGACAGTTACTTACTGGTCCCTGTGTATACCCTGTACACCTTCTTTGGGACTCGTGGTGACCTTCTAATTAACTTTTGATCCTTTGATGTTTACTGAACATGGTATACAGAAACTGTATTGCTATGTAATTTTTAGATTGGAAATATATGAATTTAATATATCTTTAGTATTTAAAAGGATTATAATATAATAAGCATTTTTTTAAAAATCCTTTGATACATAAAACTTTCTACTTTTAAATGAAATTTGAATATTAATTTTAATAGGCTAAACAGTAAACCTAGATTGGAAATGTTATTGATAAAGTTCAGAGCAGCACTGTGTGATGTAATTAAATTTAAAAACAATGTTTCTAATCATGGATCACTTATATTTTCCTTTTTTATTCAGATAAGAATTTTCAAGTAATCTTTTTTTAGCATGTTTCATGGTGACAAAGCCTTATTAAGGTTTTGAAAATCCTATAAATTTTTTAAGTGAAATGTAGTTAACATGGCTCCTTTTTCATTTAATTAATAGATGGGATTTTGGGGATGAATGAATTATTAAAGTCTAATTTGGTTGTCACAGGAGTTTTTTTTTAATTAACACATACACTAACATATTAAATAATCTTTGTTTTAATATTTGAATTCATAGTATGTAATCATAATAATTTCATGGGTAGGGGTGTATTCAAACAGTCAAAAATAAATAAATAATTGAAAAACCTTTTTACTACTAATTTACAAATTTTCTCAAAATCCCCAACACAGGTAAAGTTTGACATCTGGGTATTTCACTGTGTATTTAAAATCACTTCCTGTGTATAGGGATTAGGAGACAGATGACCACAAGTAGACTGCTAGCCCCCCAGGCATTCACACTTGTACAGAATAAGCCCCTCCCTCACCTGGAATTTACCACCCGGTAAAAAATCTCTGCCTTTAAACATGATTTAATTTAATCTAATTTTTCTAACTTATCCACAATGTAAAAAATTAATGTGTTCATCTCTAGCAATGCTCTAGCCAATAAACTAATTAATACTGTTACCGGTATCTTTTATTTGTTTGTAAGAGGAGCGCAGAGTTTTGGGATCTTCCTTAAGTTGTGAATGATTCTCACCACAGGCCATTTTAGTTTTGCAAAAAATTAATTGTTGCAGATGGATTTCAAACTTATAGATTGCGAATAAAAGTTGTTGAAAATAATATTTGGTTTAAAGTTGTATAACTGAGAAAAAAAAATTAGTACATACTGCTCCCTTCTTCAAGCTTGCTAACTCTGTCTCTAAGACTTTCTGTTCTTGAAACTGAAAAAAATATTTAAGAAATATATAATCACTTATAGTTCACTGCACTGTAAGTAAAAATGATTATTATTTGTTAATTGATAGATAACATGTTGCACAACTTGCTTCTTGTCAGTTTCATTGTTTTAGATCATGATTATAAAGAAGTGTGACGGTTGAGATCTTTATTGAATATGTATTAATTGATATTCCAGTAATTGATTATTACTTGTGTACATTGACTGATATTAAATTAGCATAAGTCTATGTTTATTATGTATAAAATATACCTATTGCTATTTTGTTAGCGTAATACGTATTGTTCTATTGATTGTGCGCTAAACGTCATTTTTATGTTATGAGTATGACGTCACAGAACGTCCCGGTCCGGGTTAGCCCGACGGTATTATTACTGACAACTGTTGTAATTTGGGGAGTGCTGATTTTCATACTGAAGAAAGTGAACGTGTTTAGAGGAGAGAGCGGTCTATATTTGACCTGTAAGCATTGTTATCATTGTTATGGGTTTTTATTGTTGTAATTAATAAACGGTTAAAACTGAAATCGATTCCTGTTAATTGATTCTGGGACTATTGGGCAACCGCCCGTTACAGAACCATCACATGAAATGTTTTCTGAGCAATGTTAATTTATTAATTATCATTTGGTAGCTCTCAACTTATCAATGATCTATTGTAAGAGTCACAAACTTACAACTTCTTGTCTGTTAACAAGAGGCCCATGAGCCACATTGCTCACCTGAGCACAATGGGTAGGAATTAGCTGCAGAACTGTAGTTCTCCGAAAAAAAAATATTGACAGACCACAGAGCTACAGACTGCCACCCATTGTAAAAATTGTATATTTATTGTGCACAAAAAGTTGTGCTTAGTTCTGGATTAATTCTCCTAAATTCTTTCTTCAATCGCTAAAGAGATTGATAAAAAAAAATTCTAACTTTTCTATGAAGTACTCTCGTGGTTGACATCTGCACGAAGTGTGTTGGACCAAATTATCTTGCAATCCAAAATGGCATTATTAATAGACAAAATTTTCAATGATCTCAATTTCAGGGCCAGGAGGGCTATTAAAAACAATTAATAGCGAACGCAGCGAGTGTTGCGACATTCGTCACTGTGAGCTCTTAAAGCAACGCCTGTGCGAAGAGAAAATTCGGACTACTGCACATTCATTTGATAGAATTTTTTGACGCAGTAATTTGGACCCACAATGCATCACTTGTTAATTAAATGAAGATACGTTCTTGTGAGAATAGCTACAAAAGTACAACTAAAAGTAAACATGCCCTGATTTAATGGATAAATATTGAAGATAAATAGTAAACGAAATGTTCTTCATTTACTTTCAGCACTGTTCAGGCTTCTTTTTGGAAATGTAACTTACATACGACGTCATGTGACGTCAGAGTCTAGACGCACCAAATGTCACGTGCAGTTTGATGAGCATGAGCCCGATCTAAATTATAACAAAATAAATATCTGCGCTCGCCATAACGGTCGCATCATCAACATATTAAGGAATGTTTTGTTGAGGAAACAGTGAAAGAATATGTAAGGAACACATGCATGGTAAGTAATATTTTGAGATGACAGTTTTAAAACAAGAGGCCCATGGGCCACATCGCTCACCTGAGAAGCTTTGACCATTCTGTTCTTTACTAGATTTCCCCCTTGTTATACATAATGCATCCCCACCCTACCCCACTGATCATAATTTAGACATTTTGAAATCTACACTACCCCATGATCCTTCCATGGGCACATATGAGAAGAAGATTTTCAAAGATTTTTCCTATATCTTTCTATGTAAAACTTTGATACCCCATTGTGGCCCCGCCCTTCCCCCAGGGGTCATGATTTGAACAATTTAGAATCTACACTATACCAGGATGCTTCCACATAAGTTTCAGCTTTTTTGGCCCAGTGGTTCCTGAGAAGAAGATTTTCAAAGATTTTTCCTATATATTTCTATGTAAAACTTTGATTCCCTATAATGGCCCCGCCCTTTCCCCGGGGGTCATGATTCCTACAATTTAGAATTTACACTACCCCAGGATGCTTCCACATAAGCTTCACTTTTTCTGGCCCAGTGGTTCTTGAGAAGAAGATTTTCAAAGATTTTTCCTATATCTTTCTATATAAAACTTTGATTCCCCATTGTGGCCCCGCCCTTCCTCCAGGGGTCATTATTTGAACAATTTAGAATCTAAATTATACCAGGATGCTTCCACATAAGTTTCAGCTTTTCTGGCCCAGTGGTTCTTGAGAAGAAGATTTTCAAAGATTTTTCTTATATATTTCTATATAAAAATTTGATTCCCCATTGTGGCCCCGCCCTTCCCCCGGGGGTCATGGAGTGAACAATTTAGAATCTATACTACCCCAGGATGCTTCCACATAAGTTTCAGCTTTTCTGGCCCAGTGGTTCTTGAGAAGAAGATTTTCAAAGATTTTTCCTATATATTTCTATATAAAACTTTGATTCCCCATTGTGGCCCCGCCCTTCCCCCGGGGGTCATTATTGGAACAATTTAGAATCTACATTATACCAGGATGCTTCCACATAAGTTTCAGCTTTTCTGGCTCAGTGGTTCTTGAGCAGAAGATTTTCAAAGATTTTTCCTATATCTTTCTATGTAAAACTTTGATATCCTATTGTGGCCCCGCCCTTCCCCCGGGGGTCATGATTTGAACAATTTAGGATCTACACTATACCAGGATGCTTCCACATAAGTTTCAGCTTTTCTGCCCCAGTGGTTCTTGAGAAGATTTTCAAAGATTTTTCCTATATATTTCTATATAAAACTTTGATCCCCCATTGTGGCCCCGCCCTTCCCCCGGGGGTCATGATGTGAACAATTTAGAATCTACACTATACCAGGATGCTTCCACATAAGTTTCAGCTTTTCTGGCCCAGTGGTTCTTGAGAAGAAGATTTTCAAAGATTTTTCCTATATATTTCTATATAAAACTTTGATCCCCCATTGTGGCCCCGCCCTTCCCCCGGGGGTCATGATGTGAACAATTTAGAATCTACACTACCCCAGGATGCTTCCACATAAGTTTCAGCTTTACTGGCCCAGTGGTTTTTGAGAAGAAGATTTTTTATAATGACCCAACCCTATTTTTGTCTTTTCTTGATTATCTCCCCTTGCGAGGGGATATGTCCCTTCATTTTAACAATTTAAATTCCCCTTCACCCAAGGATGCTTTGTACCAAGTTTGGTCAAAATTGTCCCAGTGGTTCTTGAGAAGAAGTCGAAAATGTGAAAAGTTTACAGACGGACAGACAGACGGACAGACGGACGGACAGACGGACGGACGACGGACAAAATGTGATCAGAAAAGCTCACTTGAGCCTTCGGCTCAGGTGAGCTAAAAATGGAGAAATAAATCGAGAAACAGTACACTTTTTTTGTGCGCAATAAATATACAGTTTTTTTCAATGGGTGGCACTGTAGCTCTCCGGTCTGTCAATATATTTTTTTTCAGAGAGCTACAGTTCTGCAGCTATTTAAAGTGACAATACGGCCGACTCTTTAAAAACAGACTTGTTAAAATTTTGCTATAGGATTTGGAATTTTTTTCATACTCATAAATGTATACACTTTCAGAAAATTACAAATTTCATAAGTAAATAATTCTGATTACCGTACATCAGGATTTTTCCGCGTGTATCCAATTTCCGCTTTGTTCGCGACGAGTTCTGAATCGCAGAAGATAAAACAGCGTAAATTTAATACAAAGTTTTCTTCTTGTAGTAGAATTATTTCTTAACGAGGCTGGGGTGTGGCAGCCATTTTTAGACTATTTTTATCTCCTTTAAAAGGAGAGCTCCATATGAAGATATAGAAAATGATCAAATTTTAAAACTAAAATGTATGAATTTTTTCTTTGTGAAATGAAAGTAGACAGCTTAAATTACCGTATCTAAAAAAATGAGTTAAATCTGGTGGTTAATTCGTGATTAATTTGTTGACCCCCCAGCCTCCTTAATGCTTATATCGTAGAGGGTAGAAATAGCAGGATCAGAGGACAAGCACAAGATATCGGTAATAGGTATAAGCCCTTATTGTTTGTTTACTAATTGACAAGCTAGCTAATTATATGGGTCACGTTCCTTGCAAGAAGCTATTAAACTAATTATACCTGAGCTGCTTATCAGTTTGGAACAGTAAATGACCTAAAGTATGATTGTTTAAATCTTAAAAAATGATATCTGTGGATTGGAGAGTTAGTACGCAACACAGGTGTGTAATCAGCTGAGCGGGTCTTCCGAAATTGACGAGGTGAAGGCCGATCGATCTATTTCTCACCCATATGAAGTAACTCAAGCTAGCTTAATGACTTTACATTTTACATGTTTTACATCCAATTCTTCATAGGCTTAAACAATTGTTAAAAATATAATCACTGGGACTTTGAAATAGTGAAAATTTGATTCGTGTAAATTTGATATACTGATTTAGGTTCTGATTCGCGAAAAAAATATGACGCATAAAAAACCTGATATATGGTATTTCATTAAAATTAATAATTATTTATGGTACATAAATATATACATCGCAACATGTTCGAAGTTCCACATTCCATGCTATACACGCATGCGTATAGTTTTCATAAATAAAACAGCATGGTAAGAGAGGGAAACCCGGTAGGCCTGCTACATTGACAAAGTCAACCAAAACGAAAAACAAAACCAAAAACAGGGCTTGAAATTAAAAAGCAACTTTCCTGACAAAAATTTAGTTGGGAGATTAATATAATCATTGGATGAAGAAGAAACGGGATCTCGGCGACATTCACGTGGGGCTCACGAAGGTTCTACCCTACAGATTTGTTGATACATGCTATCATTTCTCGTATCTCCATGGCTTTCAAAGAGAAAAAAAATCAGTGTTAACTCAACATAAAAAGGCACTTATGACGTATAAAAATGATTGCCATTTGAAGTGCAAATTGTATTGGAATTGCAGAAAGATATTTTGTTTGACATTTTGCCACAATGACGTATGATTTGGTGGATTTTCCTTTCCTGCACCCCAATACACAAAACGTCAACATTTGTACTAATCAAGTTAAATTCGTCTGAATGTAGACTAAAATGTTTACTATTATTAATTTACCGGAGAGTTAAGATATTTTGATTCTGAGAATTGCTTTTATCTAATATTCCATTATAATTGTAAACCCTACATTGTATGCACGTGCCATTTTAGAATTCACGTGGTACAAATAAACAGAATTAAGTTGTACGACCCTTGATTTTCCAGCAGATTCTAATTACGTTAATTTTGTATGAGGAGAGAATATTTATTTTTCTCAAAATGCTTACTTCAACTTTTTACCTTATTCCTGAATGATATATTGGGTAAATCTGAATGAAAAAGCACACGATTTGCAGTCGTATTGCCGCTTTAAAGAGCTAAATCAAGAATAACCTGATATTGAAGATGTTAATGGCAGTTCAAGTCATTGAAACTTACGTACCTTGTGGTTCTGGTTCTCCATTTTCTTTTAATTTCTTTGCTGCTTTATCCTTTTGTCTAACACCGTAAACTTCATACAATTTGTAAAATGTGTACAGTAAATAAGGGAAAGAAACAAAAATCAAAGTCCTCTTCAGAATCCGATCAAAAGCCTTAGGTTTGGGCTTTAGCATGACAGCTATTAGCCATGAATAGACAAAGGCTAAACGGAAAAAGAAATCCACATAAAGTTTACGTTTGAAGTTAAGGTCATACAGCGAAAATGTCACTTGGCAATGCAGGCAAAACGGCAACACCGGTTATTCTTCATGCAACCTAAAAACAAAATCGAAATGACATAAGAAATCCCGAAATAATTTAAATTCCAACGAATGCGATAATTAGAGAAAGTAAATTAATGTTGCACTTTGTATGCCTCCAAATTTCCATTAGGTGTCCTAAAACATTTTTTTGTACAAAATAAAACATAATATCTAATCACTTATTACGGGATGGTAAAAAGTGTCCGTGTTTTATTCTATATCCCGGAAGTTGATTTAGGAGCCCATTAGGCCTATCATTGATTACGAGTTTCCGTTTTTTGGTCTTCTGTTTTTGCACGTTTTATTTGGGTATGACATTACATTTGTTATTCAATTAGTCATTTTTTAAACTAGGTATTAGATATTTGTAGTTTTGAAATAATTATTGGAGGTAATTTTAGAAACGTGTACCAAAAAGTGACAGCTATTGGCTCTGTCTGTGTCACAGTATCTTCTGCCTGTCTTTCTATTTTATGTTATGTAGCAGCAGTATATTCCCACAGAGCCAAATCTATATTTATTGCTGTTTAGTGCAATCTTTCAACGATTTTTTTCTTCATTTTTTGTTTATTTCCCGAAATGCCTCTGCATTATAAGCTCAAAGCCTGTGCCATTATCCACAGGTAAAACTACTTGGATTATAAAAATGCATTTACAAAAGATAAATACATAGAGAATAGGTTAACGTATTTATAATCCAAGACCCAGGTATGCCAGTGGCCACATACCAAAAAACTAAATGTTAGACCTGAGTTTGCAAGCTACCTGACGATATATCACAATATTTTACTGTCTTAATTTTATATATGAAGTCTTGTAATGTTATATTCATAAGTAATTTTGGATTAAATTGAAAATTTTTTTTCAGCCAAGGATGAATATAGGTACAGCGACAAGTGAGGAGAACCCCACTCATTCGTACCTGGGCTCGCGGGGAATTTGGATAACTTATGTCCTGATCGTGTTGATAACACACTTCATGCTTCTCACAATTCCATTCTTCTCAGTGGCTGTGGCCTGGACTCTCACAAATGTCATTCATTGTATAGTAAGTATTCTCAATTAAGTACTAGTACATGTAGTAGGAGGGGATATATTAGTACAATTCTCTGTTATTCTTAAGCTTGGACTCTCAGTAAGATGTGGTATTTTCGACGTTACATAATTAGCGTCTGAAATTTACACTGCCTTTATTCACATGGGATAGAAATTTGGGCAAATGTCAACAAGTAAAGGAATGATCCAATGACAGTGTTTAATATGGCAAAGAGATGGGGCTTAAGTCGTCTCATCTTTGTGAACAACAATTTAAAGTTGTTAATGTTGTTATTTTCTTAACCAGTGAGAATCTATGAGCCATTTGAGAGATATTAATTACGAAGTGTCAAGAATGCCATGCCTTACTGAAAGTCTAAGGATGACAGAGAATTGTACTAATGAGCTCGTTAATATGTGGGTGGGTAAGTGTGTGTTATAGAAAGGATAATATATATAGGATCTCCTAGCTGCAGATCTGTAGCGTTATGATATTATACAAGGGTCATTCAAAAAATACACAGACAATGTTCCTCATCGTCACATTATTATTACAAGATTACAGATCAACACATTTTCGTAAATATAAAAACATTTATTTTGTCAAAGTGTGAAGCTTCATTCATTTTGATTAAATAGAACTCATGTTAGCCAATTTTTAAAGCAACATGTTTCGTTACCATGGAGCACGGTTAACCAACATTGTCAGGGCTCGACATTAACGCTTGTCCGCTTGTCCGGTACCAATGAAAAAAAATTACGGACAAGTGAATATTGCTGGGCATTTGTCCGATTGGACAAGTGATTTTTCTTTGTAAAGAAGTCTTCAACTAATAATAATCATAAAATAAAAAACAACTATTGTAAAGTTTATGGAGTAAAAACGGAAGCAGTACATAAACCTGAATTTCGATCTCGATATCAATCGCTATGTAAGTTCACACTTGATCGAGATCGATGTTCACTAATTGCAGCTGAGCTGTTGCATGGCGTGGATCTTACAACGTTTGCGAGTTTGGAATATATTTGATTGATGTTACAGATTGATATTACAGATTCACTTGCGAACATATATGCTGTTGTCAGGACAGGAAGTCTAGATAAAATTTTGCTTTATATGTGTTTGTCTTATTTATCAATAACAACAGTAATAAATAAAGCACATTTAATTTTTTAATTGTTTTCAATTGACATAAGAGATTGCAAAATTTTCGGACAAGTGAAGTTGAAGTTCGGACAAGTAAATATCTTGGTCACTTGTCCGAATGGACAAGTAGGAAAAAAAGTTAATGTCGAGCCCTGATTGTAACAACAACAAAAACAACATTGGAAAAGTTTTTTTTTTCAAAATTACTCTGTCTTTTAATTTTATACACGGTTTGTAGCTCTTCTCCATATTAAAGTATCCATAACACTTATCACTTAGTTTTCCAACAATTATGCAAATAGTTTGAAATATATTGTCAGTGTTTATCAAATTCTTTACCGCATAACTCTTTTTGTTCCGCAGATGTGAAGTGAACATCACGTTTAATGATGTTCCTAACTCTTTTCAAAAGATTTTTGAATATAACCTGTTTCTTTGCACATGTTGCAGACCACCTATCGTCCGATTCAAACTCGCTACCACTCAAAAATTGTTTTTCATTTTATTCAAATACACGGTTTATTTTTCATACATTTCCTGGTTTATACAGAACTTTTTAAGTTTGTTAGAGGAGTTTCCCAAATGAAAAGCAAAATTTTATTGCTACTCACCATGCTCATTGCTCCGTGACATCCTCCAATGTCATGATTTTTTGCCTTTTTTTAATCAAGTCTATATGTATTTAGAAACTGATGTCTTTGAAACGGAGCAACATATTACATTACCTGATAGCATCTTAATTAATAAATACAATAAGACTTGATTTAAACATGTAAATTTTATTTCGTTTCAGCTCCATTTATTAGAGGTACTTGTATAAGTATAGATACTTAAAGTGAAAATTAGTAAAATACTCAATTTTTACATTGCTCCATGACCCCATTTTTGCTGTTCTAAATCTTTGATAATTTTTATAAATATGAAAATATTTTCCATTTTTTTTACTTAAATCATTCGAATTTGTTGTTAAAATATGTGTACCAAATTTGGATAAGTTAAATAAAAAAGTTAGGACAAAAGTCTACGAACTTTTTGAATGACCCTCGTATATTTGTCTTTGACCATAATGCTACAGATCCTGTAATGCAAAAAAGGTGCAATTTACGGCGCAATATTTTTTTAGCACTTTGGGGGAGAATTTCTCAACTTTCCAGCATTGGTCAATTAACTACCTTCAACTCCCTAATTCTAGGCACATTAATAACTAATCTGTATATTTTATCCATCTCTCAACCCTTTATAGTCGTCTCTACAAGTGATAAACTCGCTTGATTAAAATTATTTGTTAGATTGCTGAAAATTCACTTCAAGTGAGTTTATTGCCTGTAGAGACAACTATCAATGGTTGGGATTTGGTGAAAATATACATATTGACTACAATTTGATTTCTTAAAGAGAATTGTAACTGGGCGAATTTAAAAGGGGCAAAATATTTTCAAAGTGTGAAAGGGTGAAAATAACTCTGTGTACAGTAGTTCAATATCTTGAAGATGTTTAACAATCCCCCTCAATCCCCTCATTGACTTGACCTTCTGGACATATCAAAGAATGTTTTTATAAAGTTAAGGGAATATAACCAGATGCATAACATATTATGAAGAAAAGTTGAATAAGGTTGTAGAACATGCTAATCTTAGTTTTATGCAAACGTTATCCTGACACCTGGCTTGTTTGTCATTTCATACTTTGTTTATAATTACAGATAACATACTTCATGTTGCATGTCACTAAAGGCACCCCATGGGGCACCCCAGAACAAGGGAAAGCCCGGACCCAAACACAGTGGGAACAAATAGACTTTGGACAACAGTTCACTCCAACTAAAAAATTCCTGACAATAGTCCCAATAGTGATGTAAGTATTTAGTTCTCTTCATCTTTTATTTCTTACTAAAACCAGGATAATTTCATTTTGTACAACTCACTTGTTGCCTATATATAGATCATTTGATCATCCAGTGTTACTAAAATGAAAAAGAGAAATTCAAACAGTTTCTAAATTTGTTTACTGATCATAAGTCAGTTTATGCAAGATTGTCCTTTTTAAACCTTTAATTTTTTTACAGATTTTTCTTGGCCAGTTTTTACACAAAATATGACTCTACACATTTCTGTATAAACTTGGCTGCGCTAGGCTTCAGTGTAATTCCTAAACTGCCCCAGTTACACGGCGTACGAATCTTCAACATCAACAAGTGGTGATTGATTGACTCCTAACTACACACACTGGCTTCAGACCTGAAGTCTTATTTTAAAAAAGATTAAAAAACAACAACTGAAAAAGTTATCTTCCAAAGGGAGGTAACTTATCTGTCGGTGAATGGTTTTCCTAGGGGAGACAATCTCTATCCAGAACGCTGTACTTGTTAATAGGAACCTATGTGACTTTTAATGGGACTGATAATTTTCCCTTTGATTTGTGATAGTGCTGCATAATTTGCTGTCTAGAATAGAAAGAGAACAGTTTATGTGTGCATTTTTGAGATTGATATGAAAGCTTCTTAGTGAGAGAGATCAAACCTACATATCCGTGGTCATTTGTGTGTTTGACAGAATCTTTGTCTCATCCTGTAATTTGTGATCTATCTTTGTCTTGTAAATGAAACATGTACAAAAGTGGTATAAATGTTTTTTTAATCATGTTGACCAATGCATGTATTATCTTATTATTCATATACATTACCAGTGTTGTTATCAGATAGCACATCTGTGAACTCTTCAATTCCATCCATTCTTTCTTAGTATTGGAAGGTATGCTAATCTCTACTGTATATGTCTATAGATTACAACAATCTTGTAAAAAGGAGTCATACATTTTAAGAATATTTTCAATAAAAACAGATAAATCTTTTTGAAATTTTGTCAGATATGTATAAGTATTTTCTAATAATAAGTATAATGTTTTTCTATGTGTATTTGAGAAATGTTTGAATTACTACACAGAATTTTCATCTTTCATCAAACATTGTCATTTTTAATGTCTTCTACTATAATCATTCACTTTAATTAAGCTGATTGATGTAGCAGTTAAGCAGAATTTTAATTTAGCAGTAATTGATATGCCAGCTACAGAAGCAATTAAGAAGAAGATTGAGCAACAAATGAGTTGTTGGTTAATCAACACTAATCACGCATACAATTGGACAGTCAAGAAACAAAGTGTCAGTTTAGCAACAATTGAGCTGTCAATTAAGCAATATTTGAACAGTCAGTTATGCAACAATTAAGCTGTCACTTAAGCAGCAATTGAACTGACAGTTAAGCAACATTTGACCTCTCAAGGAAGCAACATTTAGCAGTTAGTTAAGCAACAATTGAGCTGTCAATTAAGCCTCAATTGAGTAATCAGTTAAGCAACAATTTAGCTGTTAGTTAAGCAACAATTGAACAGTCAGTTAAGCAGCAATTGAGCTGTCAGTTAAGTAATAATTGATCTCTCAAGTAAGCAACATTTGAGCTGTCAGGCAACAATTACGCAGTCAATTAAGCAGCATTTAGCAGTCAAGCAACATATAAGCAGTCTGGCAACAATGATGCCTAAGTATTAATTGAGCTGTCAGCTAAGCAAACAGTTTTGCAGTCAGTTTAAAGTGTAGCTGTGATATTGAGGTCCTGTTGATTATTTATTACTCGTAATGATAACATAAATGCAGAGTTCAATGTAAAATAAGTATAAATTTTTGCTATTTACTTTTTTAAATCAAGTCAACATGAATCTTTGCACTTACGTGTGTTTTTCAAATGCTGTTTTCTCTTCCTTCATTTAAAATTCCTTTCTCCTAAATATACTTGTACATAGGTTAAAATGTTTTTTATTAACAACTTTCAATATTACTAGTAGGTTAAGTTTACATACCTTTAAATGGTTCCCCCAAAAAGGATCAATTGTTAGCCAGAACTGAATATTGAAACATTATTGTAAATTCTGATGGCCAAAAAAAAATTTGATGTGGGAGAAAGATGTAATTATTTTACCTGATTGTTGTAATGATTGAAATTTGAAAAATGCATTCATATTTAAGCCTAAAAAAATTTGTAGGTAACATTTTGTTTTGTCTTTTATTGTTCATGTATTTTGGAAATGAAAACTGTATGGCACAATGAATGTACATGATGTCAACATCATTTTATTGTAATTAAACACAATGTACATGCGGATCGTACAGTATAAGTTTGAAATTTCCTAGAGGTATTGTAATATATAGGTACACTTGTACCCAGTCATATTTGTGCATGAATCAATAAAGAAAGGATATTTATACAAATCCAATTTCAGAATTGTTAATTCATCATCAGAAAGCTAATAATCATGCCATTGCAAATGTGTTGCATATATTGGTTGATTGATTGATTGTATATTGTTTAATGTCCGTCTCGAGAATTTTTCACTCATATCAAGACGCCACCACTTGGCGGTCGAGAGCTGCAAGTTTTGACCTATGCTTGGCACTCAGGGCCATTGAGCAGGGAGGGATCTTTTTCTAGCCAGCACCTACTGCGATACGACCTCGGTTTTTACGGTCTCATCTGAAGGACTGGGTCTCCATGTCCCACAGTGGGATTCGAACCCGCGACGTTAGGATTAACTCCTTACTTCGCGACTCTAGAATATTGATTTCATATATTTTAAGTTAATATTTTCTCAAATTTTTTGTATAATTTCATGACTTGTATGTTGTTCTAGCATTTCATACTAAAATGTAATAAAAATCTTATTAAAATTAATTTACCTCGAAGTTATTGAAACTTCAAATTTCTGGACACGTTTGATTGCCATCTCAAACTTAGTGGGATCTAGAAAAAAAATTCAAGATATAAATGGGGTGTTTGAGATACAGACTGTAAATTATTTCAAAGAAGTGGGACTTCCAAATCACTTCAAAATCAAAACATAACCGAACTATTTTACAAAATAAAGCCTTCTCTCAAGGAGGGAGTCTGTCTTTGAGGAATTTTTCTGGATGTGTGATTTCTCCAGGGTGACCAATTGGTTTCTTCTCGAAGAAAGCTTGTAAAATGATAGCAGCTATAGTAAAATGAAAAGTAATATCTTTACAGATGTAACAGCTTTATAATTAGAAATGGTGTGTTTGGGATGTGACAAGATGCTGAAATACACTTTTTAAAAAGTTTTCTTTTTTTGGAAACTTACAAAAGCAATAGGACTTGCATGTATTCCTACGTGTGCAAACGTAATAAAGAGATAAGTAACAAATATTGCTCTAAATTCAAAGTAAAAATTTATTGTAATAACAATATCAACAAAATTAATGAAGTAAACATTTGTTTTGAGTGCTGAAAGGTGGCAGATAACAGACACAGGCATTCACAAATACACCCTGTTATAAGGATGTACAATAAATCAACGTTGTTAGGAAAAGATCTATCACAATTTTAAGTAAACTTATACACAATTCACCTCAACTGAACACTCAGTGAAATATACTTATCAGATCCACTAAATGTAACAGATCTTAAAATTTTTCTTTTTAAAAAGATTGACGGAAATTAAATATAAACATGAAAAATATCTGTAAATCTTAGATACATTAGGATAATCAGTGTAAATATAATCATATTGACTCAGCTTTTCAATCATTCACATGTAACCATCGCTAAATATGGTGCTGAAAGCAAACCATATTTTATATATCACAGATCTGTTGGTTTTCCTGCACATTTCTGAGAGCATGCAATTTAATAACTGCTGTACAGGTATACATATATATACGACATCAGAGTGTCTTGTACATTGTTCATTAATCATTTAAAATTGATTTGTGGGATACACTGTCGGTAAAAACGACAGACATTTAACATTACTTGTACAATTTTAACAAATCAGTAAAGATTTAACATATATAGGTATAAAATTAAAATGTTAAAAATACAACAGAGGGGATGGCATACTTCACCCAGTACATAAATCTTCACATATTTTTCAATTTCTTATCCTTTACTCATAATAACAAAATGTAAATCAAAGGCCTGAAGGGCCTGCGAGTTGACTCGCTCGAGTCAATTTGAGCTTTTTCATACACCTGGGCATATTAAGAGATTAAAATATTATATGTATGATCCATGTTTGGTTCATAAATAATATAAAATATTATATGTCTGATCCATGTTTGGTTCATAAATAAAGTGAACATTGCTTTTCCTTGATAAATACAGGTTGGCACTAATGGGCTTCCGTATTATTTTGACTGGATTCTATAATGAATTTCAGCACATTAGCTGAAGCGGTCAGTGTTATGGAATAATTAGGTTATAGATTCCCACAGCAAATCTGGATTCTAAAAAAATAGATTTTCAACAACAACTAGCTGCAGCTAATGAAGGAGCAGCAGGTGTTTGTGTAAGGGAGTATTCTAGGTCAATTATAAATAAACTTCAGATGGGAAAATTTTAACATTTTTGAACATATTCATACGCAGTAATTGTACATCTTACAGGTATTTAATCAAAAATTTCTTTAAAAGCATGAAGGTATAAATAATGTTACAGTATGGAATTTTATACAGTTTTTACCTCATAAGATTATACAATCACTCTAACCAAAACATGTTTTGCTAGAACTATTATCTTTGGCGTATGGATCACCTTGATGAATGCGTGAAAAATTTTACACCTCTGAAACTGTTAACCCTCTGAAACGGCTATGTCGACAAGGATTAGCTCGCTACGCGAGCCAACTCAAAAATGATTGCTTTAAGTATACAGTTTTACACGACCTTATTGTTCCAATCTTGAACCATATACACAGTATAACTTATTAAGGATTCATTGTTGTCTTTCCCCCTCTTTTGACAATTTATCTGGTTGGGGCCCTTAGCTGGTCTATTTTGGTGTTTGTTCGACTGGCTGGAAATGGTGTTGGTGCATTAGACGCCAAATATGGTGTCAGAGATGGCATGGAGGCAGAAAAGGAGGAGAAATATTCTGCAGCAAATTGAACGACATCGTCCGGTTTCCTTAGTAACAGGAACTGGAGGAAGTCAGCCAGTAGGTTTTTGAGCTCTGGGTGTGAGCGCATGTATGTGGTATGGTCTCCTTTTAATTCCTCCTAAATACAAAATGTTACAAAAAGTTAAACAAATAGTACAGTAATTTTTGCACTTTTCACTTCTTAAATTCTCCTTAGAATATGCTGCTGAATGCAATCAAACCTCAATATGTGGAAAGTGGTTGGATGGAAAACTTTAAAGAGATTATAAACATATACTTATAATAAGATTTTGCAAATCAATGAACTTCAACATATTCTGGATATCTGACACATTGATGTTCTACTGTATTTTGAGTTTTCATTAAGCCTACAGTCTGAACATAATGCCTCTACCTTTCTGTCTAGAAATTTGGAGTATAACTGCATGTCATCCTCCCAGTTCAGCTCTTTCTTCTCAAACACTGGCTTAGGAGGCTCCTCATCTGCAAGACAAATGATTCAGTCATTAGTACATTGTGTCGCTCCTAATGTAAAGAAGCTTTATCTTACAATGTTTAATGTTAACGTGATATAATAGAGAATTTCATTCTTTCAATATCTCCACCTTTATATACCAGGCGCGTAGCTGCCTATACGCAAGTACGCAAGTGCGTACACATCATTTTCCAAAAAAAAAAAGAAAGAAAGAAAGAAAGAGGGATAAAAGAAAAGAAGGAAAAAAGAAAGAGAGATTTTTATTCGGGAAAAAAGAGGCACTACCCATGTTTCAAATTATTTTGCGTCTTATTGTTTGGATTCAATTTTTTTCAGCATGTCTGCACATTCAAATTTAGTCCTTTATAAAATCAATTCCAAAAACATCTTTCAACATTCTTGAGGAAAAAAATTGTTAAACCAAAATGTTAATCCGCGTAATCACGATTATCCGGACAAATATTTGATAAGGAAAGCGATCTAAGGGACTTTGATCGAAAGAAAAAGTTATAAATGGACGACTATCCAAGATTTTTAATTTCCGTAGAGGTAATGAATAAATGTCGTTAAACAACTTAAATTATGGTTAAATAATAATATAGCTTCTTTTACTGATGTTATATACCAATTTAAAGAATTATATTATAATTGAAGCATTCTCGAATCGTTTCAGCTATCAAATATGAAGGTAATCAAAAGACAACAACACCCCCCGTTTATATTTTGAAATATTTAAACTCCAATGATAACGATATTGAAATTGCTACTCTGTTTTATCTTGATACACTTGGAAACTTTTTTCCAATACCACAATATGCGTAAATTAATTTGATAAATTATCCTTCTCTTCCTGAAGTATCAATGGAAGCAGTATATCTTATAGCTAAGTGTTTGCTCGAAAAAGTGATATTATTGTGATTTCTTTTGCGAGAAAATGACTAAAAATTTCGTAAAATCCAGGAGCTTCCGGGGGCTTCGCCCCCTGGGCCCCCACCAGGGCTTTGCCCTGGACCCACTGGGGGCCTCAGGGCGGCCCCCAGACCCCCGACCGTTTTCTGCGTACACTTCGTTTCCATGCTGGCTACGCGCCTGTATACACAGATACACGGCTAGAAAATTTTCCATTAAAGATAAATTTTCATAACTGCTTTTTCAAGAAATAAAGCTTTTTTCACACAGTCACCAATAAAGTTTTTCTGTTTATAATTTTAAGACTTGAATATCAATACTATAATTCCTGTCCCATTAAATGAACATTACCTCTTTCAATGAGATTTGGAACTGACGTCAATTTCATGGTCACGGGTGACCCCACCTGAACCCTGTTTGTCATGTGACTAAAAATAGAAAACAAACAAAATAAAGCATTGGTGTTAACAGCTAATCCTAATATATCATTTTTTTAAAACATCAAAGAACATGTATTACTATAATTCAAATTCATCAACATTTGAAAACTTCCAAGCTGTCAGAACTATTTTTATTTTGGGACTTAAAACAGCTACATGACTTCAACTTAATTGTTTGAACACAAACTGATAGTGATTATGAATCCAAAAATAAAATAAAATTAAACTATATGTCTTAAATTCCATATTCAATAGAATGCTCAAGTCAAGTAAATTTTATTTATAGTCGGCACATATATACAGTATAACAGCTGTATAACATGCTGCCTAAAGTTTTGAGAATTTTGGAATTAATTTTTCAAAAAATTATATACAGTAATTGTATGTTTTGCTTGATTAAAGTTAATGTATTCTCCTACCAATCCTGCATGAAGTAGGACTGCCATGTCGTTGGGAGATCAGCGTAGGAGTTGATTGTCCGCTCGACTCCGAACACTCGGATTTCTGTGGTACCTACAGTTTGTGTGCGATCCTCTAATGGCCTCTATATAAAAATAAGAACCACTTATTCATTTTCAAATTGCTTACCAGTTTAATTAAACAGATCATTTTCAGAAACTAAATCAATCCTAAGACTCCGATATCAATGGTGTATTTCTTTTTTTTTTTTATAGGAATAAATTTGATGCACAGGATATAATTGATCTACAGATATATAAATATAAAATAAAAAATATAATTCCATAGGTTAAAGAATTATCTGAGAAAAATGCAAGGATGTTGAACTACAAACACCACAAAACAAAACTTGCAAAAAGAATACAAATAAATACAAAATTTTAAAATGATATAAACTTACATAGATCACAGAACACAGATTGGTATCCGAGTCAAAGGAAAGGAACTGCACATTGTCAGGAATTCCCTTTTCTATTAATAGTCGATGTAGAAGTAAGTTTGATCCTGAAACAGAAATTAAATTAAAGTGTTGATTTTACATAATTCTCAGTGTCTATATCTGAAGGAAAACCAGGCAAGTACATCAATTAAAACAATATTATTAATGGAAGTTATATTGTGTAAACTTTGAGTCCATACATTTGAAACATACCCTCAGAAATAAAGCCTTTCATCTGTTTGTGGTCAAATGTCTTTGAAGATCTCTGTACATCCTGTCATTTAAAATTCAATTTTGTTAATATTTCAAAAAAGAAAAAACTTTTTAAAAATGGATTTCATTTTTTATACATTTTTTGTCAATTGAGGAAAGAGGATTTACTTTTGAATTTTCAAACAGATCAAATTAAAATCTGGAAATAATTACCTCTCCCTGTGTTATCACTCTATTTACAATGTAGTTGTCTGGTTGCTTCACTATAAATGTTTTTCTATCTAAAGGGCAATTTTCAAGCTAAAATGAAATAAAATCATTTAGTTATCTACAATGCCTATATTTAAAACTATCATTTTATAAAGTGCAAGCAATTCAAATATATTCCAAAAAGATCAAGAGAAATAAAAATGATTAAAGTTTACTTAATATGTAAAGTAAACTCAGTTACTTTTAGAAATCAGCAGTGACAAAAATAACCTTGACCCACTTATACAACTGACCTTGACATATTCATGATGCTGCTGTTCTATGGTCTCCAGGTTCTGACCTACATAAGCGGTTATGGAGGTTCCGCAGGGAACGCCATCGATTGAACCATGACTGTTAGCGTGGATGAGGAAGCAGTCTGTCTGTTTGTATCGCGTGGGCTCCACAGAAATGCTGAACTCTCCCAGCTCTTTACCTGTGTCTGACACGGTCACCAAGTGGTCATCAAACATCAGGTATTTATAGTCATCCTCTGGAACTATAATAACATGTAGTAATAGATTAGAGATATTCACCAAATAATTTGACAGTCAAGATGGTTCTGAATTTAAACTTTGTTCAGCATTTATCACTACAATGCAAACTTATACTGAAGGTTAAATCATATTTTATACAAGTATATCATTTTCATTTGAAGGAAGTCATTTACAGTTTTATCATTGTTTATATGCATGCTGTATGGTTTTTTTCAAACTTGCATGTGTGTACACAGTCATGTGTTTCACATCATCACATATGTCATTACTACTCTAGACTAATTAAGACATATATATATAGAGTCAATACAAACCAATGCTTTCCACAAACTTGACGGCCTCCTCGCTGACCGTGGGGATTTCCTCGGGGACTTGTTCTGGGGGCTGGCGACCAGTTAACACAGAGCCGGGGTCTGAGGTACTCACACTGAAAAGATAATTAGTAAAAATACTTCTTAAAAAAAAAAAAAAAAACAGGGTATAATGTTGGATGCATCAATCATTTATTGATTTTATTAATTATTGTTTTGGGTACATAGATGGAAGAAGTCAGGTGTGAAACCCCAAAGTCTCTGAGTTTGATTACACAATACTGAAACCAATACGTACAATATGTTCGAAAAGGTGTTCCATAAAACACAATCAATTCCCTCAAATTGTAATGATTTCGAAATTTTTAGGTTTGACCATGCAGAGTTCTCAATTAGTCTCTGTTCATACCACGTGACTTTAATTTTGTATAAATGCCGAGACTCCGCAGTGATCAGGGGAGATCGTCGGATGCAGCCAAGTTTAGAAGACGGGTGGCGTGAAATAAGAATTCGCGTGTTATATCCCTCGCCTGTTTTACAGTTAGAGAGTGGATTTGGAAGGCCAACCCAGTTAAGGCCTGCCACAAACTTGGTTGACCTCCAACAAAGAGGCTAGCCATAGTTTGTTGTGTCTCGTCTGCATTGGCTAACCAGTCCGTCCAGGCTGCTATACTCATTGTCCGTCCTGAATAAGGCATCTTACAATGGGTGTAGTGGTTGAAGGGCTATCACATATACTGTCCATCATGAATAAGGCATCCTACAGTATATGCGGTAGTCCGAGGGCGACTGGGCATCTTATTTAAATGATAGGTTAGGACTCGATCCCCATTTGATTTTGTTGCTTGCCTCCAATTGATATATTGATTTACCATTTGATTATTGTTTACCTAGATAAGGTTAGGACGTATTTGTATATTTTGGCAGTCCTTTTAAATCATACCAATCAGTTTCAAATCATTTAATGTTGAACACTCCAAGCCCTGGAAATGACCAGGTACGATCCCTTTTGATTTATTTGTAAATACTTTACAAAATGACATATACACATTCACCTTAGACTTTGTTTCTAGATCAGAAACACAGGTATAAAGCTGCATGCTGTGTGTCGACATGCAGAGGTGGCTATGTGCACATGCAAGTTGCATTAGATACTTGGGAGGCTAGAAGGGGGTGGGGTGTTTATCTGGTTATGTTTATGTATTTATTCATATACAACAGTAAAGGTTTATGTTTGTAAAAAAAACATATTTGCTTATAATCTGATTTAGTCGTAAATAAAATATACAACATACATCATCATGTGAATTATTTTGCAAAAAATCATAGACCCAAAATCAACCAGTGTAAAAACCGGTCGTATGTTTCTGCTATTTTTTCAAATACACATATACCCTACCTCGTTGCCGTGGTAACGGCACTCATGATTGACGACTTGAGACAGTTCTTTTAGCAATTTTTACGATATTTGACCATCAAGCTGAAATTCGAAGCACTTGTCAAAAATCACTATGGCGATGACTTCCTGTTTAGTAAAATCTAAATTTCAGACCAAACTGTTACCGATTCCGGAATATTTCCTGATTGCTTTTTAGCAACAAATCGATAAAGTTTTTTTGGAATGCACGTAAAAGTAAACATATTTCCCATAACCCCATTTATACATTATGAAAACATTTGACAAGGAAGTCTATTTCTGTTGAACTATTTATTACTAGGTGTTTACTAGTATACCAGGCCCATGGGTCACATCGATCACCTGAGTTATTTTGGCCATGCTGTGCTTTACCAGATTTCCCCCTTGAAATACATACCTTGGTCCCACCCTACTCCTAGGGGTCACAATTTGCAATTTAGAAACTACACTACCCCAGGATGTCCCAATATAGGTTTTAGCTTTTCTGGCCCATTGGGTTTTGAGAAGTTTTTTTGAATGATACCACCTTATTTTTGTCTTTTTTATTATCTCCTCTTGTAAGGAAATTTGACCCTTTATCTTAACAATTTAAAACACAATTTAGCCGAGGATGCTTTGTACCAAGTTCGGTTAAAATTAGCACATTGTTTATTGCATGGGAAGATGTTGAACATGTGAAAAGTTTACAGACAGACGGACGAGGGACAATGGGTGATCAACTCAGGTGAGCTAATAAAAGTTGAAAACTATCCAAGTTATAGTGTCACGTACATATATGACACTGTCATAATCATGTAATCATGTGCATGTAAACTAGCTGCATATAAAATTGAAAACACCTCCTTGTAAACCATTTCAGTTTTCACTTCACAACAAATATAGCATTGACAACAGATGGACAGACAGACAATTTGATTCCTACATGTACATGGCTCTCACAGGTTCATGCTTGGCCCTTTCTATGAATACTTTTAAGTTCTGTGGAATTAAAGCCTGGGAAACAAACCCCAAAAAGCTCCTGTCATATTATTTACATGTACATATTGATTTCATCATTTAGTTCTTTTCTTTCAGATTGAAACTATCTTCAGATCCCACCTCTGATGTTCCTAAAAGTTTGTGAATGTTCTCAATTTGTTTTAAATCAATGGATTTTTGAGCTCGTTTACAGTTTGTTATCTCCATATTATGTTGTCAATTTGTGCCCCCTTCCTTAAACTTCAGCAATGCATTCCCATTGGTTCTCAAGACTGTTCATCCCATGGCCAGAGAGGGCTGACAGATGATCGCCTAAATGGATCTGTTACTGCTCATTTTATAATGGAAATATTATCAGAGTAATATTCAAACATGTTATAGCTAACCTGGCTTACTTGGGTATAAATAAATCACTTTGGTCAATGGCATTTTTTTCTTTAAATCAAGCATATGGAGCATGTCTTTACTCATCAACAGGTATAATAATATATCACAATTAATTCACTATTTCTGCTTCATCAAAATTTAATCTTTGACAAAAATGTATGAATTTTAGTTTTAATACAAAAATATTGCATTTGAAGACAGTAAAATGACAATTTTGTTCACATACTGATATATGTAGTCATATAACAGTCTAATTGATGAAAAAACATAAACCACTTTCCAACACACTGATTGTTTGTCAGATTTGTACTCATGTTACAAGAGCAAGAGAGAGAGAAGGATCGTGAGAGATTGGTGGGAAAAACAACATTTACAATATTTACAAATAAGTATAAAACATTTACAAGAAAGTTTTTAAGAATCATTGCCTTGAATCAGAGATAAATGTTACAGAATTTAATGGAAACTAAACAAAAATTTAACATGTACAATGATTTACTACGGAACAGTTTGAAACATATTACTTCTTAACAAATATGTTACGTTAAGATTAAATTAAATGATAAAATGAAAACATATTATAACTAATGTGTGTACTACCTATTGTGAAATCAGAAATTTTCGTGGGGGTTTAATTTTCATTGTTTTCAAGGAATGAAGAGACCCATGTATTCATGTCCATGACGAAATGTAAAATGTTACTACTCAACAATTCTTCATCCACGAATTCAAATCCCTAGAAACCAAGAGTTTTTCCTCAAACCACGAAAATTTGACCCCGCGAAAATATGTGATTTTACAGTGTATCTTCAAGTTCTAGAGTCCTTTATGTAAAATGTAAATTAACAGTTTTGTAACTAGAAACATTAATGTACAAATGAAATACATTTAGGATTTCAATAAAAATCATTTTACTTATTATTATTTTTTTTTTTTTAACATCAGTATGAACCTTAAATACAGAAGTAAAGAAATAAATTAATTGATGGAGGGATACTGTGAAAGACATAAGACAAGGAATCTTTGTTAAGTAGATATAGTCCTGTACATATAATGCTGTTACATAGCAAAAAATTCTTCAAATAAATAAACACACCAAATACCCATACAGTCTCTCTTCTGCTTTTGATGATATATTAAAAGAACTAGTTAATACATTTTTAATGCTTAAGACAACCGACTGCATTAATCTTATGGTTATTTTTTTCAGTTGATGTAGAAATTATTTTACACATAAATGTAAGTATAATCAATGACCAAGTCTTAAAGTCTGAGATTATTTAAAATACAGTCACAGCTAACATTGACAATTTTTTTTCAGACTTATTTTACAGTGTTTATATACAAATGTTCATATTGGGGCTTTAAAAATCAATTTACTATTAAACAACTACAATATAGCACTTATCTTTAAAAAGCTGCTCTAAAAAAAGAAGCTTGAGCAAATTCAGTCACCTTTGGCTAATTGCTAGCACCTGCTTATTTCTAGTATAAAGCAAAGAGAAGCTGTACAGGGCATTAGTCTAGTTCTTAGATGCAAAAGTTGTCTCTAAATTTTCCCTATTGAAAATTGAACACATTTGTGTTGGAAAGCCTTTACACAGCTAAATGTATTATCCATGGTACATGAAAATGTTAATAAAGTGCCAAGGGTGCAATACGTCTCAGAGAATAAAGCTCATTTTTTTTAAAGACATGATATAATCTTGTAAATGCATGCATATTCATGACCCTTAATTAAGATGGCTGCCATTTTTTAATTTTACTTTAAATACACTTGTTAAGAAATACATGTATGACTTGGGTCTATAATGAACAAGATGAAATAGTAAATTCTGAATTATTGAGATAACAATGAACTATGATAGACATGTCAAAATAGTATGTCATGATTAATTCTCTTACTTCTGACTGGTTTAGGTTCATTGCACTTAAAACATGGCTTCCATAATGTGAGATACGATATTGGAATAGAGTGATAAGAACAAGTTTGATAATTTATACATAATCAAGTAGATTTCACAAGGTTGGCACACCACATGAGATCACAGAATCATTCCAAGCTGTCACAGACAGGGGAATTTTATTTTTTGACAAACGAGTCAGTGGAGAAACCAACAAACCTTCCTTAACTTTGCTCTCCTGCAAAATTTCTCTTCTCCTTAAACAGTCGGAAAATAAATAACCTTGACAACAAACTTGTTTTTCTTTCTACAAGATTGGAATCGGGAATAACAACAACATGGATAATTTTGCTGGAACTTCAGTCCATTTTCTCCAACACTGTGGGGAACTGAACCACTTTCATCTCACTGGCGTAGTCACAGACTATCACTGTGTTCTGTACGACGTGGATCTGATTCACAAAGGCCGACTTGTCAAAGGATCCCACACTCACAGTCCGTAGGATGTCACCTTTGTCAAGGTCAATCAACTGGATGTGACCTTGACCTCCAGTCACTAACAAGTGAGAGGTCAATAAAGCCATGCAGTTGTTTCCACAAGGATCCTAAAAAGTAAAACAGAAACAGTTTTCAAATTTTACCTTTAATTCAGATACTCCTAAAATTTTTACATTAATTCTGCTGTGAAAATTCTTTGCTTCAAAACATTCTGTTAATAAATGTAAAATAAAAAGCAGAAATATTCTGAAAAGTAGATTATTTGCAACATTTCCTGGTTTTAAGTTAATTCTAGTTTCTGTGAATGCATAATACAAAAGATTTACAGTAAAACACACTTATAGTGAACACGCTTAAAATGAATTGACAGTTTTAGCGAAGTGATTTTCATCCCTGTGACTTTAAAATACATTGTCAACTTAAGGATATAATGAAATATGCTTATAATGAAGCAAAATTGTCCATCACTGGCACTTTGTTGTAAGTGTCAACAGATTGTTGTAATGTTTGTGAAATACACAATACCATGTCCAGTTCATGAATGAGAGTCCCCCTCTTCCTGTCCCAGATACACAGGCGGTCATCCAGTCCAGAACTGACCACATACTTAGGGGTACAGGTCAAGGCCACAACTGCCGCCTCGTGAACTTTGACCTTGTGAAGACAGGTGCCTGTGTGAAGGTCCCAGAGTCTGGTGGTTCCCTCAGCATCCCCACTCGCCACATTAAATGGTGGTGTCTGTAATGCAAACAAAGTTATGAACAAAAAAAAAAGTTTCTTATTTACACTTACTCATATTGATTTTAAGGGGGGGGGGGGGGGGGAATCCCAACTTGATGGCAAAAATCTTTCTTTTATTTGCTAACTATAGTTTCAAAACTATTCTCTCAAACTTGACTAAACTCATGAAATCATTCTAAACTAGAAAACTGACCAGTCAGCAAGGGCCCCACCATGGGGTAGAATTAAAAGGGGAAGCTTACGGAATGATTAAAAAATGTACGAAGAATAAGCAACAGCAACTGTATTCTTAAAATTTCAAGATAATTCCTGAATATTCAAAAACCTGCAAACAAACAGCAGTTGCAGACAAAGGTTTTCATTAATCTTAAAATGACAGATAAAAAAAGCCTACTAAATTAAGAGTAAATTAAATTTTCTGCAGCAAGCTAGATAATTAATCCCAAGGGATTAATTGTACCTCTCACATCTTTTTCTTCTAAAGTTACAATAAGAACTTTTTCAGTATTAATGATAGAATGGGGTTTTTATACAACTACCTTAAAAATTAATAATATTCTTGAATTAACATAAAGTGAAAAAAAGTAAATCAAAAACTCTCTTTAATCTATTTCTTGTTTTTAGAATTCAATGAAATCATAACTATTAAACAAAAATATTAAAATTATAAAAATTTATATTTAAATCCACATTTCGGAGTGTTCATAGCATTCCAAATTGACTTAACTTCAAAACAAACTTCATTTGCAGACAGAGGTGGTAATTCATCTCAATGTGACAGATAAAGATGATGTTCTGGATTTTCTTCAGCAGGAAAGCTAATTAATCCCAAGGAACTCATAGCAGCATTCAGTTTACAATGGGAACATCTTCAGCAGTTATCTCTCTTTGCCAATGCATTCTTATAAAGTTAAGGAATCTACCCCACCACCCCAGCTCCAAACCAGGGGACATAGAGAACCAAACTTAGCATCAAAACATGTATTTCTGCCTACTGAACTACCGTACCAAATTTGTACTTGACTGGGCAACCAAAAAAAAAGTTGGCCATTCATTCTTATGCATAGTTAAGGAATCTACCCCACCACCCCAGCTCCAAACCAAAAGACATAGAGAACCAAACTTAGCATCAAAATATGTATTTCTGCCTACTGAACTACCATACCAAATTTGAACTTGATTGGGCAACCATAAAAAAAGTTATTAGAAAAAAACAGAAAATTTGCGGACGGAAGAGTGACAGGCGGACAGACAGACAGACGGACGGACAGACAGAATGATTACTATAGGGCACCCGCAAATACTTGCGGGGCCCTAATTAAAGATATTCATCTGAACTGATCCAGCCCTCCTTCACTAGCTTTTTTTTTATTTTCAAATTGATTGTCACATCATGAGACAATCAAAATAAAAAGGAATTAGTGGGGGTGTAGTGAAATTCCTTTTATTTTGAATGCCGTGTCAGGAGCTAGTAAAGGTTTGATTTTAATCAGACTAGTTTACTGCACATGGGAAATTTATAATATACCTTGTCAGCATATAGCACTGTTATTTTTGTTGTATGGCCATACAAAGTGTACAAACACCTGCTATCCTCTAAACGGAACACCTGTATACACAAAAAAACATATAATTATAAACATGGAGGATACCTAAACATAAATAATTTTATATGAATTTACATAAAAAGGTATTATTTATTAAAGAAATAAAGATTCAAAACTACCTCAGCACATTCCTACATACATGTATTTACTTTCTTATGTTTAAGAAATGAGATTCATAACTAAAAGTAAACTTATATATACATCTACCAAAATATATGTTACAAAACATAAAATGTACTTTGAGGGAGTGGTCTTGACTGGCAGATATGACTCGCCCTCCTTCACATTTGAGGCTGACGATTGGCTGTTGGTGACCTTTGACACTGTTCACTAAGGTCACATGTAAAATCTCCTCCCACGTCTTCAAGGAGTCCATTAATACTACTTTATGTTGACTATGATACCTCATGTGGCCTGCAGAAAAGTTAAAATAATTCCCAGATTACCATCATATTTAAGGAGGCTGGGGGGGTCAACAAATTAACCACAAGATATAACTGAATTTTTGGGATATGATATTTTAAGCTGTCAACTATCATTTGGCAAAGAAAAATTTCATAAATTTTAGTTTTAAAATTTCATCATTTTTGTATATCTTTAAATGGAGCTCTTCTTCTAAAGGAGGTCAAAATAGTCTGAAAATGGCCCCATTGCGGGACAACCCTCCAGCCCGTTTAAGTCATTCTTTTAAAAAGAAACATTTAAACCAGTTTTCTTTATATAACCAAAAAACTTCTGAAAACGACTGTCACAATGACTTTCTTAAAATGTATCGTACTTAATAAAATTCCATGATGAAAATAACCATCAATTAATTTATAGTTGTGTAACACATTTCCAAATATTCAATTATGGAGGGAAAAAACAAACAAACCTGAAATGCCCAGAAGAAACTGACCTTTGACATGTGGAGAAGAGGACGGATTGGTTAATGGTAAGATAGGATTATGGAATGTTTCAATTTCTAAGAAATCTAAAGAACCATCAAGTCTGGCCGCAACCACCCTGAAAAAAGAAAGGAGGAAAAATCATGATACTGTTTATCTCTGTATTATGATAATTAAATTCATAAACTTTACCCATCCAGACATAGATACAATAATAATACATGTCTCTGATGTACATTGTGGTTGACATAAATATATACTTTAGAAATACTTTTTTCTGCGTGGTATTAATTTGCACTATTTACGTGGTCACAATTTTTTTTGCGGAAATTTGTCCAATTGTACTCAATATACACGTAAGGTATGCAGTGAGAATCTAGGAAATCCACATAATTTTCTATGTGCAGATTAAAAAGGAAATAGAGATTTTGCAGAATTATGACCCTGTGGAAAAAAGTACGATTATAGTACTTGCCTTTTATTAACTATACAAAGGGCAGTAACTCCAGTCTTGTTATCACCGTACATGCACTTTAAGCTGCCGCTTGTACTTTCCCAGAACTGTGAACAGAAATCAAGTTTTCACACAAAAAAATTAAGTTAAACTTCTCTGAACCATATAAACTAAATTTTTATTATCATATTGATTTCTCCATATTTCATGGAATATTCAAAACTTGTGCAATAATGATTTTTGCTGTAAATATTGAGAAACATATTTTTCCACATAAAGTGAATGTCATTTTGTATAACAAATGAACATATTAATGCATTAATTCATGAGTGATGAAAAAAAAAAATATTTTTTAAACATATATCATATGGCATCACTAAATTGCAATGCAACACCTCCAATGTGTATTGACATGTACATTTGCTGCAAATACATCCAACCATCCTTGATTCCTTTTCATTAACTTATCCTGAAGAAGAATCTCAATGTTTAACTCACTCTGCTCTATGCTTTAATACTGTATCAAGGGTTATTTTTGCTCCGTATAACATTTGCCCTTTAACACTTGCAAACAGTTTTGCCCCATTTTAAATTCACCCATTTATACTTTTGTTTAAGAAATTATCCTGTATTCTTTGAATTGGCCTCATTTTGAATTCATCAAAATGAGGATAGGGCAAAGGGAGCAAAAACAAAAGGGGGCAAAGATCAGTTAAAACAAATTCTACAAAAACCTTACCTCAATTCTGCCATTCCCACAGCCTGCCACTATCAGACCTTCAAAACAAGCGAGACACCAGATAGCAGGTGCTTGGTTCCCCTCAAAACCAGAGTCAAACAAGGCAGCATCGTGCTCTGTTGTCAAAGGATGGTCTCCTAAAAATGCAATGGATGGTTACACACTGATCTTCAAACTTTCTTGGGTAAAGACATGCTTCCTTTATCTACACAGAACATTGATGATTCTACAGTATCTGTGCAGAACAAGAACTCACCAGCACTCCAGCTTCTTGATCTAATCTCTGAGAAAACCTCCTCTTCCACTGGATTTTCCCTCAGGAACTGAGCATGCTCATCATAGAGAGGCTGAAAACGAGACTGGAAGTCAAACCCAGCAGACACCACCCCACTCAACTGACTGACTGATTTATCTAATGAGGGAGAACTCTCCGGGGTGAAGACTGAAGGTGGATCCAGAGAGGTGGGGGAGCTGTGGCTGACAGGGGATGGGGGAGCCACATTGAAATTGGTGTGAATCGTCCCTGCGAGATTGGGCTGATTCTGGAATAGTTTCTTCCCATGAGGAGAAGGTACAAGGCTGACTGTTTTCTGTCTGGGCCGAACTCTATGAAGGTCAACTTCTTCTGGGTCACTGCTGTTGCCATGACTACCATTACCGTGGTATTCAGCATACAAGTCAGCATCACTGTCATTGATGTTCCGACCCAGGCAAGGTTTTCGCTTCACTGGAGGTGTGGTTCTAAAAGTCACAAAGATTCCATATCCATTTAGAAAAAATTAACCTATATGCTTTTGAACAAATTTTCAGAGAAAAAATATTTTGAATGCAACAGTATCTGATTTTTGCTTTTAAGTTAAGCATCTCTGGTTTCAAAATCTTTAAATCAGCATCACACATTGTGGGACCTACCCTTTCCTGTGGATAACAGTGACACAGTCCCCCGTGAAGGAGTCCCAGACCCTCAGCTGACCCCCCAGACAGGCACTGATGATGTACTGACCATCTGTCACCACACACTCTATCTCCTACAATATATAACACATACACTAAGTTGCCCCTATAATACATAACACATACACTACTGAGTATGTGACCGCTATCATACATAACACATACACTAAATGACTATCTGTGATCCAATACTGTAAAATCACATATTTTTAAGGGGTCTAGTTTTCGAGGTTTGAGGAAATAACATTGGTTTGTGGGCATTTGTTTAAAGGTTGGAAAATGTTTATTAGTAATGCATTTGAAATTTTACATTTCATTGTGGTCATAAATTCGTGGGTCTCTCAATTTCTTTGAAAACAACGAAAATTAAAAACTGACCATTAGTGATTTCACAGTATTTTTGTAGAAATATATACCGTAATTTTCAGAATGACTAAAAAATGTACGTATATAGCAACAGCAACTGTATTTTAAAACTTAATTTTTAAAAATTCCTGAATATTCAAAAACCTGAAAATAATATCCTTGTATTTACATTAGGCAGTAAAGAACAATTTAACATTGAATGTATTAAACAATTATGAAGCTTGTGTTATATAGAATGCCAGCCTTCAATGAATGCAAATATCATGAAGGCTAAACCTTATTTCAAACAAACAGCAGTTGCAAACAAAGGTTTTCAAAAATCTTTAAAGACTTCTTTGAAAAGTGTACTAAATTTTCTGCAGCAGGCTAGATAATTGATCCCAAAGGATTAATTGTTAAACCTCTCTCAATAACATTTTCTTCTAAAGTTACAGTAAGAACTTTTTACCCGAGTATTAATGATAATAATTTTTTATAAAACTACCTTAAAAATTAATTAACATAAAGTAAAAAAAGTAATTCAAAAAATCTTCTTTAATCTATTTTCTTTTTTTAGAATTCAATGAAATCATAACTATTAAACAAAAATAAATTATATATAAATTTATACCTAAATCCACATTTCACAGTGTTCATAGCATTCCAAATTGACTTAACTTCAAAACAAACTTCATTTGCAGACAGAGGTGGTAATTCATCAATGTGACAGATCATTAGAATTTCATGGATTTTCTGTTCAGGATTTGTAACCTAATTAATCCCAAGGGACGTGGATTTGCCAGCATTCATTTCACAATGGGAACATCTTCCAACACAGTTATCTCTCTTTGCCAATGCACACACAGTATAAATCCTTTTACCCCAGCTCCAAACCATTAAAATTCTGTTAGAAGCCAAACTTAGCATCAAAATATGTATTTCTGTACTGAACTAATATACCAAATTTTGAACTTTTTATTGGGCAACCAAAAAAAAAGTTGCCCATTCTTCATGCATAGTAAAGGAATCTACCCCATGATGGCAATGGAAACATGAAGACATTGAGAACAAAACTTAGCATCAAAATATGTATTTCTGCCTACTGAACTACCATACCAAATTTGAACTTGATTGGGCAACCATAAAAAAAGTTATTAGAAAATAAAAAAAAATTTGTGAAAGAGAGCACAGATTTGCTTTGAAATTGACAGACAAATTTTATTATTTTGGGGCACCCGCAAATCCTTGCGGGGCCCTAATTAAACCACCACAAAAAGTAGTGACTTCACAGTATTTTTGTAGAAATATATACAAATGAAAATAAATGCAGATTGTTTTTTCTTTTTGAGCTCATTGTATCACCTAATTATGTGAAAGTTATCACAAATAAAAACATATGATTTACAGTAATGAACTGGCTATTACCTGCAGGTGCCCTTTGAGGACCTTGGGAACAGACTCCTTGATTTGTTTGTAATACCCCCCGACCTTTTCCCGCTTTCTCTGTTGACCTCTGAACCATCTAGAGCGCCATCTGGCATAATTCTTGGGACAGATACAGTGATACAATGCCAGCCCGAAATAGGACAGACAGATAGCACTGAACAACACCAACAGAATGGTGGAGATGAGCTCTAGCTGGGATTTGGGGTACAGTTTTCGGAGTTCTTCAGGGTCGTAAAGTTTCCTGAGCTGATCAGAGTCGTAGATGTAGTTTGGTAGTGACTCTAGCAGCCCTTTTATACTGTCATCAGGGAGTACATCAGATTCCACGCGCTTGGCTTCCGACAATTGTTCTTGGGAGATCTGCTCAATTTCCTGCTTAATCTGCTGTGGGGTTTTGCCTGCGTTTTGACTGGGATGTCTCAGGGAAATTGCTTCATTGGGGTCCACCACAATAGAAAGATGAAGACTGGGCAAAATGGATATGAATCTAGCGAGAACAAATTTTAAATAAAATAATTTACAAAAATTGTCTTAATAGTCAGCTTAAACAAAATATCAAATTGGTCTTTATATATTTCTAAATATCAAATATTCTTTGTGAAAGAAATAAGATATTTCATACTTTTTCCAAGTCTTTCATTGTCAAATATCCTTTTTCAACTTTTATAAGAATGTGATATATAGTATATGAATATCTAATGATACTTTTACTTACTTTCCATACAAACTGATATTGTAGTAGCCAAACAGAGTGGGCCAGTGTTTGTAAGACAGCTGCTGCCACAGTTCCACCTCCCTATGTCTCACCACTCCCTCTGGATCCACCAATTCACCCTGAAACCACCAGGAGCTGGCAGTCTGCCCTGTAGTGCTCGGACCTTCCTTATCTCCAACACTGGAGAGTTTCTCATTAGGAGACACATGTCCAGTGGAATCCTGGGATATGTTCTTTGTGTTGGAATGGTGAGGGTTTGAGAGGTGCTCCAGAACTCCACTTTTGTACACAATTAATCCAATCCATATCACTGTGCAGAACTTAAAATGATTTAAAAAAACGTTTTTGAGAAAAATAATCCTTTTGCTTGAAATACTATACATGAATATATCAGTGGAAAATGGTAATAATTTCACCCCAACTTCCCCATTCCATTGTTTTTTTTGATGTCTAAAAATACATGTAACATTTAAAACATTCATAAACAGGTTCAAATAGTATTTTGATAGAAATTCTGGAATAATCTAAAGAAAACAGTGAAAACGCCAGCAGAAAGTTCCTGCTGGTTTTAAACAAAACTGCCTTCCATCTTCTCTTGTACACTTTGGTTTAAGTTACCATTAATAAATAGTTAAACAAAAATTGTAGAACAATGGTAAACTCGAACAAAATTTTTTGAGTGTTATAGATTATGGGTTTACTTATAAATAACTTGCCCTACCATGATAAATCTCTGGATAACTCTGGTATCTGCCAGGAAATCAATCAGGCGTAACCGTCTTGAGGTCTGGATGGAATCGGCCAGTGATGACGGTGGACCGAGGGCAACATTAGACGAAGTCCTGCGATGCTTCTTCACGGAGGATTTGTCTGTGGTGCCCTGGTTAGGGGCGGATATAAAGCCCCGTGCCGGACACAGGACCAGGGGCTCCATGACCTTTGACCCTGGGGGATGACCGGTCTGAAAGTCTGATACAGATGTTCGTAATTTCTTGTGAAGATCTGTCAGCTAAAATAAACAAAAATATCATTTACAGATCTGACATCATGAAAATATGTTACTTGGTAATAAATAATTACTTTCTTGCTCATATTTTTGACTATCCCCCATTCTCTTTCTTAATGTTTTCTCAAAAGTATCATTACATTTTAATTCCATGTCTAAACACCAGGCCAATCATAAACCATTATTTAAATACAATCATATAAGTACATATTTTACCTAGAAAGTTGTTGGGATATAATAAAACAGAGGACAGACATAAAATGTTAGAATATTTGTGGTACCTCCATCCTTCTGATATCAATGGACAGTGTGGTCAAAAAGAAAACATGCTGTAAGAAAAAATCCGTCAGCAGTCCCACCATGGCAAACAAAGCAAACTCCTGCAAAATAAGACAGAGGGTTAATAAAACATAGGTAATCAGAGATTACAGAGCTCACCTCAACGAATGTTGTCTTTAAGTAAGGCAAATTAAGTCACACAATTAACCAACAAAAAGTTTACATCCAAAAATGCAAAATTAATGCAATTTTGATACTTTGGAATAGACCTATATAAAAACTTAAAACTAGTTCTTCATCATCAAAAAGTAATTAAAATCCAGCATCTCCAAGCAAATTGAGAGTTTTCATCCCTCGATGCATCATTTGTGCAACTTTGGTTTATATAAGCCTTATAGTTTCTTGGTGATAGACCTGCACCCATAACTTTTCACCAGGTCTTTTATCTGGAAAATGTATCTCGAATTCAGCATCTGAAGCAAGTCCATTAGTGTGCATCCTAAGATGTATCATCCATGCAAGTTTGTTCAACATAGAGCTCAGAGTTACTTGGAAATGAAACCGGTATAAAAAACTAACCTTTTCACTAATCCGGAAAATGTAGGTCAGATTCAGCTTCTGAAGCCAGCCTTTGTGCACCCTTAGATGTACCATCCATGCAAGTTTGGTCATTATAGGGCTCAAAGTTACTTAAAATGAATTTGCACCAAAACTTTAACCTGTTCACATCCAGAAAATGTATATCAGATTCAGCATCCGAAGCAAGTCTGGTACTACGCATCCTAAGATGTACCATCCATTTAGTCATTATAGTTTGTTCATAGTACCAGTTAAAAATGAAACCTGCACCAAAAATTTTAACCTTTCATGTGTTCAAAATGTTGGTTTTCCGAAAAGTCTTGTAATATGCATCCTAAGATGTACCATCCATGGAAGTTTGGTCATTACATGTCTCATAGGGAAATGAAACCTGCACCAAAAACTTTAACCTGTTCACTCAACCGGAAAATGTAGGTCAGATTCAGCATCCGAAGCAAGACTGGTAGTATGCATCCTAAGATGTACCATCCATGCAAGTTTGGTCATTATATGTCTCATAGAAACTTGGAAATGAAACCTGCACCAAAAACTTTAAGCTGTTCACTCAACCTGGGGGATGTAGGTCAGATTCAGCATCCGAAGCAATCTGGTGAAGGTCTGTCAGCCTAAAATAAAAGTCCATTTAAGTTTGGTCAACATAGGGCTTAACATGTTACTGAGTAATAAACCTACACCAAAAACTGCATAAAATGTTAACCTGCACCAAAAACATTAACCTTGTCATTTTTTGCAAATATATCATCTGAAACTTTGACTGGTACAGTGAAACACATTAGAAACATAAACCATTAATTTAAAATGTAGGACATAGAAGTACTTAAAAAAAAACATTTTAAAAAACTTAACCTTTTTCAAGATTTAGTAAATGAAAGGTACCTACAGATTTATCAAAATTGAGAAATAAATTCCTATATAGATGCTTTACAACTTTAATTGTTCAAATATGTTGTGGGGCATATATTGTATATCAAACAAGATGAAAAACTGTAATTCAAACTGTCATTTTCAATGAAAAATTAAGAAAACCAGTCATGAATATGGCAGTTTTTCTGCAAAAAAGGAAATGTATCCAGATTGCCTACAGTCTTAAAAAAACGATACATTAGTATGTTCATGGCCTCTTCTTTGTATCAATATCAAATTTAATATAGGTATCCGGTTTACTTTTCATATGATTTCGAATTGAATGTCATGAAAATACCCTATTTGCTACATAATTCTGCCAAAGCCGTAAAGTACGGGCATAAGGAAGTTGAAATTGATTATGACGTCATAATGGATCTAGCACCAAAAAAGTAGTCTCAAGTTATTTACTAGATCTTGACCTTAACCCTCCTGACTAATTCCTATAAAAATAAACAAATTCAATCAGCATATCTCTCTTTCAGTAAAATTCTTTTAAAAACTAGTGACACTTTAAATATGTTGTACATTTACCATGATAATTGACATAGATGTATTTGTTGCAGTGAAGAAAATGTCATTTTCCAAATGCTTTCAATATACTATTAAACAGAAAAAAATTCTGTGCAGGTCAAGGTTCATCTCAATTCAAATTTTACTGTTTTATTACATTTTTACCTGTGAAATATAATTATATACAATAGAGTCAATGACCATGGTCCATGGTTCCTATTGTTAATGATGTAAATTTGCAAGTAAGGGTAACCCATGAAATGCACACAAACATTAGTCCCCCAATGTAAAGATGATTCCATGTATTGAATTGAAGGTGTATAATCTTTCCCTTCCTTTGATAAAGACAATAAAACCTCTCTCTCATTCCATATTTTCTAAATCTCCCCCCCCCCTCTGTGTAAAATCCTATTTACCTGTATAGCTGGTACAAAGGTAAGAATCTCAACCGCTCAACAATGATGAGTTCTGTAGCCAGGTGTATTACAAATGGACCAGCCCTCCTGAAAAATTAAAAAAAAATAAAAATGTAAATAATCAAAATATCTCTCTTTCAGTATACAATGTAATTCTTTTCACAACATTAAACTTTAAATATTACATTTTTCTTGCATATACTTTACCGTGTTTGTAACAGCTGAGAAATGTTGTGTTATTAGAATGTCAATATACTAGTAAACAAGTATTAACATTTTTGATTCATGGCATCACCATAACCATTTATGACTACATTATTTTGAAAATGTGCTATGATTGAGAGAGCTTGCTGGAGTTGAGTAGATCTGTAGTTAGCCATCAGTAAGTCATGGATTCTCACCTTGTGCAATTCTAAATCGAACATCCTGATCAACAGGTGTGGACACGACAGACTTTGTAATCACAAGAACATTCTCCAAACCCACAAATACAACCAGGTACGGAAAAATTTCACTAAAACACAAAATAAATGACTTATTCTTTTCCAGCTACTATTTATAATGCATGAACATTTTCATTTAATCACAATATATGCAGTGTATATATGAGTCAGTGAAGATAAAAGTTATAAACTAACATTAATGAGAAATAATTTTTTTTACCTGTGGTATGTAACTTTTAAAATTATAAATAATTTCAAAATATCCTCATAACAGTGAATATTGAATAAAACTCACTTTCCATCGTCATTAGTAACACTCATCCCTTGAGTAACACTCACTTTCCACTGAATAACACTCACCTTCCATTGTCATGAGTAAAACTCACCTTCCATTCAGTGTCGGGGTGAGTCCAAACAAGGAACAGAAACTGACAGACATTAGAAGTGAGGCTACCACGGTAACCACGGCACTCAGGGCCAGCCCCCACTTAGACTTCACCATCTCAATCTTTCCTGTCAAATAATACACACAACTGTTATAAATTTTGTTTCAGGCCAATCACAAGTAAAGAATCAGTATTTAATTTAATACTTGTGATAGGATTGTGTCATAAGATTAGGAGTATCCCACTTACTGACAGAGAAGTAGATATACATCAGTAGGAATACGTAAGTAATGATGAGGTAGGTGTGTTCCGTGAACACTTTGCTGTCCGGGTAGTGGATGTGGACTATCGTATTGACCTGACTGTTGTTGACATTCCGCGCAGTTTCTGGATAAAGGTCCTCCAGTCGTGACTTCAGAGCCAATAGAAAACTGGGAAAGAAAAATATAACACATTAACATGAATCAGTTCTAAAGGATCAGATATAAAATCATCAGGAATTGGCTGTACAAGTGCCTTCATAGCAATGTATTACAGAGCTATACCCAGGGGCAAAGTTTGTGTTATCGATCACTCTGACAGAAAATTTCATTTAGTTTTTGCTTCCAGTTTTAATTTCCTGCAAAGCGCTTGGTTGACAACTTTTTCAACAGCAAAGAGTTCAACAAAGTTATACCCAGGGTATAAAATGTACTATCCAACCATCAGCAATCATACAAGTTAGTAAATTGTAAATTAACACTTTTATCTGCTGTAAGTGAGATAGCACTCAGTGAAAAGTTCCTGTTGTGGGTTTGAGCTATCTCACTAACAGCACGTGGATAAGCGTACTGTAAAACATACTTATAATGAATTGATGCCAATCAGTGAACTGATTTTCATTCCTCCTGGCTTCAAAGTATAATTTGAACTTAATGGATAAAAAAGTACATTTATAAGGAGGCAAGATCAACCCTCCCTAGCACTTTGTTAGAAGTGTGTTTTATTGTACTTTGTTACAATGTGTTTTATTGTACATGTTTTTTTAAATGTACTTCAACATACCTGACAATCTGTCTTACCTTTTATTGTAGTTCTTTAAAGCAACAGAGATGGCAAAGCTGATGGTTCTCTGTTGGTTCCTGATAAAGTAACGAGATATCCCAGAATTCTTCCAAGGGATTCCAAACAAGATGTCTGTCCAACAGGAAAAAATATCATCAAAGCTTTAAACAGATGCTTGTCTCATATCAAACTCTGAACTTTTTTTGTTTCTTGAGGTTTACTCAAAATGATTGTGAATATACATTGTAAGTTACCTCTGAGATAAGGGGGCGTCTCCAAAGGTTGACCATGTCGTTTGAACAAGGTTTTGAGAATCTCCCCATCTGCTAAATATCTGTAAAATAAGGTTAATAATCAATAATAATGCTCACTGGCCACACTGCACACCTTAGTATCAATGGCAATGCTATTTTATAAAGAAACCTTTTTTTTTAATTTGTGTCCATATAAAACTTTTACCCCTTAATTAATTTTGTTTCATTCGGCAATTTTCAAATGATCACACCCTATTAAATTATTCCTGAATCATCTCCCCTTAAAAGAGGACAAAGCCTTTCCTTTGTACAGCTTGAATCCTCTTCACCCATGGATGCTTTGTGGCATATTTGACAGCAAAAACTTTAAATTCTAAGAGATATATTAATTCAGATTTTATAAAGTGTTTGCACATTATATTTTACACCAACATCTTTCTGTTAATACTTTATTTTTAGGTGACTGTGTAAGACCTTACTTCTCTTTCTTGCTGAACCAGAAATTGGCCGGTGAAAGTGTCAGACAGGAATATTTTGGGAGTAATTCTCTGAACTTGATTTTAGGTAGGACTTCCCCGACACGCAGACACACATCAGACACGGAGTATTCAGTAGATCTGTAAAAGTAAACGTTAACATCAACACACTGACATTGAGCAGATTCTTACATTGTAAAGTGTTACTTTATTGTACCAACAGCTTGACTTGATACATTTAGATAAAACCAAAAACACCACTTAAGAGCTAAGATTTCTAGCCCTAGGATCATGAAACAGACTTAGACTTCAGTCAATATTTTGATTGCCTGAAAAATGTTTATTAATTTTTTTTAAAACTCAACTTTAAATTGGTAGGTAACAAAACTTTTGAGAAACAATGTTGACAAATATTTTTATTTTTGTCTGCTTGGCTTCTTCCAAGTTTTAGATCTGGACTTATGTTTCAGATGTTTCATGATTCTGAGCCCTGGACATGCCTTGCAGCAAATAATTCTACTTAAAATACTGTACAAAATTGACAAAGGCATTGTAATGTTGTCTTTTAATTACTTCTGTATGCTGTTAATATGATTCTTACCCCTCCTTGAACTTGAATTTTTCCAGTTCCTCCAAAATTTCAAATACCCGGAGTAAAGGTGTTCTAAACGCATCCTCTGGAATCATATATTCTTGTTTCCATGGTGACACTGTTGCCTTGACTACAATTTGCTGGATGTACCCAACAGGAACTCCTAGATACTACAATAAATGCAATTAAATTATATTATACAGTTAAAGTACATTATTGAGGGAGTTAGCAAAATTCCAGTTCCCTGAGGCGCAGTCCTGGTTGATGGGAACTGGAATCTTGCAAACTCCCTCAGTGATATACAAATGTACTTTTTAACTGTTTTATTATACATTTTAAAATACAGGGAATTCACTTGAAGACTAACGCACGGGGAATTAGTCCATTAACATATCAGACCAATACAAAAGTAAACTCTAGAGGCAGATAACCAGGTAATTAGCTTCCAAAGCAAGGATCCAAAATATCAAAACATTCACTGATGCTAGCCAATTAACATTTTACTGCCTCATTTTTATATAGGAAAAAATCAGTAGAGGTACCGTAAATCTGGAATTTTTTATGTCGATTTCATTTTGCGAATTCGGGTCAAGATGCTGTTGATTAATATTTACGTTTCAAAATTTTGCGAATGACCACTGCTTTGTTTACATTTTCTTCTTGGTAATTTATTTTTAAGAAAAATATTTTTGCGAATGCAAAATTTAAAAATTTATCTGAGCAAAAATTTGCAGATTTATGGTATAATAAATTTCTTTCCTATATATTCATTTCATATTATAGTTTTTTTACAGTGAGAATTGTCACAAAAGTTAGCTTTACCCATGGGGGTTTGAAGAGTTCGTTGGGACGGCTATCTTTTCCGGTCTGGGGGGTGGTGGGTTTAGGAGATTTCTCTGAGGGGACTTTGTAATCTGCCAGAGGCTCTCTGTGTTGTAGTGGCACATTTCCTGGCAGGGGCATGTGTACCAAGGGATAACTGTACACAAAATAAAATCCTAACAGTTTAGTCTCATTTCTTAATTTTGAACTGTACTGCATTAAAGTAAATCCTAAGAAATATGTTTCTGTTGAAAACTTAAGTATCATCTAGCATACCAACAGGTGCATCCTTAATTTGTATGAAACCAATAAGACTAAATAATCAACATCAATTCACAAGGTTTTAAATATAATTTTTCAAATTAATTCAATAAAATTAAAATTAACATATGTCTCTAATTGTCACTTTATGTATTTTGTATATACATATACAGTCAAAACTGCCAAATGTATTCTGTCACATGTGACCGTAACTTTTCCCTATATATTCTATCGACCACCTGTCTACGCGACCACGACATTTTCCTGACATTATTGGTCATTTCAAGCAATTTTACCTGAATTTAACGACATAATTATCTAATTTGTATGAAATCAACTACATTTTATTTCATTTAATAATTATATTATGCGAGTTTTACTAAAACAACATTAAAAAATGAATATCTTTATCATTTTCTAAAATATAAACATCACGTAATTTGTCAAATCGATTCGATAAAATTAAAAAAATTAACAGTATATATCTCACTGTCACTTTTTGTATTTAGTATATATATCCAGATATTTCTTTACTTTGTTGCTTTCCCCCTAATATTCCCAAAATGGGGAAGAAGAAAATCAAAGCAATCAGGTAAACTCACAAAGACATAAGCATGACACAAATGACTACAGTCAGGATGGAGTAAGGATGGCTGGCACAGAACAGGCCGTGGGTATAAAACACCTGCGTCACGTATTCCTGTAGTGACTTCATGACTCACGGGGGAGAGAAACACTTCAGAGCTGATTAAGTGACCCCCGTCATTTCTTCTGTGGTTACTTGATTGCTGTAAAATACCATGAAATTATTTGCTTTAAATATTTATGTGTAGGAATTTAAGCTGGGCTGAGGACATCAGCCTGGAAAGCTCAATGGTCAGAGCACCTGACTAGTAATACAGGGGTCCCTGGTTCGATTCCCAGTCCAGCCATATGTTTTCATTATATATGTATTTATCAATAATTATGAATTTTCAATGCATGTTTACTCATTTCTCCTTTCCATACTACAGATGGTGCCTTGTTCAGGAAATACATACCGTAAATCTGGAAATTTTTACTGTAGATAAATTTTTAGCAAATTTGCGCGTGCATTGAATTCGCAAAAATATTTTTCTTAAAAATAAATCAACATGCGAAGAATTTTTTCTGAGAACTCGTGTCTTTTTTTTAACTCGGTGAATAGGTGTCGGTAAGCACTGGTATTTTTAAAAGAAACCTGTTTACACTAGTCTACTATAACTACAAGTTAATTACCCGTGCGTAAATTGTCCTCATTATATGCAATATCGTCCGATGATTTGACAAGCACTGAGGCGGTATGCCCCTTTTTTACAAATTATTTTAATCAATTAATTTGCCAATAAAGAGAGAACTGTCATTTTATCTAACCGTATATCAACACGGGCAATAACTCAAACTCAGTGCATTTACTAGAAAGTTCCAAATGTAAACGCGGCGTGTAAATTTTAGGTGAGACAAACGTTGAGAAAATTAGTTATATTTTTTCTTCATTTGGATTATACTTTACGTTAAAAGGCATACACAACCTCTAAAATGTTTGTTATAATTGACTTAGAAATTATTTTCAGTGCAAATCCTTTTGTATTTTTATCAAAATTGTTTCGGAGCGATTTTGCAATATCTTGCCACGTTGTGGGTATATTGGTGGTATTCTAACTGGGCATATTATTTGAAACATAACCTGATATGAAAATCTTCAGTGATTTTTATTTTTAGCACCAGTGACAATTCGCAAAAATTTGAAGCGTAAAAATTAATCAACAGCTTTTTGACCCAAATTCGCAAAAATAAATCGACGTAAAAATTTCCAGATTTACGGTAATGTATAATTACTGTTAAGTCCTGACAAGGTGAACTTGAGTTGTGTCTTCGATGTTAAAGACTATTTCAGGAGGGGGGAATGTAGGAATTTAGGCTGGACTGAGGACATTGGCCTGGATAGCTCAGTGGTTATAGCACCTGACTAGAAATACAGGGGTCTCGGGTTTGATTCCCGGTCCAGCCACGTTTTCATTATATATATATTTATGAATTTTCAATGTATGTTTACTCATTCCTCCTTTCTGTACTACAGATGTTAATATCAGGGATGCAGATAAAGGGTTTTTTTTTTTTTTTTTTTACTTTTCGGGCCCATTTGCATTGCTGACTGAACTAGGTCGGTCAGTGGATAAAAAAAAAATTGCATTCATAATCAACAAACAACCTTTAATCTATTGATAATTTACTTACTGTAGAAGCACAAATTTTCGTGGGGATAAAATTTCGTTGATTTGTGATCAAAAATAAATTCATGGGCATTTGATTTCGTTGTTCTGAAGGTAACCCCATTCAGTAGATAGTCAACTGAAATTTCTGTGGGATTTAATTTCATTGATTATTGTTAACAACGAAATAAACAAAATTTTATACCCCATGAATATTTGTGCTTTTACAGTTATTCAATGTTAGCTTCATTCAATGAAATTAAATTTAATGAAATTAAATTTTATAGCTTCAGAGATACATGTATGAATGATTATTTAACATGATTCGTGACAGTGAGCATCGCAAAGCGAATAATGTGAGCTTCTCACGACAATGCCACGGCAATTTTAAATTAGTTTCTACTGCACATTCAACCCATCGAATTTTTTGCCGCAGTAATTTGGACCCACAATGCATTGCTTTGTACACAAACGCTAAAGCAATGTTCTAGAGAGAATAACAACAAACGTTAAACGAATAATAAACTTGTCTTGATTTAATGAATTTATCTGTTTATTGCAGAAAAATAGTCATAAACTGATTGAAATCAGCCTTGTACAGTCTTTGGTTTGGTAAAGCAACATGCAAACGACGTCATATGACGTTTAATAAACGCACCAAATGTTACGTGCATTTACGCTTCCGATCTAAATGAAAACTGGAATGATTATTTAACGGTCACACCGTCAACATATTATTCTTTTTAGAGAAGTGGACAGGCTTTCGCCTACATTTAGGTGCATGTAGGTTCTAGGATGTAAGGGAAAGCCTGGCCACTTCTCTAAAGAAACTAGGTTCATGGGTTGCACCTCTTTTTTAAGAGGAAATTCGGAATCAAACCATGTACCACATTCAGACCTCAAAAATTACCTTCTGATTAACTCAATACTGTCTTTAATCCATTAAGTTATCTCGCAAAAAGTGTGCACATATAGTTCACACCTTTTATTACGTTTTTAGCAAAATATTGAGCAAAATACACAGTTCTGAGTTCACAACAAAAAAACATGAACAACAGGATTTACTTCCGGTGATAAGAAACTTACGCAATGGAAAATTCTGATTGGCTAAAATAATTGTTTAAGCGATCGTACGATTACTAAGTCTGCTTTTCTGACTCATTTGGACAATTCAAGAGCTTTCCAAATACCTTATCACTACTGAAAAAAAGAAATGGTCAAAGTACAACAAATTTTGAATTAAAGATTTTTAGATAATACCAGGGATATTTTTGAAGTCCCTGATTGAAAAATGTTTTTATTAAAATATGCATGTTTAACAGGGTTATTTTCAAACGTTTCCCAAATTGATATTTTTTAATATACATGTATACAACACCATTTATTTGTACATGCATTTCTTTTTTTCACGTATGTTGTACATGTAGGTGTTCAATGCTTTGTCTCAGGGGTTTTCCTACCATTTTTTAACTGGGACCGGGGTCCATAGAATTGGGAAAATTGACGCGAAATGCGATCAAATTTTGGGAAAAGTTTAAAAAGGACCAATTTTGTTATTTTCCCATATAAATGAAAATGAAGGGACCAATAAGTGTTTGTTTTACAATAGAGTAAACAAGTGTAGACAGCTATAAAGAGTTACACATTATTCAGCTGTTATTGGATGATAAAAAAATGATATAGAGCGATGATACGATCGCATGTTGACACCTGTTGAGATTTTCAGACGTCTTGCAAGGAAACAAAGTATTGTACTTCTTTCTGAACTCTCTAAAAAAAGTTAAGGATACAAAATTGGGAAAAAAAAGATTCAGAATTGGGAAAATATGGCTGATTTTTTGATTGGGAATGGGTCCTGTAAACGGACCCAAAAACAAGCCAGGAAAACCCCTGTGTCTTTAAATATCACGAGGACATGGACAGGGTAAAATCAATATATCAATGCTGAATTTTCAGTTAAAAATTTAGAATCATGAGAATACTTGAAATAAATTTAAAGATTACAGTATCATGGATTTATTTTGGCAGTAAGCAGTTGGCTGTATTATATGGATAATTCTATGAGTAGAGTAGCGTATCAGAAGCCATTAAAGGTTTTTTTTTTAAAGACGGAATTAATTTGGATCGGTGTCATGGAGGAGTGAGCATCCCCTGCGACCAGTCACACACGCAGTGTGCTCTTTGTCATGATAAGGAAATAACGGAAAAATCCGTCGACGATTCAGTGTGTAAATAATTCCCTAATAATTAGTATGAAAAACGCCTGTCAGCATTTGACTCAATGATAAATTGCATTTGCTGACAAGGTCATTGTATCGACAATTAATAGAACATACGAAATGATGACTTAAAACAAGACTGTTGATATTCTTGATTCATACTTGTTTGTCAATATTATTTACCTTGTTTTAGAAATATTACATACGTAGAGCAGCTCTTGCGCATCGAATAAACTGAGAGATATATAAATTCTCTATGTAAATTCTCGGTGATGTAGGTATTATTGCTGCATAAGTAAGGGGAGCTGATGATTGAAAAGTTAAAGACATCACGTTTATCATAAAGCTTGATTGTTAAGATACCATTAACGTCTTTTCCATGTAAAATATCCAAACTATGAAACAGATGTGTCAGACTCTCAGTCTACATGGTATCATTTACCTCAAGCTCACTGGGATATATTGTATCAACGTAGGAATGAAAATAAACATTGTTACTGACAAATTGACAATCCGTCGTCGATATATCTAAATGACGAGTTGAAGGCCACAGCAAGCGTTTTCTTCTTTTAATTCATGTACAACATTTTTGACAAATATTGCTGCATGTGAATACAAAAATAGGTCTGCTAATAACGGGGCGCAATTGGTACCATGGGAATTCACATGAAGACCCAAAATTCTTCTTTCTATGATCGAGGGAAATTAAGTACTTAATATGCTTAATTAGCCCTTCCATTTAGTAAAGTTTTTTTTTTCTTATACAAAAAAAAAAAAAAAAAAAAAAATGAGTGAACAGCGTGAAGGCTATATCTATATCCTGTACAGCTTACACACACTCTCCCTCCTAAACCCGAATAAAATCATATTTTAAGACCATTCTTAGGAAATTTTCAGGGAGACAAAACAATTCAGGGGCGTAGCCAGAGTACTTTTGATGTGGACGCCCGAGTAGGCAGGGGGTTTGGGGCCGAATTTTTTAGGCCCCAAACATAAAAGGTGGGGGGGGGGGGGGCGAAGCCCCCGAAAACTGATTTCGATGTGCATATTTGACCCACCTGATCGCATTTTCCTTACACCTTATAAGTTTGCAACGCAGCCCTATTTAAGGTCTGTTCTGTTTTTTTTTTACCCAAAATGCAGACAAACACTCAAAAATGAGGAAAAGTTTTTCCAAGATAATGTTGTATGATGAAACCACTAAAACAATTTTGGAGACTAATATATGTATAGTGAATTAAGAATGTAACGCACGTAGTAGAAAACTCGGCAATATTCAATAGTAAATCAAATATTGGGAAAATCTAATGATTTCAGAGAGGTGTTTGCTATCTTTTCTTTCCTTAATTTAAACTGATTCTGTTAATTTTCATTTATTTTTTATCGATATTCTAAATTGTTTCAAACTATTTTTTTATATCACTTATTTATTTATTTATTTGCAAAATACAGAGCATACAAGCATATAGGAGAACTCTTGTGCATTTTTCCCTAAAATGATGTGGACGTTTGTGCGTACAAACGTATGCCTGGCTACGCGCCTGACAATAATCATTTTTGAAATTTATTTTGAGTATTTTATTCAGTAACTCACAAAGACCAACCGGAGAAAGATGCCAGTCATTGAATATTTCTCCCACATAATGATGATCATTTGGATTTGTCCGTAAAAATACATCATCACCTTGATTAACATGGACAACAGCTAAGTTCCCTGCCTGTCCATTTTTATTTGATGTAGAATCCTGAAAAAGGACTCCTATAACATCTTTATTGACAACGAGTTGCACGCTGAGGCTCTTCCCATTAAACACCCGAAAATTCCAGTAGAATGCGTATAATCCTGATTTGGGGGCAATGAATACTCCAGTATTTCGATGAAAACCATTACCGGAATTTGTTTTTACAACATCGAAAACCAGAACATGATTGGGTCCCATCTCGTTGTGATGTGATGACATATATGCATAAAAAGCCACGGCATCCCAACTGGGAGTTGTTGTTGTTGTTAATGGTATCAAAAGTCGTTCTAAAAGAAAATTTAATATTTGTTCCCTTATACGGAATTAATAGACATTACGCTGGATGGTTTGATAAAATTAGTATAATACAAGTCAAACTCAATGTATATGCAAGAAAAACTGACGAGAATGCATTGTTTCTTTAATTAACTCTGGAAGACAGGTTTTCGTAATACTAATTAATAAACTTGCAAATGTACATGTACGTGTTCATTAATTATTTAAAAACTCTGTATTAAACTTTCCTAACCTCTACGGGTAATGAAATTGCCATATGACTTCGTCGTTTTTCGTTTCAAAGAATTATTACGGCGCGTTTTGGTATGTACTTTGAAACTGGAGTTCAAGTGAGTGCCATTTTCCATTTTACTTCCATGCATTTGACGAAATTCTTTGTTTTCTGGATTCCATAACGCAGTTTTCTGTTTCACGATCACTCTTCTGTAACCAAGGGTCTTTTTCTAAAGGTATGTAATTATGTTGGATTGTCTCTCTGTTTTTCTTTGAAGCATGGACACGGTTTCCTGTAGCATAGACAATTCGCCGGACTGTTTTAGTGTTGTCTCTTCCAGCTTCTCGACTCGGTTTTTCAACTTGATGAATTCTTCTTCAATATTTTCACCTGTCAATTTTCCTTCACATAGTTTATTTAAAGTCAGAAACGCCAGTGTGCAAGCAAGGAACAACTTTGTTACATCCATGATCTAGATAACAAAAATGATTATGTAATTCTGCACCGTTTTTATTTTAGAATAAGGTCATGCTATAACATAATTTATGTACAGTGTCACGAGATAAGATTACTACTTTAAGAGTAACACTGAATATATATATATTGATCAAATTGTCAAAAATAATACATGTATTAACAAGAAATAAGAAAATTTATATGCATTAATATCATCTGTTACTAGTATATATTTAATTTTAAATCAACAGTTTTGTGATGTCACATGTTGAAACAAAGACTTGAAAGGGACTTGGACACAGTTTCCACTGATTTTTTTTTTTAAAAACCAATTTTAATGTTTACAATTCCTAAATATGGCAATTTTAATGATCAGCAAAAATTTGAACATCATTTGTTGATTTACAAAATAGTCACAGAACTTAAAATTTCTTCATAATGTACGTAAATTTATACGGCTCGTGCCTTGTTTTTGTTTACACATAAAAATATATTTAAATAACAAAACAAGATTCAGCAAATCGCTAGAAAGTGCCTAATCGTATTCAGAATTAACTTCTTATTTGAAAAAAAAACTGCTTTGAACGAATATATATTATATAAATATAGCCCTTTGATGAGGTCGATCCATAGATATATCGACTTCACAGAAAAGCATATCGACCGAGCACGAAATGCGAGGTCGATATGCTTTTCTGTGAAGTCGATATATCTATGGATTGACCGAATTAAAGGGCTACATTTGTTATATTATTTTTTATAGAGGTTGATAAAAAACAATTTGAAAAAATGGGAACAAACCACAAGTTTTCTCTCTTAAACACTTAGAGCCTAGAAATCAAAATAAATTAAGTTGTTTAGTATAACTGTGTTAAACTTTCAATGACATTTTTAGATTTTTACATATACAAATGTAAATTTAGAGGATTTACTAATTGAAAATACTACAATTGTACATCTTTTTGATTATGTTTTGTATCGATTTTGACAAAGATATTCAGTATGTTCTAATATTAAGTAGATCCTAATTCAGGCCATTGTTACGTCTTGTGAGTTACAGAACATTTCAAATTTAAATACAAGTTGCAGAAACATCAAGACATATACTGTATTAGCTATAATTGTGAAATCTTTCCCATTAATATTTTGTTTTACAGAAAATTCCCTCTATTTTAAGAAACATCAAGTCGATATGCATTTCAGATTCTATAATTAGTAACTCAAGTCTATATGCTATTATATACTAAATCATGTGACCAAGTTTAAGCCAATCAGAGAGCTTGGAATATATGATTAAAATAATATATAAGTATATTTAATCTATGTAACAAAACATGGCACAAGCTCTGTTTATATAACAAAGGTTTAGAGATCAAAATATGTCTTGTATCTCTACAACTGAAATTCAAACTTTTGATGATCACTAGAAATACCTTGGTTAAATATTTGAAAACAGAAAAAAAATAAAAATATACATATATATATTTGAAATTTTAGCCGAAACTGTGTCCATGTCCCTTTAAGGTCGTACGCAACGTAGTTTGAACTTTATTGGGTTCTTCTCTGGAGTTGAAGAGTTCCACTATATGAAGGACCTGTGTGCAATAATTTAAAATGTCTATATGTGGGTTTGTACACCTCTTCTTAAACAAATTCTGATGGAAAAAATATGTGGAATTTATGTTTTGTAATTTTTGTACATTTTTCATTGAATAATGCAATAATTTTCATAATTTGATAACTTTTCGAAATCCCTGGTAACACATGCCGATATTTTGCCTAAGAACATGTGATGGTATTATAAATTTAAATTTAGAATATCTTGAAAAATTATCAGTTGGTAAGGTACCTTGCGTATGTCCTTAAAGGTAAATAATTATGTCATATGTACGCAGTACCATGTCTGACATTTAGAAAATCCTGTTTTAACATTTCAAGCATACACATGTAAGTGATTTCGTACATTCTGGCATTTTCCGAACTTGTTCTCTACAACTGTAACAAGTTTAATGAGAATTACGTTAAATGTCATTGTCAATTTTCGAACTTTTAGTAATTACAATTAAAAATAGGATAAAAATGTTTTTATTGTTTCTCCTTTAAAGTTGAAGGGATATGATGATAACAGCAATCAAAGCCCAACAAGGATATGTTAGACTGGCATCACCTCTAGGTGACTTTTTCTTTGACCCAGGTCCAGCTCTTTCCGGTTCACCAGGGCCCATGATAATCCTCTCCGTACACTTGAATTCTGGGATATCTTGTGGAGGAAGTTGACACGTGCTTCCCGCATTGCTAATTTCCGGACAGTTTTCGACTCTGTTGTTATCAAGAACGTCTTTCATTGTTGCTCCTTCCAGTTTCTCTGGAGCTTTACAGGTTCCGATCTTCAGCATCAGTGCAAATAACGGATCTGGACTTATTGTCTTCATCCATTCTGTATCACAGTTGCAAAGAAATTTAATATCTGAAACTTGAGGAGGCTTTTTCACGAGGGCAAGGAAAGCGTTACATTCCAGTTTTTCGAAAAGGACTCGGTTCAATATCAGCATGTCAAATATACTATCTTTGACCGCAGAATTCATCATATACTTAATTGTGCCATCTTCATACTTTATGTCGTTCTCTGAACTAACATTGTAAAATGCGAATGATTCAAATTTGTGCACCGTGGTACTTGTGAATGTTAGCTTAAAGTCGGTTTTTATATTCCAGAAAGCATATGCCCTTATCGTAGTAATCGTCGATTTTGCGAATGAAATAGAAGTCACTCCTAAATCTCTGAAAGCGCCCTCTTTAATTTCGCCAATGACAGTTAGATCAAAGGTGATTCGTAAATTTTTATGCTTTCTTGGAAATGCGCATGTGCTAATTTGTCCAAAATTACAGCGACTGAAATGTATACTGGTCAGGTTAGGTAGATGTGCAAAGGCATTTGGTGGGAGTTCAACCGCAGTGATTTCATCAAACGTTATTTTCTCTGTATTTGTAGGAAAAGACTCGGGGAAGTTGACTGAGGCTGGACATTTGACGTTATTAGCTCTACAGATGCAGTCTTTGTGGCAGCCCTGAGACAAGACCGCCCCAAATAATGACATAAGTACCACAATTAAGCTGTATGTGAAAACCATTTTCTTCTCTATCTGAAATGAAAAAAGAAATGATAATGCATTAATCAATTACTAAAATGAATAATTTTAGAATGTAAGTATTTACTCTTGAATTATTTATACTTTGAATTTTAATCTAATATTTAAAGTCCGTGTTGTTATAAAAACAAGTTAATGATCCCTATATAATTGCTTAATAAGTCTTGCGGAACGTGCATATTTTTTCCTTACACAGTAATCTATGTCAAAATAAGAAATACCGCCGTTATCTAATTAACATATTTTTTCCATCCTTAAAATTGTAAAAAGGAAGAACAATACAATTAAGAAATCGGTACTTATTTGTATTATGATTTTGCTAAAATAAAATATCTCCCATGAATGAAAGAAATATATTTTTTTACAATGATTAGTAAGGTCTTCGTCATGTATTTTCTTGCATTTGTTTATTGAAACAAAGCATATTACGAATTTAGCCTAAGGGCATGTGTGTCTATAAAAAATTACTAGTTCGCTTAAGAGCAATTCATTTCACATTTTGTACAAATAATTTTTTATTGATTATGATAAAAAGAGTTATAAAATTATTTATTATTAGCAGCAATACCTTTATTGTCCTTTAATGTAAATAATCCTGCAAGCTTGTCCTTAAAGTTTTGTTTTTTCCGTTCACGTGGGCTGTCAAGATTGTCTCTATTTTTTATGATTACCTATAGTTGTAATGAGTAGGGAAGCCCGTTTGTGAAATGAACTCTGTGTATAATACCAAAGGAATTTCTAATCGTTTGGGAAATAATCTATAATCTATATAATCCAAATGAATTTGAAAATAAAATTGCATTGAAAATTACACAAATGTACTGTCGTGGAGCCTAATTATATAGCAAGCAACATTCTCTCAAAGGACTATAGAAAAAGTCATATGTCAGGCAAAATTCTCTCAAAGGAATAGATAATAAAAGAAAAAAACCCAACATTCTCGAATAGGAATTAGAAAAAGGTCAATTGGCGAGCAACATTCTCTCATTGGACCAGAAAGTCAAATAGCAGTCAACATTCTCTCATAGAACTAGAAAAATTCAAATAACAAACAACATTCTCTCATAGGACTAGATAAAGTCAAATAGCAAAAACAACATTCTCTCTCACAGAACTAGCCCAGAGAGCAGGACGTTATTCGACCTTTGTTGGGCCAACAATGCTCCTTTAGTTGGACCACCGTATACATTCAACATTAGGCCATCGGTAATTTGCTCATCGGCCCTTAATCAAACAAACTTGTTGGCTTATTGTTGGGCCAATGCAACATACAATATTGGGCCACTGTAAGGCCAATGTAGGGAAAACGTCAGTTGTGTACAGTTGGGCAATTAATGTCGGGCCAACGGTAATTTGCTCATTGGCCCCTAATCAGACCAACTTGTTGGCTTATTGTTGGACCAATGGAACGGATATTATTGAGCCATTGTTAGGCCACTAATTTTTTCATATTAGGAAAACATTTTTTTTTTTTGCGCCAACGTTGGACTGTATCTCATTAGGTCTCCATCAGGACAACTCAATTGCTCTTCACTGGTTGGCCAGTTGTATATCTCATAGGATTACCATCAACAGGTAATGCATTGTAAGTATAGATCTACATTAATGAAAAAGAAAAACCTGAGGAAAAACCAAAACAATAAAATTAAATAGTAACATATTTTATTGCTCCGTTCATGAAGAAAACATTTATAAAGAACAAAAAGTTGATACTTGTAGCATGTACGGTTATATGCATATCCACCCCTCTCTTATGTGAATGCACAAGTTCAGTAAATTGCAGGTACGCTTATCAATAAGCACATCTTAAAAAATCAAAGTCCTCTTGTACTCAAATAATACTAAAATGAATCCTGCCATATGGATTACTTAAACAAAATAATGTTTCTCTCATCTGCAACATGTTCATTGCCGACAAATAGACACACAAAAAGGTAGAACTATAAGTATGCCTCAGTATATAATAGAAAAAAGTAAGGCACTGCCACTTTCCATCTGATCCCTCTCCGGAGTCTCCTCCCTTCTTTTCTTCTCTGCCCGTTTCTTCCTCCCCCATCCCTTGGAATACCTTAGTCATTCTTTGATAGTATTCTCAATGTCTTTGTTTTGGTGCAAAAATGGCGCAGATATTAAAAGTAACCCAGATGCTATCTACCCACGATGCTCAGCCAGATATATGGTATTGGGCCAACTTAGCGCCGATCCAAATCCCCCAACAAATATTCTCTCTCATTATGTACAACACTTTTATGATATAACGCCAACAGTTAGCCCAACATTGGCCCCATAATACATCACCAACTATCAGTATTCCATGTTGGACCACCGTTGGCCCAATAATGTTAACCCAACAGCGATAATACATCCAAAATGTAAGACTGGGCCAACGATGTGCTGCTATCTGGCAAACAACATTCTCTCAAAGGACTGGAAAGCCAAGTAGCAAGCAACAGACAAGAAAAAAGTCAAATAGCAAGCAACATTCTCTCACGGGACTAGAAAAGTCAAATAACAAACAACATTCTCTCATAGGACTAGAAAAAAAGTCAAAAAACAAAATAAAAATTCTCTCATAGGACTAGAAAAAACTCAAATAGCAAACAATATTCTCTCATAGGACTAGAAAAAAATTCCAAAAAAATTCTCTCATAGGACTAAAAAGTCAAATAGCAAACAACATTCTCTCATAGGACTAGAAAAGTCAAATAGCAAGAAACATATTCTCTCACAGGACTAGAAAACAACAAGAAAATAGCAAACAATATTCTCTCATAGGACTAGAAAATTCAAATAGCAAGCAACATATATTCCCTCATAGGGCTATTATAAAAGTCATTTAAATTGAAGCAAAATTAAGATCAGTAGCAACATTTTATATTCATATGATAATTGCAGAAGTAACATACACACATTGAACATTTCTTTCTTTTTACAGTTGAAGTCACACGCAATTTGAATGACCGTAATTTTCTTTAAAAATTCGTATAAATTGTGGTGTTGCTACGTAACAATGACGATTCAAAAATGCATGCAGAACGTCTGCTCTCAAGTGTCATTGAATAAGGAGTTGATCCTAAAATCGCGGTTTCAAATCCCAATGCAGAAACAGAAACTGCCAGAAAGTGGAGGCCAGTCCATCCGATGAGATTGTATAAACCGAGAAACTATGTTGCAGTAGGTGCTGACACGAAAAAAAGTCTTCTTAATATGGTCCTGAGTGATGAGTATTGCTCTAAAATATAAACAGTACTGAACAACAAACTTCAAGAGTACTGCATGCACAACATCATAAAAGCGAAGTGATGTAAAACAGATGCGAAATATTCACAATTCCAAGGAACTTTTAGAAAATTTGAAATCACAAAAACTTACCAAATAAAAAAAAATCTAAACGTAACACTTTTCAATACTTTGTCCCTTCTGCACGTCAAACTTAAGTCCAGGCTCTTTAGCATAATTGACAACAGCTTTTTTCAATCAAATCGGAACTCGTCAATCTACTTAATTTTTTCATATGTAAGTTGCAAAATTATTTTGTTAAGAGACTTAAAGTTGGTTTTAAGAGGATTGCTTGAGTTTCAGTTTGACAGTATCTATATAGCACTCTAAAAAAATTGTCCTTAAGCATTTTTAACTGAAGATGCCTGAGTTTCAGTTTGACAGTATCGATGTAGATTTGGGAGACCAGGTTTTCCACAACCTGTTGTAATTCTCATGGGAATCAATTTTTATTAGACCTACATGTATTATTGCATTCATATGCAGCAGAATCTATTCAAAGTCTCATGCACGAGAAGAATAAAGCACTTGCTGTTTCCTTCACCTCGACTTTTCTGTTGGTTTTTGAGAAGAAGATTTTTTACATATTTTTGTCTTTTCTTGACTCCCCTTGAGAGAGATTCATCAATTAAAAATACTTACTTCTATTCATGTATCAACTCTGTATATCCCATTGAGCTTGTTAAAGATTTCATAAAGGTTTTCCACAATCTGTTGTAATTCTCATGGGAATCAATTTTTATTAGACCTACATGTATTATTGCATTCATATGCAGCAGAATCTAATAGTATTCAAAATCTTATGCACGAGAAGAATAAAGCACTTGTTGTCTCCTTCATATTTTATATCTATATCAAAAAAACCCCATTTATATATTTAGCTTGTTAAAGAAACTATCTGTATCATTTATCGATAATCATATTTGAATTTTAATGCTTTATAATAAACTTTTGATATTGTGAAGATATCACCAATCTCGTTTAAAGTCAACATTTCTCTAATCCTATGTTCGAAAAAACGTAAGTTTTTCAACAAATACACTCAATTGTTAAGTTGAATGTTGACTGATGTTTCTCATGCAAATTGTGAAGCCAGTTTTTTTTTTTTTACACTGAATTGCCTACAGATTTTTTCCATTGGCCTGATCATGACAAGCAACAAACTGTGTGACCGATCGATAGAGAGTGTTTCATGTCCTTGCCACCTGATCCCACCTCGGATGTTTTCAGAGGTACGCATTTGTTCTGCTCCCATTTTGTATTATATCAGTGACTTTTCGAGATGATGAATGCTCATTTACAGTTGTCTTTTGAAAATTATTAAGCGGGTTCGTTAGTTTGGTATGCTATTTTATCACAAAATATACATACTGTAATCAATATATTTGATAGAAAGCAAATACGTTTTGCCACAACACTGTACTCTGTCACAAGAAAAAATAAAGTTATTCTGTCAAATCGTGGCAAAATCACTCGCTGTTCAAATTTTTAAAACAATTTTAACATATGGAACAAAGCAGGAAGCTCTAGACAAAGAAGCATAACTTTTATAAATCGCACAAAATGCACGTAACTTATTTTCACACTCCCCAATCTCTCATTTTATTGAATTTGAGACGCCCACACTTCAAATTTGTATATTATCAAGGTACATGTACGTCCATTTCGTCAGTTTTTTTTCCAGAAAAGTTCGGTAATCAATGAATCTATTCAAAATATTGAATTAAAATAATTTAAATTAAATAATACCGGTAATTATGAAACTATTTCTTGTGGCGATTCATCAAATGTAAGTTTTTTGTTTATATTGAAACATTTTTCCGATATAACATGCTAGAAATATGAAAGATGTGTTTCAATGATGTTTTTAATGGAAAGATCAAACCTTCACTCAACAGAATTTACCATGTACATGTATACCGAAGAAGTAAGTTAAGATTTACAAATTGTTTTGACAAATATCGAGCACAAATGACATCACTTCATGGCCCAAACTTTTTTTCATTATTTAAAAAAATGTTTGAAAACACATATTCACAAGTGCCATGAAGAGAAGTGAATTTTTAAGAAATAGGTAGGATAAAGTATGCATGAACTTCCTCTTAATAGTTCAGAACAGGAAATGGGTGCTGAAAAAGAATGTCTAAATAAATTTACCGACACCACTGAGTCTTCCTGATTGAAATAAAATGAATTTCCTATAAATCAGTCTTTGACCTAGGTAAATATTTGCTAATATATGTAAATTACATAGCATTTATTCTGCAATTTTATAATTTGTTTACATGTACATGTATTTCAATTGTCTTTGAAACTTGATCATGGAGAAGTGATATAATCAGTCATATAAAATAACAAAATGATGCATAGGCTACCTGGAATTAAAGTACATCAAAATAGATCAACATGCTTCATTCAGATGACATGTTTCTATCTTGTCAATGTCTCACGTTGTGGCAAAACTTTGAGGAACGTCGATGTCATCTCTGAAGCAAAATTGTATTTTCATAGCACCTGAACAACCCTGTCTTCATGCAATGACAATCCAGTTTGTGCAAATAAAGAAGAAGCCATGCTTTCAGCTGAATGAACAATATTTGAATAAGATGACTAAAAAATACAAAAAAATTAAAATAATAATTCTATTGTATCTATCTTACGGAGTCTTTTATACGAGTGTACATATATAATTCACATCCCCACTGTGGTCTAGTCAATCTTCACAATTTTTAAAAGAATTTAGATTGACCAACTCATTTTAAAATGTTAATTACGATATATACAATCATTAAAGTGGCAGTAAATGTTCTCTATTTTAATTACAGTAAATAACGCCCACTTACTAAATTAACAACAACAACAACAAAATTGAGAAATATAAATAAATCAATCAAAATAAATTTCAATGTAGTAAAAAAAGTAATTAAAAAAATTCAAAATAAAGTTGTTTAATGAAGTCTCACTGATATTTGGTAATTAGGAATTAGGGATATGTTTTGCATTTAATTAAGACAGAAACAAATGTACTTCAAGTTAATGAATTATGAATTTTTTTGAAAATTAATAACAGCGGAAAGAAATGTACCTAAAATTGCCTGATCAATCAATTGAAAAGGCAGATCCAGGCATTTTATGCAATTAGTACATGATCTATTCATTGAAATTTTGGATTTTTATCAAAGGTATATAAGTTGCTGCTGGTCGTGAATGAAATATATTTTTCACTCGGGAAGTGCTGCATTTGAAAGATATCCTTAACTCATACCTGTTAAATTGGTAAGTTTCTTTTAGTTGCATATAAGTATACACGTAATTCAAAGGATTGAATTTTTCAGACGTAAATTTATAGATGTAAAGATATTTTGCTTGCTTCCTTTGGAGAATTTTAATCATATGGAGATGCCAGCACTTGGTAGAAAAGTGTTGCAAATTTAGACCTGTACTCGGCACATATTTGAAACGTGGTGATTATTTTACTTGCTAATTCCAACTGCTACACTGCGTCAAAAATGATTAAAACAGACATTCATTTTCTGGTTACAGATATTTAATTGAGTCCTACTGTTCTTTTGTTTGTTTGTTTGTTTTTTGTTTTGTTTTCTTCTTCTTCTTCTTCTTTTTTTTTTTTTTTTTTTTTTTTTTTTTGCTCTATAATGAATGCAAAGTGCATATATATTTTATTTCATTACTTAATTTAAACTGCAAAATCTTGATATTTTAATAAAAGTTATTTCCTTGCAAAGGCATTTGCCTTATAACTTATTTTTTAAATTATGCTTTCGTATAATTCGTTTATTTCGTAACATAATTAATATTCATCTATAAACACATAACGAGATACACCATAAAAAGAAATTGTCATAAAAAATTTTCTGTTGTATATGCCTTATATTTTTCTTTGTTTAACAATTTACAGACTATACGGAACAAATATGAGGTGGATTTCAATGGTCTTGCTTTTCCAGCTTACGATTTGTGTCAAATCCCAGGAATATCCATTCCAGTTAGGACCAAATCTAAGATTCAACTCTGATGCATACCAAGAAAATATGGCTTACAACGATGTTTTCTCTAATGAACCACCTACGCTGGAATTCAAAAAATCAAATTTTCAAACATCGGAAAAAATGAAGCCTCAAATTGATGTATTTACCCCACTTCGAAAGCTGCTAGAGGAACTACAAAAGAAGTATCAAGAGAGATATAATTTATAGAATTAATATAACTTTTTTATTATCCTCAATTAAGTCTGTGCTTGCAACACACATTTTATTGGGAGTGTCTTTAGAAAATGTGTATTTTAAAGCTTTTATAGCAGAAAAGAGCTCCATAAATATTGATATTTACTGTATATTACATATTGATTGTAAAAATTGAACATTTAGAATAACTACCTCTTTGAGTCCTTTTTTATTGAATAAAAATAACAAAAGAGACATCATGAACCCAGAAGAGAGTCGAAAATACGCTGAGTATGTGACCCATATACATGTACACGTATTATTAAAAGCAAGAACATATAATTATTTATTTGAATTCATAAGGCAAAATATATAATGAGAGAGAGAGAGAACTGAAAAATTGCGATTGTGAATTGGGTTTTCGATACAATAGAAATTCCTTGCACTGTATTTTTGCCTTTCTCTTTGCTTACGAGAAACATATGGAGATAACAAACAGTATTCAAGATCAAAGTCCATAAAACAGTAAAAAATAGGAGTAAAGCAAACACTGGCCTCCAAAACATCAGAGTTGGAATCAGGTGCCATGGAGGAATGAACATTCCCTGATGATCAGTCACACCCACCGTGTTCTCCATGTCATGATCTGGAAATAACGAAAAAAAACAACCTTCGTCAATTCAGTGTATAAATAATGGACTAATAATTAGTATGAAAAACGCCAGTCAGCATTTGACTCAATGATGAAATTTATTTGCTGACAAAGTCATTGTATCGACCATGGATCTTGCGAGATGATGACTTTAAACGAGACTGTTGATATTGCTGCTTCATCAACTTGTTTGTCAATAATTTACCTCATTTTAGAAATTGTACATACGTAGAGCATGCTCTTGCGTTTCGAATCAACTGAGATATATAAACTCCTTATGCAGGTGATGAAGGTATATTGCTGCATAAGTAAGGGAAGTTGACAATTGAAAAGTTAAAGTCATCAAGTTTATCATAGAGTTTGGTTGTAAGATTACCGCGTTGGATACCATAACAAGTGTTTTCTTCTTTTTACACATAAGATTTTGCACAAATTCTTCACATCAATACAAAAATTGGTCTGCTAATAACGGGGCGCAGTTGGTACCCATGGGAATTTCAATAGATTGTCGGAAGACCTGGTCTCCAATATAGATGATGTCAATCAGAGACTCAAACATCTTTTTGATGTCAACTTCGAATACTTATTTGTTCAATCAGAATGTTCTTTAACAAAACAATTTAATTTAATGATTTTGCAAATGACCACTGACAATGAAAGAAAAATAGCGAGTACCATTTTTATTGAAAAAGTGTGAAAATTGTTCTTATCGTGGGAAATGGTTGTATATAAAATTGAAAAGTCATTAGTTTTTAATCTGTTGATTTTTGGTAAAATCTAGTCATTTCAAATTTTCCAAAAGTTCTTTGGAATTTTTAAGTATCCACATCTGATTTACACCACTTCTTGAATATAGTGTTGCACAGTGCTCTTGAAGTTTTTCCTTTATTGCTGTTAATATCTTAATGAGGAGTAAAGAAACACACGATTTCTGCATGCTATTCTTTATTTCATGTAACATTTATATTTGTACAATTTATACTGAAAAATTAATAACGAATTTAATCATGTTATAATAGCCTGAATGTGTATGATATACGAAATATTACACATGAACTAAAATTAATGAGTCTTAATTGTGTGTTCATCCAGTATTTGTCAGAACAAATAGAAGAGAATTTAACATCGTGACCAAAACATTGTCACCCATCATTTGTTTTAACTTTGGTGTTACTCTGTGCGGATTGGGTACATTTTAAAAAGAAGTCAATTTCACTGCTTCTTTTCCCAGGATTTCTTCTCAACAACCAAGGTATCATTTTTCTTCGGGAATTATTACTCGAGTTTACACTATTATCTCAACAGGTTTCATAAGATTTGTTCCGAATTCGTGCCTAATATATATTGTTTTTTTTTTTTTTAAATTAAATACTAAGTATTTCAGTTTGCCAGTAAGTATGTAGCCCTAAAATATTCATGTCACAATGTATAAAAGATTGACTATAATCTCAATTAAAAAAAAAATCGAAAACAAAGCAAATATGTGTTAATATCTCCAAAGGTTTAGAGGGTAAGTGTGTGCATGAACATGGTGTGGACAGAAGAAAGTTTACACAAACCAGAACCTGCGGAGAAAATGTGTAGCGGACGGGAAATCTAACCAGGGATCCTATTGGAGTTAATATGCTGACAAGTTATTTTTTTTAAAAGTATACATACAATATAATCTGCGACTCCAAAAATGTCATTTAAACCTAATTCAAAGGTTTCGGATATAATCCTGCTAAATTCTAAGCATTATGTGTTGGAATAACAAAACTATCTAGACGAGAAAACTATCTGAAGCCAGTAAATGTCCGTAGTATTTCGTCAAACAGGGCGTGCTAAGACGTCGTGAGTCGCTAAAATCAGAGTGTGCTAATGTAGATACATTATATAACTTATTTTAACTGAAAATTATAACTTTACAAATATGATGTAAATATTGCTTAAATGGGTTAAATTTTTAGAATTAAAAACAAAATCGTGTTGTGCCCAGGAGACGGCTGTCGGGACCCAATCAACAAAGCCATGACTTTAATAAAACTTTTACATTAGAGCACATACTAGTCATTATTCATCTTAATGTGCGTTCTGTCACTATTTAAAAGAACCTATGATAATTTAAATCAAGAAAGAAAAAGTAATTTTGGATTTGCATGTAAGAAAAAATATGTAGAAAAAATAAAAAAGGCGTTTAGTCTCAAAAAATTTTATTTCCAAGAACAACGCATCTTCAATCAATTCACTGCGTTTTGCAGGCAGGCGACAGATGTATTTGTTTAACAAATCCCAGCAATTTCTCAATTTTTATCAATTAGACTTAAAAGAATTATTTGCTTCACTGAAAGATATACCTAGTTATTTTTATAAAACTAGTGTGCCCCGTAAAGCATTTGTCGTGATTAGTTGTCATTCCATTTACTGGCTGAGATAGTGAGAAGTGGAGTGGGGGTTGTATAGATACTTAAATACCTAGTGAAAGTTACTTTTTAATTCTAGACTTACTAATTTTATCAAGTAAATCTACCCAATACCTAATAAAACTACTTTTAAGGTAATGATTGTATGGACAGTAAATTTACTAGTCTTCTTAGTACTTCAACTATTTTTTTTTTTAGTGTTTAATTATGCAATATAAGATAACTTTCAACACAATGACTGAGCAAACGTTTGCAGTTTGATATATGTCTCGATGAATTATATGAAGGTTAAAGTGTGCAATCACCTTTCAAAAAATAGAATTAGCATACGATTTCATCAGCATCATGTTAATTATTCGATGGATTTTGAGAAAAAAGAAATACTTAAATTTAAAAAAAGATACATCGGTCATACAGAAGAATGCCCAACATCAGCAACTTTAAGAATCAACACCCTACAAAAGAATATAAAAAATCAAATTGTTCTTTAATGGACTTAAACGACAGTTTATTTGTTCATTAAGACATTTTTTCTCGTAATTTAAGATGAATATCATCTAGATTGGGAATATCACAAACGTAACGGTATAACAGTTAAAAATATTTCATTGTTGATGACAAAAAAGTGCATAATTTTAATTTTGCATTGTAATTTATTTTTAATACTTTGAAAACTGGAAAATATGAAAGATTGTTCAACCAATGTAAGAAGGAATTGAATAAAATTTAAAATATATTTAAATTGTAAAATTATTTTATGGTCAGAAAAAAAACTCTAGAGGTTAGGTTCTTTAGATCATTAATTTCATCGGACAACCATAGAGTAAATTGCTATTTGCATAACAGGCGATATAAAAAAAATGTGTTAGCATGCAAACGCCCTCTAAAAATGAGTAGATTCAGTTGCTATTACAATATTTCATGACTTTATTAAGGACTTTATTACTTCTCAAAAATTTGAAAATGCATAATGCAGTGTTCTAAACACTATTGAAAAATGACAAAATTCATGAGCAAAAATTTATTACACATTTGATTGTTTAATTTTTCTAATGCATCGAGTAAAATATTCTGTATGATAATTTGCCCGTTCATTCGTCACTTCGCCACAAAAAGAAAGAATATCTTTTGTGTGTAGATTTACTCCTTATCATTTTTAGGTACCAGGCGATCATATTTATCAGAGGATGGGGCCGGGTGAAAAATACCTTGGTCCCACGCCCCCAGGAAATAAAATTAGTACATGTATACGCGTATGCGTATGACCCATCCTCATTTTAAGAAAATGGGAAGAAGAAGAGGGATATATCTCTGATCGCTTTGGTACCCTTGAAAATCTAGATCTAATTCAATTTTTTATATGTATATTTACAGTTGAAAATAATTTTAAAGATTCTTAAGCTTAATGTTACTAATTTAGAAAATTGGAACATAAAATGCATCTTGTCACGGAAAAAATAAACTAATTTATATTTAATCTTATTTTCACGAGCTGCTACTTTAATTTTCGGAGAAGGTTTCCAGATTGTCAAATCGTGTCAGGAACTTTGTAAGCTGAAACGTATAAATGACATATATCTCATTCTCAGTCGGACATTAACTCTTTAATCGTCTTTTCTCGTAAATTTTATTCTAATTGATTGAAATTTCCAACAGCTCTTTTATTTTTTTTAAATTTATGATGTCTTAAACTAGACTGTTAAAATTTTTTTCAAATGAAAAAGGACAATGTACCAGTCTTATTTTATGAAAATTAACTAATACATCATGTCTATAATTGACTTATGGCATATAGTTATTTGAACTCTGTTTTTACATATGGATGCGATAATTGAGCGATCAACCTTCAAACATAAATCGGTGCAGTGACAATATCAATCATTTATAAAAAAGCAATTAGGACACGCGCACACAAAAGTTAATATGAATGTGATATAATTTATCTATTTTTTAATTTCTATCACTTTTGAAAATATTTTATTTTTAAAAAATAGTACATATGTTCCTATATCAACGAAACCTTCGATATACTATCGCACAACACCATAGAATTCAGTATATTTTTGCCTGTACATGATTAAATCATTCTTATTGAAAGCGATAATTTTACCGTTTAGATCAAACAAGAAAACAAGATATATGTTAAAATCCGGATCTGGAAATCTGGATTTTCTGAAGCCGGATATCCTTTCAATAACCAATCATGCTGTTATTGACATAAACATGTCATACAAATTATATATCAGTTGAATGTAAGACCATCTTTAAAATAGTATGTGTAAGTTTACTCTCTCTCAATCCAGGGCACAGGCACCTAACGAATGGAATGTGCTCCCCCCTTTTTGGAGAATTTTTAGACACGCTAGTTTATCCAAAATACACAAATCCATTGTCTACTGTGTCTGTGTTTCGATTTATGATATTATTTTCCGTTTTTGTTAAGTTTTACAGGTTGCCATTCTATGGGTATATCTCTCAGTTGATTCGTTACGCTAGTACATGCTCTACGTATAAAAAAAAATCTAAAACGAAGTAAGTTATTGACAAATAAATTGATGAATCAAGAATATCAAAAGTCCCCTTTTAATTTACCATTTTGTTAGTTCTATGGTCAATACAATGACAGATATGTCCGCTATTTCCCGATTATGACAAGGAGCACACGCGGGTGTGATCGGTCGGCAGGGACTGCTCACTCCTCCATGGAACCCGATCCCACCTCTGTTGCTTTAAAGATTCGTGTCTGCTCTGCTCCAAAATGTTTATTGTTTAATAGACTTTTGAGCTTGAATACTGTTCGTAATCTCCATATATTTCATTTTAATTGCAAAAAGAGCTTCCACATGTTGCTCTTGTCTTCAATGTCACTGATTTTCGCAATAGTCATACTATGCATCTCTTTTGCAGCGAACTGCTAAATTAAACAAGGAGTGGTACTGAAATCGAGAGTGGCGGGCATTGACATGGCAATGCAAACACATTAATATGCATCACTCAGCCAAACACTAAACAGTCAAAAAATAAATTTACAGAATAAAGCAAACTACACTGCACCTATTACAATTGTAAGAAAACGTACTTACTACATTTTGATAGCATAAAATGATAGGTGTAATGAAGGGGGTATATTTTTTCTATGTAAATATCCATAATTCCATGACCTTAAGAACTAAACTTTCGGGCTTTTCTGTTTTCACCTTGCTTTATTCTACCTTGTAGCCTTCAACTGATTATGTATATTTATTCATAGTAATTGTTATTTTGTTAAATTCTTGGGGGTTTATATGCCAAGTTCTCTGCTTGTGTAAGTCCTTTCTAATGTCAGATGAAAACATTTGCATTCAAAAGCCATTATTATTTCCAAGACGAACGTAACGTTTTCAAAAATTCACAAAAGTGCAAATTAAACGTATTTCTTTGTTGTCATGTGTTTAATTCATGACAATCAATTCATTTCATTAATTACAATTTAACAATACATGTACTTAAAATTTGATTGAAGCTTTAAAGAGTAAACAAGTTAAGATTTCAAGTCTTGTATAAAAAGCATTTCGTACCATGAAAATTTATTAATCAGGGCTACCATAGGTTAATTAATTTCACAAAAAAATCTGTAAGCAATTATTTACTTTAAATTCAGAGCAAAAGACGAAAAAAAAAACCAGAATAGTATAAGAAAGAATGCCGTTAGATTCGTTCTTTCGTCTTTCTCTATAAAGATTAAAGTATAACGTTGATAACGTTGTAAGATTAAAGTATAACCTTGTAAGATTAAAGCATAACCTTGTAAGATTAAAGCATAACCTTGTAAGATTAAAGTATAAATTTGTAAAATAAAGTTGACACGATTTAAGTATAACGTTGCAAGGTTAACATATTATGTTATAAGATTAAAGTATAGTGTTTGCAAGATTAAAGTATATAGATGGTTAGATTAAAGAATAAATTTGGCAAGATTGAGGTATAAAGTTGGTAAGATTAAAGAATAAATTTTGCAATTTATAAAGTATAGAGTTTGCCAAATTAAAGTATCATATTGATTTAAAATGTAAAGTTGGCAAGATTAAAATTAACTTACTTACAAAGATTAAGGTATAAAGTTGGAACGTTAATTAAAGTAAATTACATAATTTTCTAAGATCAAGTAGTTTATACACGCCCGATTACATGTTGCTTGCTGTGGCCTTCAACTCAACATTTAGATATATCGACGACGTATTGTCAATTAACAATGGTAATTTCCATTCCCATGGCGATACGATATATCCTGGTGAGCTTGAGATGAAAGATACCACAGAGTCTGACATATCTGTTTCATACTTGGATATTTTACTTGAAAAAGACATTGATAGTAATCTTATAACCAAGCTCTATGATCAACGTGATGACTTTAACTTTTCTATCGTCATCCTCTACTTATGCAGCAATATACTATACCTTCATCTTCTGCATACTATACGGCGTTTATATATCTCAGTTGATTCGATACGCAAGAGCATGTTCTACGCATGAAAATTTCTAAAAGGAGGTAAATTATTGACAAATAAGTTGATGAAACAAGTATATCAGCAGTCTCGTTTAAAGTCATCAATTCGTAAGTTCTTTGGTCGATACAATGGTCCTGTCAGCAAATACAATTTATCGCTGAGTCAAATGCTGACTGACGTTTTTCATACTTATTCTTAGTCCATTATTTATACACTGAAATGATGACGGATTTTTCCCGTTATTTCTCGATCATGACAAGGAGCACACGGTCGGCAGGGGATGTTCACTCGTCTATGGTACCTGATCCACCTCCGGTGTTTTAGAGGTCCGTGTTTGCTCTGCTCCTATTTTGTATTGTTTTATGAACTTTGATATTGAATACTATTTGTTATCTCCATATCCTTCATCTACTTCTATATGATTGTACTTGTTAACTATTTAAATAAATGTATTATTTTTAGTACATGTACAAATGTATACTTGTTTCATTAATTTCGTTAGATAGTAAATAATTTGTCTTGTTTAATATTTGATGTCTGACGTGAGGAAATAAGTTTTATGATAAATGGTCTTAATCTGTCACAATAGCATCAGAAACAAACTAATGAACATACTAATTAATGTCTTATAATTGTTAAATTGTTTACTTATGAGAAACCTACATACATTACATATATGAAAAACTTTCAATGTGTAAGAATGTAAAAAGTTCATATGAACTTAAAAAATAAGAAGTGCATATATTTCTAATCAAGAAAAACTTTATAATACTTTTTTCGTGTTTTATATCATACGTACGAATTAATAATATACAATTTTCTCTAAGAAAAATGCACTTTTTGTTCAAAAATTTTTAAGTTATGTCCACAAAGTGATAATAAGGTACGATACTTATTTTAAATATATCAAGCCTTGTCTGTGATATATATGCTATACATTTTTTTAAAGATCTCAACAAGGGGACTTCTTTTCATTTATTTTATGAATTCAAATTAAATTCTAACTTTTTAAACGTTTACTTGAGATGAAATGATATGAATGATCTTTCAAATCGGGTAAAAATGTTGTGAAATACGAGTTAGAAAAATATATCGAAGAAATAAAATGTGTACATCTGACGAGAGTTTAAAAACAGAATGCAACCTGGGAATAAATCCAATTTTACAAAGTCATAGGATATACTGTTAATATATATGCTTTTTTAAATAACGTGTTTGCATATTATGTATGTTTATTTTTTATCTTTTGTTTGTAAGAAAAGTTTTCAAAAGCAAAGCATTACATATTTTTGTTTCATCCGACATGGTTTTTTCCAGACATTTAAAAAATGTTATTGATTACATCGAGATATTTTCTCAGATTTCAATGATAAAAAAAAGATTAACGAAGCCTTTTGAAGTTCAATTTTTTTCGAAAGGACATGTAGAGGGGAATTGTGATAACATTTTGTTGCCTTGACATTTTTCCATTATTCATCAATAATCCCCCTTAATTAGCATCTTACGAATGTAAATTGCAGAAATAATAAATATTGTCAAGTGATGCAAATTATGCAAATGTATGCGAATGTTTAATATATAAGAATTTCCTGTGTGAAAAACAGAGATATGAAACTGACAGTTGTCAAATGAAGTCGTGATATCTGTTTCAAAAGACATTTCTTACTACCGGTAAAAGGTAAGCATATATATTTGAAAATTATTATTTTTATAAGTATTTAATCTATTTAATTTATACTGAATTACACGTATTCGTATTTTTTTTTTAATTATTTGCTTTCTATGTTTTTCCATATTATATTGTTACATAATACTAATTCTTAAATGATGAATTCTTTTTTGATGTAAAACTTTGATTAAATTTCTTACAAAATTACGATAATTTGAATTATGCTGCACTTCTGATATCGATAGGAGAGTATCAAGTTTCAGTTTTACTAATGTGAGATGGGGCGTGGATGGGTGAAGTAAAACAAAATATTTTCACGCGTCGGGGGGACTAAATAATAAAATAAAATTACCTTGGAGAGGAACAATAAGATCTGATAATCAGACGAACATTATTATGATAGGGACATAAGCATAAAGCTATTTTGCTATCTATAGTATTCTATCTGCAAATAATTGAGAACATGACCCTCATCTTGCCTCCTCGCTCTCGGTTCCAAAAACAATTATTTGTAGATAAGTCTTCTACTTGCATAAAAACCCGACTAAAAGACATGTGACATGTTTATGTATGACGTATAATGAAAAAATTATCTTCTACGTCCATTTTTTTTTTCAGAAACAAAAATAAAGCACTATGTCAAATGTGACACAGCTGCTCTTTTTCCTTGCGGTCCTCCAAATCCCGCCACTATATCGCACGGATGAGTTGCAATCTTCTCCATATGACTGGAACACACCAAGAGGACTCCAAATTTCTAACAACCCATTCAGTCCTCACCGGAATCTTTTAAAAGCCATTCAGCAAAATCGTGAGATAAAGAGTTTAAGTGGTGAAGCTGAGGATGAAACACCGTTCCAGAATAGACTGGATCAACCTGATATACCTGACATCCTTTCAAACGATCTACCAAATGAAGAAACGCCCCAAGATCGCTTTAAAACTTTTGACACTGAAAAAGGTCAAGATTATATTAACGATGATTACAGACCAAGTGGAAATTTTGAAGTAGAAAATAAAGTTCAAGGTTCAGCGACGCATGATCAACTGATGAATCCACTTTTGGCACGCAGCAGCAAACTATTAGGGCCACCAGCACGATTAAGTAATGATATTCGATCACCTTCGAATACAGTTTTTCAGAATGGGATGTTAGAAAATCAACCACGTATAAATCAAATTGTTCCATCACAACTGAAACAGCTGCATCGTTTATTTGAGGAATTCACACAAAATCAACCTCTGATTCAAACTCCTGGCCTTGGAGAATTTATTCCCTTACCACTCCCATCATCGCTTTCTCGAAACAGAGGTTATTTACCTCGGCATGAATCATTGTCGTTCCCGCCACCTTTTCCTGCTTACAAAGACCGCCTACACCATCGAGGACCCATACCCTTCCCACCACTGCCATTCAGATACAGAGGCAACCTTCCTCCTCCAGTAGCCTTGCCATTTCCACCACCACCACCACCACCATATAAAGGACGTATACCACCACCATTTGAATTCAAAGGTCACGCTCCTCAACGTAGACAATTTCCATTCCCACTGCCGCCGTTTGGATTCAGAGACCAGCTTCCTCGACAATTTCTTTTACCGTTTCCATCTCCACCACTATCATTCGGATTCATGGGACACTATCCTCGACGTGCACCATTACCCTTCCCTCTCCCACCATTTGGAATCAGAGATCAATTTCCACATCGTGCACCATTCCCACCCCCACCATTTGGAATTAGACACAAATTTCCACGACGTGCACCATTTCCACTCCCACCATTTGGAATTAGAGACCAATTTCCACGACATGCACCATTCCCACCCCTTCCATTTGGAATAAGAGACCAATTTCCACGACGTGCACCATTCCCACCCCTTCCATTTGGAATTATAGACCAATTTCCACGACGTACACCATTCCCATTCCCACTCCCACCATTTGGAATTAGAGACCAACTTCCCCGTCGTGCACCATTTCTATTCCCACAAATGCCATTCAGATTTGGAGGCTATTTTCCTCGACGTGTCCCGTTTCCATTTCCACTCCCATCTTTCGGATTTAGAGGACACTTACCACCTCATACACGGTTTCCATTCCCACTACCCCCATATGGATTAAAAGAACACTTTCCTAGTCAGATGCCCTCACCATTTCCACCACGACCACGTGGACCCGTGCCATTCCAACCATCTTCTCGATTAAGAGGCCACTTACTTCGTCACATACCCTCACCATTTCCACCGCCTCGATTTGGTAATGGAGAACTTTCTCCACGGTCTATGCCAAAACCATTTAAACCATCGCCTGTTAAATATAGAGAAGAATTGCCTTTTAAGGCACATTTGCGTTTCCTCTCGCCACCAGCAATGAACAGAGGACATGTTCCTCCTCAGGCAATGCCCCCTTTTCTAAGATCACCAAAAATACCCCAACAGCCTATGAGTAGCCCTATTTTCTCATATGATAAGAAACCTTTTCAACCTTTAAAAAGACTAGATGACCTTCCATTTAATTTGCAAATGAGAAAGGATTTATCATATGGAAAAGGAGAAAGCCCACTTTCTCTGCCATTAAAACATGGTCGACCCTTTCTTGGTGATCGTCTACCAGGGCTTCCGTCTAACAACCCAATGCCACCAAACTCCTCACCGTACGTCCCACGTGATGACTTGCCACCAGTGCGAGAATTCGATTTGAAGCGTTCCTTTCCACCACCGAAATTTATTTAGTTTGCAGACCTATATAAACTTTTACTATAAGCTTGCTTTATGTTTAGTAGTTTCCCCGAGAATTGCTTGATAAAATGGCATGTAGCAAGTAGAAATGAAATCCATAGAGTTATGTATATTTTTTTATGTTACAAATGAAGTCAATGCCTTTTAGTTCGAAACATTCTGTAAAAATGTTTCATACATTGTTATACTGTTACAGTATACTAGTACCTTTTTGCAAAGGTGTTGATCATCAATTGCTATAATATGTCTCAAGTCGTATATGTGTTTGTATTTTTATTGACAGCAGATTAAATAAATTTTCCTTTGTAGTATAAATACATGTGTTTGCTTTGATTGCAAAAAGGTACAATTGAATGTTTTGGAAGTCATCACTCTTGATTATTCAGAAGTAATGACCCCCGCAGCCGATCTTTTAATAAAATCAACTGGAAAGGACTTTTCTGGAAAAAGCAGCGAGCAGCTCCTTTTCATCTTCAATGCTTTGAATACTTATATTCTGTTGTTAGGGAAATTTTCTTAAAATTCGTTTGCATGTTTGTATTTGGGCCGTATAACACTTAACAATTCAAATTTCTAAAACGATTTAGAGTTTTAGAATGTTGATATAATAGTTCAAATTTCCATATTTCAAAAACTCAAACTGATGTCGTATATTGGAATTTAATATTTTAGTTAAAAAAACTAAATTTCCAAACAGGTTTTAGAATTTTAGGTTTTTAGATTTTTACCTTAAACATTAAAAATTCAAATTTCCAAAAACAAATTTTGTATTTTAAACTTTTGAGTTTTTAATCTACCGTTTATTTAATAAGTTTACGCTTAACAATCTAAAGTTCAGTACAGTTTGAAGACTTTTGATATTCCAAAATTTACTTCAAACTTCTAAATTTCAATCTTCAAAACGTTTAAGATTTTTTGAAATTTAGAATTTTGATTTAAATTTCAAATAACCAAAAACACTTGGAGATTTTAGATATTTACGTCAAATATCCAAAATTTCAAGTTCCAAACCTGGTTTGAATTTTGAAACTATTACAAAAACACTTGGTTATGCAAAAGAGCTTTAAGATAGTTAGAATATTGAACTGATATTCAAAATTCAAGTCGGGTTGGGAAATTTGGTATTTTGGATTGTTAAAGTAAAATTCTAAAACTAAAAGTGTTTAGGTTATTTGAAATTTGAGATCTGAATCAAGCTTCCAAATTTCTAAAAATCTAAAACGTTTCAAAGTTGGATTTTAGAAGTTTGAAGCTAATTTCAAATAATCAAAAGACGAAAAATATAACTAAACTATAGATTGTTAAGTGTAAACTTTCTGAACAAACAGTAGTTAAAAAACTCAAACGTTTAGATTACAAAAATCGTTTTTGGAAATTTGAATTTTGATTTATTTAAGGTAAAAATATAAAATATTAAAATTTTAAAACCTGTTTGGAAATTTGAAATTTTAGATTTTTGAACTAAAATATTAAATTTCAATATACCAGATCAGTTTGAATTTTTGAAATTTAGAAATTTGAACTAATATATTAACATTTTAAAACTCTAAATCATTTTTGAAATTTAAATTGTTAAGTGTTACACGGACCGCATATATACTTTTTAAAATTAAATGCGCCGGGAGAAGCAATTGTTTTTAGGAAAAGTGGGCACTAGTAAACAAAAATTCCCTGACAAGCAAAGAAAAAGGGGGCATATTCATTATGATAGCTTTATTTTCTAAAGTACACTATAGATCAAAAAGCAGCGAGCGGAAGGGATGTGGTGTTTGAGGTATCTTAAAGTCCTGATTAGTCACATGTATATTATATAATTATTACAACGCAAATTAATTTCAGGAACAAAATGTCGGTCTTCATTAAGCTCGACAGAAATCACTGGAAATGTTTACCAGATTTCCATTGTTTTAGAGGAAACATGAGATTCGCTACACCTCCTCTCTGCAAGAGTAGTGAAATGCTAACTGTAATGGTAACGCATTGTAATGAATTACATGAACTCAGAGTAATGCTAGCAAGTGTAATTCCGAAATAATTGCATTACATGCAATGGATATGTAATGCATTACTTTATAAAATCCAGAGTGATTTTGGCATTACATAGCACTATAAAGCATTATTTTGTATATCAAAATATATGGAGATATGGAGATAAAGAACATTGTTCAAGCTCAAAAGCCATTATAAGCAATACAAAATTGCAGCAGAGCAAATGCTGGCCTCCAAAACACCAGAGGTGGGATCAGGCGCCATGGAGAAGTAAGCATCCCCTGTCGACCGGTCACACCCACCGTGTGCTTCTTGACGTGATCAGGAAATAACGTAAAAGTCCGTCGACAATTCAAGGTGTTTATAATCATCAGTCAGCATATTTGACTTAATGATAAATTATATTTGCTGACAAGGTCATTGTGTCAACGATAGAACTTACGAAATGATGATTTTAAGCCAGACTGCTGATATTCTTGTTTCAGTAACTTTGTTTGTCAATTTACCTCGTTTTAGAAATTGTTCATACGTAAAGCATACTCTTCCTTATCGAATCGACTGAAAAATATTGCTGATATTCTTGTTTCGTCAACTTGTTTGTCAATAATTTACCTCATTTTAGAAACTGTACAAACGTAGAGCATGCTAATGTGTATCGAATGAACTGAGAGGTATAAACTCCGTACGCAGGTGATGAAGGTATATTTCTGCATAAGTATAAGAGGAGTTGACGATTGAAAAGTTAAAGTCATCACGTTTATCATCAAGCTTGGTTATCAGGTTATCATTAACAATTTTTTTCAAGTAAAATATCCAGTTATGAAACAGATGTATCAGACTCTGTGGAAAATCCAATTTTTTCCCAAAAGGAATAGAAGAATTCATTCAACATTTAACAGAGGAAAAAAAGACATACTGTCAAACCCTTTTTACATGTTTATCACTACATTTCTTCTTTAGATAAGATATAATAGATAAAAATAACATATGTTTTATCAATTTAACAGGTACTTGAAATCAAATTTGAATAATCATTTGTCATGTTTAGATTGAAGAGGTTGAATGCATTTCACTTTATGAAAATGGTTGCAAAGTTCTGAATTTCTATTTTGAATCCCCCCCCCCCCAAAAAAAAAAATACTGGTAATGGTAATGCATTATTTTACTACAAAGAAATGACAATGTTATATAAATTTAGAAAAACTTATGTTAAGTTTAGAAGCACAAATCACCACCTTCCAACTGAAACAGGTAGATGGAATGGTACTCAAAGAAATGAAAGATTTTGTAGCTTATGCAGTTGTAAACAGATATGAATATCATTATTTTAGCATGTAATGCTTTAAACCAACTGAGGAAAGATTATTTGAACCAAAAATTTTGTTCTAAACCAAATATTATCAAGTTTTGTGAAGTCATGTGCCAAAATGATGTTGATTCTTTGGAAAAAATTATGTACATTTATTTCTGAAATTAATGGTATTGTCTGTTCTCCTTAATTATCACCTTCTGCTAGACCCACTGTATTATATGTATACATGTATATGTTTTATATGTTTCTGTACCTCATGTACCATCTACATGGTTTCGAGTGAATAAATTGAATTGAATTGAATTAGTTGTTTGACCCCCCCCCCCCAAAAAAAGGGGGGGGGCAATTTCACCACTTAAGTAAGTTCAGTGCAAATCTTTTAAAATCACCATTAAATCATTTCAGTTCCCATTTATTTTTTCTGATGATTGGTTTTAATTGTCCCAGCCTTTGCCTTGGCTACACTGACCAAGGGCTGGGGTTTGTGTCTAATTATTCATAATGGACAGAAATTTAAGCAAAGACTGAATGAGATGTAAACATAACTTATCATAAAACGTTATTGACAGAAATACATTTATTTATCTATTTATTTATTTATTTGTTTGTTTGTTTGTTTGTTAATTTATGTAAAACCAACATAGAGTGAAAACATATTTTCCCGGATTTATATATTTTGTCTTTGTCGGTTTGAAAGTTTATATTAAATCGAAAAGAAAATGGCGTGGAAAACGGTGTACGACACCTTTTGGAGTGAATGGTTTTGGTTGCCAGAAAATGTAACATGGAAACACTTAGAAAACAAAGAAGATGGTTTATATTATCCACAGGCTAGAGATCTCTACATCCCATTTGTTCTTGCAATTGTTGTATTTGCAGTCCGTAAATGTTTTGAAAGGTGAGTCAAAGCATGTGATCGAAGGGTGTGTCCCGAGAGAACTCGAACGGAATATCGTACGATATATATTCATTCACATTTAGTTATGTTAGCTTTAAAAGAATACCCAGATACTGTTGTATATGAAATGCACAAAGAAAATCCTTTGAAGATTGTTGAAATTTGAGCTAGCACTTTATTGAGAAGAGCGATTTAACCGGACCTCGTATGGCGTCCGTTACATTCCGAATAACCTCGGTCACTACAAACCGGCTTTACAGGCATTTACACGTAGACTCAGTTATTTTATATCATTATAAACATAAACTTCTTAAATATTTTACTCAAGATTGCAGTCATAGATTACATGGAGTTAAATATTCATGTTTTATGTTTCCATTCCACAGTCTTTGTCCAAACATCTTTTTAACCACTCTGGTACTTGACATGTTGACAGGGAGGGAAGGGAGTTCCTCATTTTTTCCAAGTCCTGCAATCATTCATTGGCCTGTGCACATGGAGAAATAAGGAGCTCCCTTTCCGAACTAAGACACACTCACACATTTCAGAACAGTGGCTCTTTATTTTCAGTATAGGACTAAAATTAAATTTTTTTGAAACGTCTTTACAAACTATTGTTAGTCAATTGCGGCCTCTGAAGCCTCTCATATATGAGTGAGAATGCAAATGAAGAGGTCACCAGCTATTGCAATGGAACAATGGAAAGTATTTTTCAGTTTTAAGATTGCTAGATGTGTTGAGTCTGATTTCAAATTTTACTGCCCTCTGGTCAATGTTTCTAATCTCCAGCTTTGGATCTGATGGTTATTGTTAAGATTATAAAGAATGGTTTCAGAGATTTTACTGTCTTATTTGAAAAATAAAAATGCAAAATGCCCCCAGTTTTTGCAGAAGTACTAGAATAAAACATCAGTCAGTGCTATTGACGTTGAGTGCTTCATTTACTGACACCATTAATTTTAAAGTCAAGGGGTACAGGATTTTGCATTCTGGATTGATTCTGTATCTTCAGATGGCTTCCTGTATGAATTTGTATGTAAATATAATTTAGAATTTCATTAATATAGGAGATTTTACAGAAGTAAGAATGCCTGTTAAGATTTCCTCCGGTTGGGACCTATTTTACTTCCTCTAGATACCCTGTTAAAACGTACGTACTGTATTTATTTCATCAAGGAAGTGTAAGATGATCTTTAGTCATTATATACCAGGCTTATAATAAGGTCACTATTCTTTGTCAGTAATGAAAACAAGTCAATCTAGGTGACTTATTGAATTAACATAACACCTAATGAGTGACCAATGTCAATAAGCAATGTGGTTGCATGACAATGAATAATTAACAACTGTTATGGAAGCACTTAACAGCTTTAGCAGGGCTTCCACTAAAGGGGTGGCAGGAGATGAATTTGTCAGTGTTTAATGGTCAGAATTCACTGCTTCAAATTTCATAAATGGCAATGTATACCATTGGAGATAACTCTTATACATGTACAGTATATTCAACCTCTCAACATCCAAATTATAGGAAATTGCCCATGAATAGCTGGCTCTATAGGGTTAAAGACATCAATCCCCCTTCCCCCTTTGTTTAAAAATTCTAACATCTTGTATATATATACATTTATTATGTATGCTTCACAAACTTCATGGTAGTCTTTTGTTCTGTATATAATATAGATGTTTTTGTATATACATTGTATGTAATATACTTGTCTTCAGGCAGAAAGATGATACTTGTACATTGTACTTAGACACATTTTCATTGTTATTGAGAATGTTGTGCTCTGCTTGAAGGTCAAGAGGTCACCTGGACAAGCAGGTTATTATAACATTTATAAACAGGGATTTTAAAAAAAATTAGACACATGGTACTTTTTCTCAGATGGATGTTCTTCGTGGAAGCAATTCATTATATATGCTTTAATTTTTCCCCATTGTAAAATTTGGAACATACAATCAAAATTTCAGTCACATAAAACAGTACCGGGTAATAGCAGATTTTGAAAGAGTTGTATAGAATAATGCTTTAATTCATAATTAATGGGGTAGTGGATATTATTTAATATTTATTGAGAAGTTATATAATTATAATCACTCTTCCATTTCTATGTATATCAGAGATCAACTTGAGAAATGAAGAGAGAGAAATTTTTAGTTCTTTTGTTTATGTTTTTGTCATTGTAAATATCAGCTTAAACATGTTAAAAGTGCACGAAAGCCTCAACTATATAGACTTTTTTAAATGGTCAATTGAATTTTTGCCATGGGGTTATTGAAAAAAAATCTAAATATAGTAATCCTTTATGAGTTTAAATATACGTCAACCAAAAAGTAACAGTGTTTTTTATACATTTTTACTATAATCTTTGTGATGATTGTTTTTTAGCCCAATTATTTTGTATTAAGTTTTTCAAAAGATTCACAAACATTTTTTAACATGTGCTTTGATATTTCCATTGCATAAAAAGTCACGTTAACTTGGACTATCTTTAATCCACTTGTTGATAAACAAATTTCACGGGTACTGGAGAAAAGGACAAATGTTAATATATGTAGCCCTGTTAGAAAGAAAAATCTGTATATATCACTTCTTTCTACTTTAAACATCTCCAAATATGTATTTCACTATACCACTTGAACACAAAGCCCTTGATAAGTATAGACATTCAGTGATTTCAAGATTGTCATTCATCATGTTCATTGAAGAGCTACTAGTAAACAAAACAGGTACTCTGCAATCTTTTTAGGCAAGCTTTGGTTAAAAAAAAAAAAATCATTATTATTAAACGTGACATGCAGGAAATCAAATGTATGGTTATTGCACATAATCAGTGTCATATTAATTATGACTACATAATGTATATATTCAAGACTTAGAAGTCAAATTTGTTTATTGGTGTAGAATTTCATTAAAAAAATTCCATATTTCTTATGTTAAGGGGCTTAAATGAGAGCTTGAAAATTTAAATTTACATATGTTCACTTTAAAGGACACGCATTTACACAATCTTGCATATGCCAGTTTTTGAGAACTAGAGAAACATGAGAAAAGTAAATGTTCAGATATGTAAGCAAATAGAGACCTTAGTCAATAAACCCATTGAGTTATATCCTGGATATGTAATCTCAATGATTAATTTCTGATGTTTTTCTTAAAGCTATATCTGGCGTATCTGAGCTTAATAAAAAAAATAAAAATACGAGATTAAGTGTAAATTTACATTACATTTGTTATGTAGGTGCAAATTCAAATTTTCGCAGATTTTGAACTTAAATATCCCTAGTCACGTTTCTATAGTTAAACTGACTTTAAACTGTATCTCTTATTAATTCCAAATGGAAATAAATCGGTTATTAACTGTTTTAAATCTGTGATATCTATGAAATGCGATTTATTTGAATTGTGTTATTTACAGAAAAGTCCTATCTTTATATAACATGCATAAAGAAATAAAACAAATAAAAAGATCTTTTTAATTTAAGTTAGTCTGAACTAATCAAAAATACACCATTAATCACTGTAAAGAAATATGAAATCATTTATGTTTGAAATTTAGTTTTTAATTAGGTTACTTGTCAATTTTAGCATGAAAAATATCTACATATAATTTCATCTTATATATTTCAACAGAAATCTCAACATTGTTGAAAGAGATGCACTATAGTTCAACAAACTTTGCCCTTGTAACTTGTAAGCTTTGTTTATAGTGTTTATAATGTCAAGTACTATCAGGATTAGGTCGATCACTGTGTGTTCTTAATACAAGAGAAGTATTATGCAATCAAGATGATTATTTGTGATGTTTTGTCTTAAAACAGGACTTTGGATTATTTTGTTTTGTCAAAAGATTTGTTTTTAAGTATAGAGCTATTATGTAAAAAAAAAATTATTCTATCCCTCATGCCCCCATATGATATTTTTTTTACTAATGAAATAAGCATTGTTTTATATGTATAAGCATGATAAGTATTAATAAATGGCAAATATCAAAATAAAATTCACTCAGTGATCATGATTATTATATACTTGGTCCATGCAATCTAATTAAAATCCGTGATGCTTTGTGCAGCGAGCTAGATGGAGCGGAGCAAAAATCTTATTTTAATTAGATTATACTTGATCTGTAGGAATATTTTTATCTTTAATTAAAACCTCCTATAATGGTTTTGGGATGGCAGGGTATAATCCTACGGTGATGTTACTGATGCACGTAATTATTAATAAAACATTTATACTATAAAAAGATTTTACTTTTGTTCAGAAGTACATATACATTAAGTGGTTTAGCAGTAGAACAATGTCAACACTGTGCACATTCATAAAAGCTCTCAAAATCTTATGATACTTTTTTTTTATCTGTAATATATCTGGAAATTCAGGTCTGAATTATAACTTTAAAAGACTTGTTGTTAAAACTGGAATTGGAATAAGGATAAATAGTGAGTTATAGGAATGGCTTCTTTAAAATATTCAGTGCTCTTGTTTGTACTAGACATTATGTTTAGAATCCAAAAAGGAACTCGATCACTTTACCAAAGCAAACTTTTATTTTTTCAATAAAGAACATGTTTCAACAATTCATGGTCAGTTCTTAAATGCATTACAAGGAGATCTTTGTTAAAAGTGCAGTTACCAAGAAACTTGAAGTTCACTTATTCTTTGAATTGCGTCCTTTTTGTTTGGAGTTTGTTTCTAAGTCTGCTTGAATTTAAAAAAAAAATGAGGATTGGTTGAATGTTATTGACCCTTGTAGCAGATTTGAAAATCATTTAAAACCTGAAACATTTGAGAATATGCATCCTAGCTGATCAGATCAAAATGATTTAGCACGTACAATATAAAAAAAAATTTAGCGCGTGACTAATAAATGTATAGATCAATGGGTCAGACATGATACAGCCTGACACTGTGTAGTATTTGATGCTGTCTCTGTTAAATGTAAAACAATACCAATACTTATCAAATTTAAGATCATTTTTGTTCAGTATAGAATGAAAATTATTTAAAAAGAAATAATCAGGTCAGATTTAGAAGAATGATAGTGAAGAAAAATTAAAATGAAGGCTAATAATATGCAGAGAGTTCTGTTGATTTCTCTTATAGTACCTTTAATTTGTTGACTGTCTCAATATACCTAATGTTTTCATTGCAACTTATTGTCTGTCGTGATATGGCATTTCAGCTAGAGAAAAAAGTACATAAGGACTTTGATATTAGAAGAGCCATTAATGTATATAAAAAATATTATAGAAGACCTTTGGGCTCTGAAGTACAAATGTAGATTTGAAGTCGATAGTCTCTGCAGTCACATGTTTTCTGTACATAGTACATTATTGTTACAGTAAGGATTGGGGTTTCAATGCTTCGACCATGATTAACAGGTTAACACAGGTCATTAAGCCAAGGGACAGACTTTGTGTTTTGTTCACCCTGTGTGGAGATGTACAGACAATATCACAATGATAAACAGTAACTGTCATCATATCAGATAATCAAGATAGAGTAGTTCACGTTTGTACTGTACCGATAAGTGATAAAGAGATCTACTCTAGTTGCTTAATTTTTATTACATCTTTTTTCTTTGAAAAAAATGTATACTGTACACATGGTAGATTGTATGTCATTTGCCAACTGAAAAATGTTTAAAAAACAGTGTATGGTTATGAAATTTTTGTGAGATGGGATTGAAGTGGAGTTGGGGGAGGGTATCAGCGGGGTGAGGTATCCAAATATGTAAATGTCCAAAGTGTATTCCTGTCCTATCAATTCAACAGAGCTTTCTACTATGGCAGAAATTTCATATTTGTCCAGAAGTTTGCTTTCAAAATACAGATTAATACTCATTACTGATATACTTCTAGGAATTGTAAATTTCCTCAACGTTGTTAAAATACTTGAGTTATAGCTATGCAGATACTGATGGATTTGCACAAACAGCTAAAAAATTGCGCAATTTTTTGACAAGATTGCTTGGAGATAAAATAAAAAAAAAAATCAAAAAAAAAAATCATTCATATCATAAACTAATATACAGAGCAATAAAAAGTCATATTAAATGTCAAAGATGAGATTATTGACGAAGTGTTAGGCCTAATTTAATTACAAAAATTGTATACTAGTACATATACTGAACACTTCAGACATGCTAGAAAGACAATAATATCTCTGATTAAAGTTAGTAATATATATTATTACAGGTGTGTGATCTCTTTTGATGGCATGCAATGATGTTTTCCTTTATATTTTTCAGCCTTATAGCTAGACCAGTAGGATTATATTTTGGTATTAAGGATGGCCGACCAAAGATTGTTACACCTATTAGTGCCTTGGAGAATTCATACCAAGTAAAGAAATTTCCATCAGAAGAAACAATAAAGGTACTTCACACTTATTATTCGTGTAAAACTCAAAATGGGGTCAAAATTGAGCTTCTAGACTAAGTGACAAATTGTCAAAATTGAGCTTGCAGTAGAACATTGATATTTTGGAAATATGAAGTATTAACAAAAAGTTATAAGCAAAATGATTAAAAGAGCTAGAGCCATAAAAAATTCTAGCTTCTCATCCAGTTTTATTATACGCTTAGCCGGGCCAGTCAGTGTTGTTTGTCTCGTGGTACAGATATTTCTGTTAATTAGTCAATCGGTGCAAATTCATCTATTGTATCTAGTGTGTTAACTAATAGGTCAACCTGTGTGGAACAGATTGTCACTGCGTAAATGTGTCGAGGTGTCGTCAGGCCAATATGTCTTAACTTTGACCACTACAAGGCTTAAAAAGTTACCTTAACTCTGTGGATGTTGGGGGGGGGGCAAAGTTCATGGATCTCACAGGTCTGCTCCCTCATCCTCGAATTTACATCCCCATAAACCATTATTTTGTCAATATATTTATTCATTAAATCTTCTGTATGAATGAGTTAACAACAGAATTACTTCACCATGAACCAATCAAGTTTAACGTGCCCAAGAACATTGACCCTCTGTGAATTAAAACAATTCCATGGACAGTTGTCCTCATTCTACATGTTCTGTCACAACCAATTCCAAATTTTTGATTTTAACACATAATAAAAACCAGTTCTCATTTGAATTAATTTAATTACAGGTTTTAGAAAAACAGACAGACATGACAGAGCGTCAGATACAGAGGTGGTTCAGGATGAGAAGAAATCAGGAACGTCCAAGTCAAATGAAGCGCTTCACGGAGGCTTCGTAAGTGTCCAGTCTGTTATATAGCGGGACCTCTGTCATTGTTTGATGATGGCCCAAGATCTGACATTATAAGGGGCATGTTTATAACGTGTCCAAGACTAAGATCCTAGCCATGTAAAGCTTTTCCAGTAACCTTTTTTTTGAATGAGACTTCATACTTTAGCTAGTTGAAGTTCAAAGAAAATGGCTTCATGCTACATTCATGTATTCAGTAAGTTATAGTACAGTACCACCAGCTGACTTTGTTAGGTCTTTCAAAATCAACACTGATCGTAGCTTTTAACTATGCTGCAATATTGAGGCTTCAGGTTTCCTAACAAGACCAGGTTGTTCCCCAAGGTAACATTGTACTGTGCCACCATAGACGGCAATTGGTTTTCAAAAAAGGAAATTTTTGAGTTTCTGTCAATATATTCTTGAAATATTACTTCAGGTTAAGTCCGCCACCCTTGAGGGTGAATTGTTTTCAAAAAAGAAAACATTTTGTGTTTCTATTAACATATTTTTGAAAGATGACTTCAGATAAAGTCTTATGTTTATGTTTAATTTGAGAGCTTGCTAAGTGAGCCTGCATACATTTTTGAAAATTTATAATACATAATATTATATTTGATATTTCACTAAAAAGAAATAAAAAAAATTCTGCCCAAGTTATTTGATAAAAACATATATATTTGAAGAAACATTTTTTTTATACATATGTCATTTGTATTGTACAAAGATTATAACATTGACTCTTTTTGTGTGATATCTATAATGACAATGTCTCTTTTTTTTTTTTTGTAGATGGAGATTTTTCTTCTATTTTAGTATATTTGTATATGGAGTAGCTGTCTTATGGGATGTAAGTTTTCTATTTAATACTTTAAACAAAGAAAACATTTCACAAATTTAAGATTCAAATACTTCTAAATCAATAAATGGGAGTGGAATTAGAGCCAGGCTTTAAAGGTGATGAAAAAGTATAATTGAAAAACAGACAAGGCAACAAAAATAACACTGTGAAACATGATATAGGTGAATAGTTTATTTAGTGAAAAGTACATTAATTGTGATGTAAAATAAAGAAATTATCTGTTTACAGAAACCATGGTTCGCTGACTCCATGAAATGCTGGGTAGGGTATCCACAACATGTAAGTTTCTTCTTACTCCTTTACACATGTAATGTTTAGTTGAATATTTTGGCTGATTCACATAATGAATGCAAGAAAGAGAAATTGAATTTAGAAAAATAGATATCTAATTCATAATATTGAACTTAATGAGAAGATTTCCTTGCATTATAAATCTCTATAAATGGTGAAATTGTTTTCTAGCATTTGTCCTCGGGAGTTTTCTGGTATTACATGATAGAGATTTCTTTTTACTGGTCGCTTATGTTTTCACAATTTATGGATGTTAAAAGAAAGGTAAGTTCTTCTCTCTGTTTATTGATTTTAATTCTAATAAACAAAAAAAAAATATAGAGACAAATTTTTGCTGCCCCAAAAGGTGCATCCAAGAAAAGTAATTTTAAGGGTCTGACTCCAATGATCACACTGTAGTACAGGGTGATCCCTTGTCCAAAATATCTGAAGTTTTCCAGGCTTTTTAATGATTTTGATATTTTAAGTGCCAGGAAATGGCTGTTCTGGTGTTTTCCTGGCACGTATAATATCAAAATTGTGAAAAAGCCTGGAAAACGTCAGATATTTAGGATTAGGTAATCCCTAAGAATTGAAATAAAAAGGGACATTTAAAAAGTAAAAATGGATCTTGGGTCCACCGTAATGGTTAAATACCAAAATAACTGAGGTGGGGAAATTCCCTGGCCCCCTGGTCTGAGAGAGAAACCTGATGGTGACAATAACTTTTATTATACCTCTATTGATAATTCTGGAATTTGATTGGCTAGTAAGAAAACTTTAAAACACAACAATGACTCCAAATGGTACTGTTTACAGCAAGAAGGACCTAGGAATCATTGCACGTGGGATATAATGACCCGGTCATTATAATTAATGACCGCTAAATAATGACCTCCTAATCAAAAATTCCTATTTGAGTGAATTAAATGCATAAAATAATAATTATTCGAGAAAACAACATGTTTTTAAAATTGTGCATGGTCTGTTTTGCATTACCATACAGATTACGGCAAAATTTTATCGTTAACTTCAACGGTTTACTCATTTCAATATATCAGTTCAATTCAGTTCTAGAACGTAGAAGCGGCTCTGTAGAGTTGAATTCTGTGTTAGATTTTGACTGGGTAGAGAAAAAGTAATCGTTAGTTATAACAATGTATGTCGCTATCAACCAAATATAATTTTAATCAGTAAATCATGATGCAAAAACTTACACGACTTGCAGACGTCAATGTAAACAACTTCACTATACGGAGTGTAGCGAATCCCGATCCCGATCAAAGAAAGAATTGATAATGGTTAGAGATTCATACTTTTCATCATATATATCGGTATAATAAAACAATTGATTACCCCTTTTGAGTTCAACATGGTGGAATAAGGACCCTCGACCTGGCCTACTCGATGACCTGCCCTGACCTCGGCCGCTACGCAGCCTCGGTCAGGTCAGGTCACCTCGTGGGCCAGGTCTTGGATCCTTATTTCACCATGTTGACCTCGAAAGGGGTAATTAATTGTATATTAATGATTATGCTCTGCCCCTTTCATCCCTAGACCACTCCTTTAGGGGCCCCCATATACTTCTCTTGAAAACAGTAGGGTCCCTTTCTTCCATTACTGTAAAATTAAATATTTATGTAGGGATTTTATAATTAATTTAATTCCATGGAAGAACATGATAAGTAGCTTTAACTTATTTCATTATGGACATGAATTTCTTCACCTCACACACAGAAAACATTGAAAAAGTAAACCCTTTGGATAATGATTTTACAGTACATTTGGTATCATGTCAGCAAAATACATGTTTAACTGTTAAATATTCCCCTGTATACAGTTTTTCTAAATTTAATTGTTATGTGCTTGGTAATTCATTTAGCAGTTTATAGCGGATTTTCATCGAGATTTACTGTTTTAGGATTTCTGGGAGATGTTTACGCACCATTGTGCCACGATAAGCCTCCTGACATTTTCCTGGTGTGGAAACTTTGTACGAGTAGGAACGCTCGTGTTATGTATACACGACGCTGTGGACTATTGGTTGGAGGTCAGACATTTTAATTATTTCTCAGGCATAAGCCAAATTTTATCATGGATATATATACCGTAAAAGTGGCAATTTAAATGAGACACAAATATATCCATTTCTTAAAAATTAGTATTTTATTTTTTGCGAGAAGTAATTTTAACGATTTTTAAAATGCTCACTAAAGAAGGTTTTACAAATAAAGCAATTAATTTCAAGGAATATTCAATTTTAGCAATTTCAGCACCCTCACCATCGTCTCAAGCCATGGTCCGGAGTCCGCATATATAGCACTCTCCTACCCGTGGCTGCTTGATCACAAAAAGTGTCGTAATCTTGAATATTTACGCCTTTCTATTGTGACGTCATATTCAGTCAGTGGCAAGTTTTGTTTCCATCGCAATCGAAATCAACAACTGACGTCAACAGTATACAATAAATATTTCCTATACTGCGATTGGATATTGAAAGATCGCGATAAAGTTCATCATCTGACTATGCTTTACTTGCATTGGTCAATATTTTAATGAGCTACGAAGAAATCTCTCCTTGTTCAACCACAGCCAGAATGGGAGAGGAGCATACATTTTGGCTGTGGTTTGCGACGATGCACCCTCGCTAATTATGCCAAAATTAAATCCTCGCTAAAATTTCCACTTATAGGGGTATCAATGCTTATGAACTTAATTTTTTTTTACTTCATGTCTACAGGAATATATCGGTTTTATCAATCTTGTACATGGAAAGGGGGAGTGGTCTTTAACTGGATTAATGTTTCTTTAGACAGTCAGTAACAAAACTGATAAGTGATTTATTTTCTCAATGATCATAGTATGCGAGAGACATAAGCACAAGACAGGCCAGTAGAAATAAGTGTTAGGGAAGGGTGGGGGGCAAAAAAATTGACAAGTAAGAATAAATTAATTGCCAAAAATTGGGAGAGGGTCAAGCAAGAAAAAAAAAACTCCCAAAACTCAGGAGAGGGTTTAGAAAAAAAAAAGAGAAGACATTTTCTCTGTAAACATGCTTGATCACATATTGAGATACACTTCAATTTTATTAAGAAAAGTTAGTGATAGTTTTGTTGAGAAACTCTTATGTACCGGTAGAATCATAAAATGATTTCGGAGTATGAAATAGTTAGGAGTAATGGACAGTCACTTTGAAATAACCTAATAAGTGATTATGCATGTACTAAAAAGAATAATAGTGAATTTTGATTTTTAATTATTTAGACAAATGCCTTGATATCTATTTCTTCAGGCTGCCAAAATGGCGAAATATATCAAAGCCCAGAGGCTATGTGATGTACTGTTTGCTGTATTTGGCGTCGTGTGGTTCATCACCAGACTAGTTCTCTATCCCACCAAGTAAGTACAAAAGTCAGCAGAAGTACACACATTCTTGTCAATATAACAAAATACATGTATTGTATGAGAAATTCTGGTAAAAGTTGAATACGAAATGGTCTGTTTCATGATAACTGCTCTTTTGCAGGAGACAAAGATATTTTGATGAAAATATCATTGTTTAGAAATATTGTATTTCATACATGTTAAACATCTGTCAAACAGAGCTTTCTTAAAAATTATTTAATTGCCCTGCAAAAAAGCAGTTTCCAGTAATTGTAAAAGGCTAGATTATGATTTCTATTTAAGAAATAAAATGATGAAAAATTTCTATCGTGAAAAATTAAAGAAAAGTATTGTCTTGCATCATCATCATACTTATTATATATAAACATTACACAAACTGACTTAAAATAAGGCTACACAATCTTCTCAGAATATCAGATCACTTTTCATTTCAATCATACAGAGTGCATTTTTCATGTATAAAAGAAGTCTTCAACTCTGATATTAGCAATATTTCTTCTCTTCTCTCAAAATCTACTTAAAGCAACTTAAAAAAAAAAAGTTTGCAACTTTAGAAAAAGTTGAATTGTAAATTTTTCCAAACTCTGTTCGATTCTGCAATATATACATCCTTATGAAGGCACACTGTCACTTTTGTGTTTTTTTCTTCTGTATACTGGTAATGGAATTACCGTATAGCGGGTTTTCTTGGCGGGTGTAAAATTTGGCGTTTTACCTGCTCAAAGGTATGGCAGTAATTTTGGTATAATTTATTTTAACGGACACGGTGATTCAGCTCTTTATAGATAAACACTAAGAAGAGTATTGACTATTTTAGCGATTAAAATTTTAGCGGGCTACCATCAAAACGCCAAAATAAGCACCCCACTAAAATAACCCGCTATACAGTATAATATCTGGTAATTTTTTGAATTTAACAATGTAGGTCATCCTTACAGCTGAATGTTATGCAAGATTCCTGGAAGTTAAATGTAACATATTACTGTGTTCTGTTGTCAAAACAATCTAATCTAGAGCACCTTGTAATTAATTTTTTCAAGAAATATGATGAAGGAGGGAGGCATTTTTTAAAACTTTTTTATTGCCCCCAAAACAAGATGAGGCAGCTTTTTACAATGTACAAAACCTCACAAAATGATGAGGGAGGTGATTTATTGTTTTTATTTTATTGATTTAGCAATAAAAAGGGTCAATGAGGCACCCTTGGAAGAGATGAGGGAGGGCCTGAGAACCAAGAAATTAATTTTTTATGGCCTAATATACACAAATGTGCTTGTCTAACATAAAAAAGAATTATCAACTTTGATTATAAAATTAATTAGTATATGACTATGTGAATACCATGTTATGGTATTTCTAATTCAATATATTTAAACATACTGTATTATATATTCAAGGAAAAATATATTGCTTTTTAATAAATATAACCTTTTCATCTAATATCTAAAATATCATTACATATAACAAGATAGATTTTAAGAATAGTTTCACCCATCTTACCTTTCTCTTTGTTAAGAAAATTACATGGCCCTTGTAAATCTCATATGAGTTGATTTTTGATCATTAATTTGTTGGTTGTTGACTTGCTGATATTTCATGGAGGTAATAATTACATAAGAGTATGTCATGTTGAATACATATTTATGTTTGTTCAGATTTATGGGTTTGGAATCACATTAGTTATTAGCAGAGAGCTTCCAAATTTAAAACTGACTACTTCTCCAATTCTTAAAATTGTCTTCTCTTCTTCTGGGAAATATTAGTGCAACTTTATGTTGAGCAAGGGTGCTTTGTCCAAAAATATTCATTTCATGGCCGCTGAGTCAGGTTCTGGTGTTAAGATGGGGTTCTGTTGATTATATTGTAAAAAACGTTATATTTCCAAATCCTTTACAAGTTGTATTATACTTGTGTGACCATTAAGGCTCCATGAAAGGGCCCTGTACCAAAGACCTTGTACAAAACAGATCAATGTAATTGTAGACTTGAGCCCAGAGCATTTCATGAAAAGTGATGGATAAATAATGCTTATAGATATTTATCAATGGATTTTATATGCATGAGCTTATTCTTAATGCAGGTTGTTGCACTTGATATGACACAGTATGTAATTTGTTTAAATAATTTAGAATATATAACAAGTATAAAGATAAAAAGACTCAGTATATTCTTTCCCATCTCCAGTGATGGACATTGTACCTTTACCTACATAAATTTCTGAAGAATTTTATGTGTTGGCAAAGACTTGAATGAATTATTTGTGTTATACCTTAAAAAAATGTTTCCTCTCAAAATTTATGCTGAAAATTTCAATATTTAATATTTAGACTATTTTACTGATCTCATTGGTCATAAAAATTGATATTGGATAGCTGAGTGATACATTGGATCTTTTTGATGACATATTGGACCACTATGACATTTTTGTGTCACAGTGTCGATGGTTTATGCTATATCTTAACAATCATGTCAAACATGGTAGCCAGCACAAGTCTAGATATATCAAATTTCAAAGGAAGAAAGTATTATAAAACTTCTATTGACTTTGGATTTAGCAAAAGATTTTTTTTAAAGGCATCGAATGAAACTGTGTGCCTTCGGCTTAATGGCCACAGGCAAACAGTTTGGTTCTTAGTTCCAACAAGACGTGTTGCCTTCCAACTCTGTGAATAAATATAAAATGTTTTTTCTGTTGTTGTTGATTGTGCAGGTGTTAGTTTGAAGTTGTAAATGATATGTTAACATTGTAAAGTATGCAGTTTTTTTTCAACCCCCCCCCCATCCCTTCTTTCTCTCAAACACATAGAAGTTGTTTTCAACAGCACAATTTATAAATGTAATTAATATTGTACATTAACAAAGCTATATTATGTTGTTCAAAAATTTTCGAAAGCCTATTTGTCACCTACATACAAATCATTTGATTTTATTTCACAGATTTTTAGACAGAATGATGGATGTATATTTAAACAGAAAGATTTAAAATGTCAAAGTACATAAATATATCATAATGAAAATTTTATGAGAAATTCTCTTCAAGTTATTCTTAAGCAAAAATATTTCAGTGGCTAGGCCAATTTTTACAAAGCAAATACATGTCTATTACATTGGCTATGTCATTATATTTCATGGAAATTTTTTAAGTGGGGAAAAACTCATTAAGTTAATAGCCTATTTAGCTAAGGCTAATGATTGAAAAAAACATTTTCAATACTTCCTTAGGGACATCATTACTAATAAAGAAAAGAGAAACTTGATTGTTTGTAGAGTAGAACAGAAATATTTGTAGTTAGCATGACAGTGTGCCTTGTTTTTTGCTTTTTATACTCTCATTTTTTATAATTTGACTTTCGTATAAAATAATGTTGCTTCCATAACTATTCAAGCGTAACTTAAGCCTTTGTTAGCCTCCTTTTTTTTTTACCCAAAGTTTAGCTTTTGTTTCAATTTTGCATGATTGTGTGTTTCAACAAGCACACCAATTTCTCTCAGGGCATGATGTCGTATGTGGATAAGAAGGAATGGGGTATGAATTAAAAGTGGATGGGGAAAGAAAAAAAAATTGGACTCCAAGTTCTGGGCAGAAATTCTTCCTTGGAACATGAACATGTAGTCCAGGAAATACCTGGGAATTTAAAGAAATAGTTTTTAAAAATGCACTGCAACCAGAAATTATCAGGAAGATTTGTTTTAAATTGAGTTTGGTACTTGGGCATTAAGTTATTTCACAAGTATTTTTATGTTTCATTTGGGAAACAAAAATAAAGTTGTTAAATGAGAAAGACTTGCAATTTTAACTTCAGCCTTTGGACTATTTATGAACATTTATGTATCATTGGCTGCAAAATGCCATATCATTTACTGCTTTTCTGTCAATAAAATTAAAATTTTCCCTCTAGCTATAGGTTCAAAGTGTTTAGATCAACTTGATGATGAGAATGAAGTTTTGTAAGCATTAAAAAAAGGTGATAAAAATGAGTCGGTGCCATGTTTTAATCGGAACATTTTATGTCCTATTTCAGAATCGTATATAGCACCCTTTTCTATGCCCACCCTGTAGTGGGTTGGGGCCCGGCATACTTTCTCTATAATGGCCTTCTGATAAGCCTACAAATTTTACACCTTTGTTGGACGTATATGATTGGGCGAATTTTTTGGATGCAAATCACGTCGAAGGTAAAACCAAACATTTTGTTCTCCGCATGTCGACCTTGAAATCGGCTACTGACCTCACTTATCTAAGATTTTAAAATGACACAGGACGTCAGCGTTAAATAAAAAAAAAATGAGCGTAAATTTGAGCCTTGTTTCTTCTAATTGTTTGCGTAAACAAAGAAATTTTATTTTCATGTTTGGAATCTTGCATTCTTGTTTGTAAACATGTGCAATTTTGAGTTTTTGTTGCTGTATTTTTTCGTAGTACATACTCAAGAGTGCTTTACTGTGTAAATTTGTTGTCTTCCTGTGTGGTTTAAAATCTTAGGCTTGCTGCCTGCCGCTGAATGTGTGGAGGAATTATAACCTCTCCGATCAGTACGTAATATGACGTACAGTCCTCCTTAATATGGTGCTTTTCCTTCCCCCACGGTTCGCACATTTACTATATATAACGCTAGACGTAAGGAATATATCCAGGTTCTTGTAATTTGTCACTCAGCCATTAAAACGCTTTGCACAAAAACATGGTGGATTGTCCTTATGTGTATGTAGTTTAGAGTTGTTGCATTTGGAAAGATATTCTATTTTGCTCACAGAAAGTTTAAAATTTTGATTAAAGATAAATCTGTAGGGAAAACATCTTATGAAGTAAATGGATTTCAGCAAGTTGAACATATGTTTATTCACATCTCCAATTTATGAGTGCATTTTGCAGATCAATATTTTCTTTTTGTTTATCTGTGTCATTTTTTATTGTACAACATAATAAAAGGAAATATTGAATGTAAATCAGATTTTATTTATGGAAAAGCACCACTATATTCACTGTAATAGTTACTGGAATACCATATTACATGTATGCTCTTAGATCTGTATCAATGGTAGACGTATCAAAAACAGTCATGCATGTTGTTAAAAGCCTGATGGTGATAGGGGAAGCTTGCGGAGATATTTAACTGTACAGGGGATATAACTGCATGAATATGAATAGGACCTGTCCATATACAATACATAGCCTCTCTAATTGTCATCGTACATACTTTTTAGGATATCCATTTTTGTCAGAATTGGTGTTGAGATTTTTGTCAAGGGTAGAGGTTGACCAATCGTTTTGAGGATTCCTGGTTTTTTTTTTAGAGGGAATTAAGAAAAAAAAAACTGAATTATTTTGTTATTTTCTACTTTTCAGGAAGCACACAGATATTTGTTATTAAAGGTCCTTTTATAAAATGTTCCTGGTTTTGTAGAAGTTTCTTTGTCTTTATTGTAGGATATGGAATATGTTCATTCTTAAAAATAACATGTTGTTTTTATTGAGCTTTCTAAGAGGTCATTTACATATTCAAATATTTACTTTATTTACCATGCAATTTCTTTTTTAATATTCTTTATTTTAATGAAATTTTAATTTTTCTTTATTTTTTGTTTTTTTCCTATTCTATTCCAACTTTATTATTTTTTTACATCCTACTTTTATAAACTACATTTGATGTGACAAAAATCAGTCAAAAGAAGGATGATTTGAACGGCATTTGCTTTTTCAATGTCATTTTGATAAGAATATCAGTATCACTGATATTGAATCTTGACATCACTGGTTGCAAAAATATCAGATGGATACGACAACATACTTTTTGAAAGCCTTGGACATAAAGTTAATATTGTATTAAGCAGTATATCTGATTACATAAATATCGTATTAAGCAGTATATCTGATTACACAATATCCAGATTAGACAAGTTGCACTGTATTTTATGTATTGATCATAGGAAAAATTGAATTACATTCTAACAAATGTATTGTTTTAACATTTGTTTTTTAGGGTCCATTTAGAGTTTCAGAACAATAAAGTAGTTATGTTGTTTCTTTCAGTATGCAAATTTATGGCAGCTTAACTGGAATGGTTTTGTGTTCTCATGTTGTAATGTCTTGATTGAGTGACAGTGTGCCAACCCTAATAAGTTTTTTTTTGGGGGGGGGGGGTGGTCACAGATTTAACAATAAATGAATATTTATAGATTTTTTTTTACAAGGATTACTATCTTCTGTTGGTAGTGGACCAACTTAGTTTTAATTTTAATTTTTTAAAAGTTTATGTAGAACTGTGATGGTTTGAAATTTTAAAAAAAATTGATTTCATGAAAACTGTGAAATCTGCTATTTATTCATCATCATCATTCATTTTCATCATTGTTAGCTCTGTAGAATTTTTACCTGTATCATACTATTGGTTATGTCCTTGTAGCAATGCACTTGCATTTTTACTCGCAAATTTCACACACAGATGCACAATATATGTCTCATTAAAAGGAATACAGGATCCATGGAAGGAAGACAAATACCACAAAATATATATTCACTCCTTCAGACTCCCCAATACATCATCCATATACACACATCACACTTCTGAGCCATAATTTCGTCTTTGACTGCCAGCACTGCCAAGGCAATACAGGCTTTTATTAATCATGTGGTCTGTTCCCCGCGCTTTCTTCTAGGGTCATGTGGTCCACGTATTATGAATGCAAGCAGGTGGTCGGGGGTTTTCCGAGCCTTTACCTCTTTAACGGCGTATTAGTGATACTACTGGTTCTGCATGCGTACTGGTTTTCTTTAATCGTGACTGTCGCCTACACGGTATTGTCCAAGCAAGGGGAGGTAAGTCATCTGACAAAGCAAGCAAGCTTTTATTCTTATCTGTGTGTTTTTACGAATTTGCTCCAGTCATGTGCTACTGCATTTATGATACAAGTGAGTCACCATGCCTACATCATGCTGTACTGTTTAGAAATGGCATAGGTGAGACATATACTAATCATTACATAATAGTTTTTTTGAAAGTTACTGATAGTTTTTTAAAGCAGCAATGTAAAGCAAAAATAAATGAAAGGATCACTTCATTATAAATAGGAATTTGACCTATAGGACCGGGCTTGGTTTTTTCTCTACAAAAACCTTTTCGATTTCCGTTCTGATTAATGGCATTAGGCTGAATACATATAACAACTTGTTTTTCCTAAATCTTTTTTCAGCGAGTAGAGGTATGAGGAACCCTTTGATTAATTTCCTGACTTTGTTATCTCAAATATAATAATTGATATTTGTCATAACTTCTCAATAAGCATAATGGTAATGTTTACTGCCTCTGAAATTCTATTCTTTATGTTTAGGCAATTTTATCCATCAATGTAGCAAAACATTCCATTAATGTATGCAAATTATATAGGCCTAAATCAAATCTAAAGCAGTTACTGATATGTATGTAGCAAAAATCAATGTTATTAAATCCTAAGGAATATATACAATTGACATTCATCGCAGCTCAATGCTGCCAAATGTACCTGTATTAAGTAACACAGAGTGAGTTATTCTTGTCCTCGGAGAAAGTGTGCTTATACTGAGGTTTGTTCCGCCTGACTGACAACTGTACATTGGATTTTCACGATTTGATATCTCTTTCATGTTTCTTATATCAAGAATGGGCATGCACAAAGGATATACAATTGAAGGAAATTACACAAGCTATAAAAAATATAAAATTGGCTTTGAAAAGTAGAAAATTTAAAAGTGTGGTACCAGGTGGATTCGAACCCCCGACTTTAAAATATTAGTATGCACACTGTGATAGTCAGCATATATATCAACTGAGCTAGTCTGACTATACCATTTACCAGTATAAATTTGAAGTAGATTATCAAAATCAGGTTTCCTTATTTTTTGTAGTTTTTTTGTGAATTTCGACCCTAGGGCAGGGGTGCCCCTAAAAAAATCCTATCTTAAATTAATCCTTACATCCAAACCTATCAAAATATCACAATTTTATTTAGGGGCACGCCTGCCCTGAAGGACTTCTAGGCCAAAATTCATGCAAAAAATCAACACTTCTTCGGACAAAATGGTGTTTAGGCCAACTTTGGAGGTGTATTGTAAAGTTATAAATAGTAAATTTTAGGTATAAAATACAAATTTGAAATATTTAGACATATATACGGTAGAAAACAACAAATAAAGATTAATTATTCCGGGAAATTGTTCTCTCCTATAGGTCAATTCTTTTGTCAAAGCGAATACATCCTTTTCATAAATGAAAACCATCCCTTTTATTTTTTCCAAAGATTTTGATTTTTTCTTGTTTGAGATAGCAACATTTCAGAAAGTTATTTTATATCTGATATGCATTTTCTGTAAACAAAACAGTATTGCTTTAAATGAATGAAGTATGTACTAGACCTTATTATTGTATGTACATGTTGGTAGTTTTATTGGCATATTTCACTGAAAGTTTTGATCTGAAAGAGAGAAAAAAAATCAGATATATAGGAATTGTTTATCATGCTTTACCATTGCTACAACAATTGTATGTGTTTCATGCTCATAATTATAAAGTTTCTGGACACTTCCTACACACAAAACCTTTTCTCAACTGTTAACTAAGCTTAAAACTTGCATGCTGAACACGTTCAATGCTTATCATTTATTTATATATTTATATATATATATATATATATATATATATATATATATACTTCAGAGCTCGGAAAAGAAAATTGTGTTTAAAATATTCTGCAATGTCCGAATATATCCAGAAAACAAAATGTAATCTGAATTCTTTAATATATATACAAGTTTTGTTTGCAACTTTGGTTAACTGGTACATCTATAGGTTTTAGGCAGAACTATTGAAAAAAAAGTTGTTGCTTATGATCGATGGTTCACAGTATATAAATAATATCAATGGTTGGTATGTAGGAGGTGTCCATATTGATGTAATCTTTGTTTTTATCTAAATCAGTTCTGTTAGTGGTGGTGGTGACTTATTCAATATCCACATTCTATAGTCTGTCTCTTACTGGACTTTTTCAGTCCAAGACCTTAAAATCTGTGAAATTCAATATTCTTATAATTTATATTTTATTCTTTATATTCATACCCAACTTATTGAGTTGAGATATAATAAGGTTCCTTGTATGCAGGAAATAAACTTTAAACAAACAGTTTATGTAGACCCTTCATTTTTGCCAAAAAATCACCATTGTTTTTTGTGTAAGTGTGCTTGCGCAGACTCCTTTTTGGAGTTTTTTTTTCAATCTAAATTTCATACTTTCGGAAATGCTGGGGTTTTTTTTGGAGTTCATCTAGAATGATAAACATTCAGGCTTCACAATATATGAAGTCTAAAATTTCGACAGATATAGAATTTCTGACAGACTATAGATTGTGTATTAGGTATTTTTGCCTTGGGGTCTTTTTAGGTACATGTATTAATATGTTCTCAGTAGAACATACTTTTTAATTAAAAAATCCTATGAAGGTTGATAATTTTTTATAAGATGCTTATGTCTAACTGAATTGTACAAGTTAAAATATAGATAGAAATTAATTAAATGCATTTGAAATAAAATTGTTCATTTGCTGTATAAAATTTGGACAGTTGAAATTTGCTTTTAATAGAAAACATTAGACATTAAAAGACATTTTTGGAACTTCTTGAAATGAAAAATAATTTTATAAATATTCAAATTTAATATTATAATTACTGGGAAAAAAAATTGGCATTTTCATTAAATTTTTTCATTCACTTAAATTTTCCATTTTTCCTTTGCCTGTGTTACATTGTATCCTACATTTATGATCATATTGCTTTTTCTGACATAGATTTAAATTTGTTTTTTCTTCATATGGTATATTTTATTTTATGTTTTAGGGACAGGTATGTAAAGAAACTATCGCGTTTTCTACCGCTTTCTCTTTCATGGTCGTTTTTTTTTTTTTTTTAAAGTAGAATTAGATGCTGCACTTGTTTATTTATTGCAAAAATGGCCTTTTCTGATTTCTATTCGTAAATATATATTTCTTGGAATATATCCTACAGGTGAAAATTAAACATTTGGATATTTAAATTCTGTTCTTGTGTATCCATGATTGAGGAAACGGTTATCTTTCTCTTGATATCCCCCTTGAAAGAAAAATCCTTCTACTTTTATAGTAACTTTCAATTTTTTTTTTGACACACTCTGAAATATAGCGTGCATCACCTTATAATATTCATGACAGGAACCTTTTAAAATCTTTGATAGGGTAAATTTGCATATTTAAAAGATCTTTATTTATGGTCAAGGAGAAATTCAGGGTAATTTGACATTTCTGCTTTAAAAAAAATGAAATTTAGAAAATAATTTTTTTTTCTTCATTCTCATTTCCTCATATATGAAATAATTCTCTGATAAATGTACACTGTATATACCACCTTGTATTAACAGAAGCATGTAAAAAGCTTTTCTTTAAATAATAATTTTCCTTATTCAATTTTTTGCAAGAAATCCATTTCTGTTGCCTATAAATATTTCCTAAACTTAATGATTTGGGATAGAGCAGGCACATTCATTTTTGTTCTGTTTATATATGTTTAGTATTGTTTTAAAAAAAAAATGAAAAATATGACATACAGCAGTTTTCAATTTTTTTAATGTTACAGTAATAATTATTTCTGGAAAAGATTTGTATTATCTTGCTTATTTTACTTATCAATTAGCAAGGAATTTCATAACAATTTAGTGAGATAAAAAAAGGAAAAGTTTTATGTCAAATTTTAGATTCATGAATTTTCTGAATAGGAAAATAAATTCAAAAATTCTTAAAATTCAAAAAAATAGGGTAATGGGATTTGATTATTTGCAACAGCATATTAAGATTTCATGACAGACACTTTCTGTGTGTGGTGGGAATTGTGTATATAAATCAGTGTATTTATCTGGTATATTTTTCATCACTCATACAGTATTAATACAATATATAACTTGATCAGAGAGATATGGTTAAAAAAAATTTCGTGATTCATTTTTATTATTCGATCTTAAAGAGAGTTAAATGAGAAATGCATATAACTTTTGTAATACAAACAAAATTGTCAACAGGTGAATAAAAAAGAGGTATGTATTTTGACAGATATTAAGCATACGATCAATCGCACAGTACTTACCTTTCACCAATTCTCAGAAACGTCAAACCATGAACAAAATGGGTAGAAAGGGGAGGGGTCATTTTCCATAAAAAGCTTTCCTAATTCATCTTGAAGAGCTTAAACAGTCATCTTATTAGAAATTTTAAGAAACAAACTGGAGTTAGCTAGTAAAAGCCAAGCAATGAAAATTGGTACCAGGTACTGTCTAGTGATTTCTTTGTTTCTATTATCTATCTAACATGGGATTTTGAATAATAAATAGAAACATGTTCATTAAAACTGGATTATTGTAAGAACTCCATTATAAAGAAATCTCTGTTAATAAGGATTTTTTTTTTTTTTTAGCTAATCCTGTTCTATCTTTTGATTATGCTACTTGTAAGGATATAAAAATTCTCAATTATACAAAAGTAGAATTTGAGATCCAGGTAGCTGCAAGATATAACCTTGCAACAGTTTTATTATATGTTGGGCCCCTGGCTGTGTTACTAAAAAGTAGGTTAATTTGACCTACTTTGTGAATTGCTCTTTTTTTGTGAAAGTGAGAGGACATTAAATTTCATTCATCTGTTGATCAGTTTGTCAGTCTGTCACAAAATTTTAAACCTTGATCAGAACTCTTCAATGAGAAGAGATGGGGCTTTCATATTTCATATGTACAATACCTGTGACAAGACCTTTCCAAATACTGTAGACGTACTTTTTTCCATGGGGTCATCATTCCGCGGAATCTCAATTTCTGTTTAATCCGTGGATAGAAAATTACGCGGATTTCTTAGGTTGTCACTATATGCCATACATTTATATTAAGTACGCTAGGACAAATTTCCACGGAAAGTTTGTGTCCGCGTATATAGCGTAAGTTAATATCACGCGGTATTCTACTTCTGCAGTATACCATGATTTTTTCCACCTTGACTTGGAAGTTTGACCTTACTTTATTATTTTTTTTTTTTACATTACTTTAAATTTCATGGTCATGACTTTTGAAAGAGAAAAGATAGGGCTTTTCATCTTACACATGTTTATGACCTGTTACAAGTCCTTTCTAAATATTCTATGATTTTTGAGCCCATGACCTAGACCTTGAAGTTTGACCTACTTTTCAAAAATAATTGTTTCCTTAGAACTTTTGATGAAGAAGAGCTAGGTCTTTCATATTTGACATTTTTTTGACAAGATGTTCCTGATCATGTTATGATTTTAGACCCCTTGACTTTCATGTTTGACTTAATTTTCACAAATTTTAAATTTAGTTGATTACTTTTGAGAGACATATGATAGAACACGTTGGAATAACATATGATAGGGTGTTCATATTTGACACAATATACCATAAATAATTGCATCCCATCCACTAAGACACCAAAAGCAGGGGACCATAATTCTTTGAATTTGCTTGATAATTTTTTTCAGGCAAGATTGGTCCTCTTATTTGTTAATTACTGCAGAAGCTTTACATGTAAAAAGAGTACATCAGATCTGAATTTAGGAAAACATCATGCATCAAATTTTTGCATAATCAAAGATCAGTTTTTTTTTCTCATATAAAGTGTGAGCTTACAAGATAACAATAGCATCTACACAAAACCTGTGACTCCTTTATTTTTTCTGTCCTTTTTTGCATACTAGAAACTTAATGTTTGCACTCAAAATTATTTTTAACATTGTCATAACATATGTCCAGGTGATTTGTACTTGTATCCAAGGAAATATCTACAAGATTTCATTCCTGAAAAGAAACTGCTTCCTTTTTTTTTATTTCAGTTTGTGCCTTCTGTCTTTCTGTTAAAGAAACTTTTTTTTTGCAGCAGTGTAATTTAGTTGTCAACCATTGGTTCTTTATTATTATTTGCATAAAGTGAAAAAACTATTATATATTGATGATCATGTTTATATTTATGATAAGTACAGATGTTGAAATTATTATTAACATTATCTTGTATTTCTGGTTAATTGAAGTAAACTTAGTGTTTTGGGGGTCAATCTTCATGAAATTGACCACTTCAAATGTAATTAAATAAGTCCACTTTGCAATTTTCCGTTTAGGTTAAAAAGACCATATGTTTTTTTTATCTTTTTAAAATTGTGCATTTTTTAAAACTCCAAAATTACTTTCCATTTCAGGAAGTTACAGATATTCGTAGTTCAGACGAAGAAGAAATCAGCGAGGAAGACACCTCAAACGGTTCTGGTGATCATAAACAAACCAATCATTTCAGTAACAATGTAACGCAGTGAAAATAATTATTGTTTAGTCCTCAACAAAACCAATGATGTCATCAGGGAAGTGCAGTCAATGATGAGAAATGTTTCATTTTGTGTTTTATATGCATGTGTTTCTTTGTTGACCCTAAAAGTTTTCAGTCTTTGTTTATCAGTGGAAAATGAGATACTTAAATGAATATCTATATATCTTTAAAATTTCAAACATTACCTATATTTCATTAATCTATGAATCATTTCCTTATGTTCTAACATTGCTTTCTCACATACCTTCCCTGGTGATATTAAATACAAGAGATTCGAGATAAAATGCATCATATTCTCTCAGAAAGCATTTTCATTTTTAACTTTTCAATCATTCAGAGTTCAATCCCATATTTTTAAAGGTTTTTTTTAATTTATTGATTGTGCATACTAACGAATAGAGTAATGTTTTGCTGAAATAAGGTGTTTGCATGAAAATTATTTTCTTAGTAGATACGTACATAAATGTATTTTCTGTAAAAAATCTGAGGTGAGAAAAGGTTTTACCAAGAATGATTTTTAAAATCAATCATGTAGAATGTTTCACTTAAAAACAATGCGAAAGCTATATTGAAACAAAGGTGAACAAATAATGTCTTTTTTGCATCTTTGCCATGAAATGTATATAACTTCTCATCTCTGGTTAATTCAAGTCATTTGCAAAATCTGAAAGAACATACAATGCCATTAGTTTGAATGCATACAGTATGAAAATTTTAAATTTGATTTCTTTAGTCTGTTGTTAATTTTAATTATTATTAGCCATTCAAACAAATTATATTCAAGATTAGAGTACATGTATTCTAAGTAAAAATGGAGTTTGGATGTAAATGATTTTAATCTTAAATTTTTCTTAATTTTCTATTTTGTGTACAAGAGAGACGTATGATTTTTTCCACGCTTGCTATATACTCATAAAAAGTATCATTGTTTTCGTATTTTTTCATAGGGAATTTGTCTCTGCATTAGCAAATGATTTTCATTAAATACATGTACATTTGAAAAATATAATTCTCTGGCATTAGTATGAAATATATAATAACGAGATGTCCTAAAAAAGTTTGTATATCCGGTCTATGGATCTTCACTTGTGTGTGGTTTAAGAAGCTTAAAATAAATGAGCTTGTTTGATTCAGCAATGGGATGTGATTTATTTAGCAATGGGACCAAATACGAAATAACCATTCAATGAGGGTTTTATTAGATATTCGTATTCCATTGTAATCTGCAAAGGAAATTCTAGAAACAAAAAGGAATCAAATGTCCCTCTATTTAACAGATGTAGTTTTGAATAAAAGGTGGGTTTTTATTATTTTATAGAAAGCATTTTTTATTTGGTTTACTTCCATGTGTTCGTATTTCTTTGCCCTTCAGACACTAAAATTGTCTGCAGAAAAGTATCCCCTCTTCACACAAACCTGAAATAACTACATGTAGTAGTCTAGTGATCAATAAACAGGAAGATTTCTTAAATGGCCTTACAAAGGCAGCTTGTTAACAGATAGCATTTTCTCTAACAGGTCCAGTATTATTTTTTAATAATGTAGATTTGGTTGAGAATCGAATTCTGTCTATGGAAATGTCACAAAAAGCGATCTTTGAGTTGGAACAAATGAAAAAAAAAAGTCAAATATTTTTGTGAAGCAAAGGGGTTGGGGGAAATATAAATACATTTACAGATATCTTTCATTAAATTATTGAAATAAAATACCAAGTGTGATTGTCAGGTTAAACCATTTTAAATAACTTGTTTTTTTTAATGTTCGTTTGATATATTTTCTGAATCTTTACCTTAACAAATTCAAAAGACGCATTACTGTATATTTCTATTAATCTCGATGTAAAATGGATATTTATTATGTATATATACATGTGTATAAATGTGTATTGTAGATAAATTTCTATTGATGTTGTAGTTATGAAATTGACATTGCTTGGAAATTTTGTCAATAAACAATGCACTACTTTTATTTAGATATATTTTTATAAATTTTACTATCCTGGTATAACTTACATATGGTGTTTACATCTCCCCGTCTTATTTGCTACTCAAGAGCATGCTCTGAGTAAGACCAATTTTAAATGAGAACGAGAAAGGCTAATAACACATAAGTCGAAATTACAAGGTTTAAAGCCATTTGTTTGTAAGATTGTTATTACAACTGTATTTTAGAAGAACTTGGTTTTACTTCTACTTCAAGAAAACCAGCTTCACATGTACAGTTTATTTTCTAAAAGTGAAATTCTTCAAAATCACATTTCAGTATTTGAAGCATTTAACATTCTAGTCAACCAAGATGAGTTCAATTTACCCTTCAAATATTGGATTCCTTACAAACAGATTGCAGGATCAAGCAAATGCGCATGCTCTAGAAAGCCCAAATCCTTACTCCTTACAAAAAATTAACTGCTACCAAGTAGAAACTTCAGACATGCTCTGCTGAAGCATATTTTAGCAGTGGTGTATATCATGTTGATTCTCAAAAATTCCCAAGAACAATTGGAAAAATTAAAATCGTTATTTTTTTTTTTGCAAGTGTCAACAACATCAAGACAACCGATAACTCCTACGCTTTATACAACCATTCCTCACAGGGTATTTAAAACTAGACATTTGATATTATAGACAACTGTTTTTTAAACAAAAATGGAAGTAGGAAATTTCCGGTCTTGTGACTGGTCATCAACAAATTACTTTGCTTAAAATCAATCTTACACACAAATACTCTGAAGTTGATATTAAAACGATGTTTGCATGAGTTGCTCATTGAAATCATTTACAATTATTTAGTCTTCGGCAGTAATTGTGCTACTTTACTAGCTGATCTGTTTTTATATTCCTATGAAGCAGAATTTATTCAGAAACTTCAAAGAAGAAAAAACTTTGTGCTCAGCTTTCAACTGGACATTTATGATTTAGATTTCCAAGCATAGGTCAGAATTTTGTAGCCTTCCCCCGGCAACTTGTGGCGTCTCCATATGAGTAAAAAATTCTCGAGAGGGACGTTAAACAACAAATATACTCTGTATGTCGATTCGATATATCCCAGGGAACTGAAATAAGATACGACAGTTAAATCTGCCACATGTTTCATGTGTAGATGTTTTAATGACTTCAGACGATAAGGGCCGACTAACAACTAAATTTTTTGACAAACGAGATGCCATAAACTTTTCCATCGTCAACTTTCCTTATTTCTGTAGTAATCCCCCATTATCACCTGCATATGGCGTTTACATCTCCCAACCTAGTCGATACTCAAGAGCATGCTCCGAGTACCATTAATTTTGCAACCGAGGAAAGCTACTTACAGATAAGTCAAGATTACAGGGATTTCAAATATCTGCATTTCGTAAATTCTATGGTCCAAAAATGACCTAATCTTAGTAAATATAACCTATTGTTGGGTAGTTTTATTGGCTGACCTGTTTCATATTAATTTTTAGACTTCTTTTTATACTGCAATGGACTTCTGAATGTTCTGTCTACCTGATTAATTCATAGGGCTCAAGGCGGGTGTGCCTGGTCAACAGGGGATCGATGCTTACTCCTTCAAGTAACTAAGTTGTACAGAACTTCTTTCCAATCCTTTTGATTGAATCAATAAAATACGTTCAAAACAAGAACTCCTTCTAGGCACCTGATCCTGACCTGAACCTTAATTCTCTCCGGAGGCACACAAGGCTTGGACATCTCTTTTTTCACTGGGGTCGGGCTGAGGCTACACGGCATGCCGTGTTCTAGGAGATCCAGCCTACCTTATTTCGCTCCACCTCCACGATCCGCCGTCATATTGTCTTGGGACGGTCTCTCTTCCTTCTCCCTTCAGGCGTCCAAGCGAGGGCCACAACGCAGTCATCCATGGGGTCCTTTATAAGCATATGACCTATCAAATTCCATATTCTCACCTCGCCACTGATGCCTTCAACTTCTGACATATCCAGGCCTGTCTTTTTTGGGATATGCGGTTGCCATCTGACCTTAAGGATCCTTCTGAGGCACTTGGTCTGATACCGGTAAATGTCAATCTTCTTTTCCTCTGTCTTCGTAAGATTCCAAGTCTCACATCCGTTTAACAATGTAGAGAGGACCAGGCTTTTAAAGAGGGAGACTTTTATCTTTCTTCTGATGTCTGTTGTGTTCCAGATGTTGGCTAGCCTCCTGAAGGATACACTGGCCAGTGCTATCCTCTTCCTGATGTCAGCAGTTCCTCCTTCCTTGGTGACATTGGCGCTGAGGTAAGTGAAGCCGTCCACCTCATTGGCTTTGCTGTTTCCAACTGTAGGGCTGGTTTCACTCTTGCTGTTCAGCGCTTTGCACTTCTTGGCATTCATCTTCATCCTAACTTTTGCAGAGTTTCCTTCCAGATTAATTGTCTTGGACTGAAGATGGTTCACTGCTGATGACGAAGTCAATGACTTCAAGCATAGTGGTGAAGTCCCATCTAATTCCTGTTCTCTCTCCTCTGACAGTCTGTTGCATCACCCAGTCTATCACAAGGAAGAATAAGAAGTCTGACATGCTGCATTGTTTGACATCAGTCATCACAGGCAAAGAGCCTTTGGACTCGTCATTTATCACAGAACACTGAAAATTGGCATACAGGGCTTTGACTATCGTAATCAGTTTTATGGGTATTCCATCTTCTTCATGAAGGCTGTCTCTGTGCACCGAGCCGAAAGATTTCTCAAAGTCCACAAAATGGATGTAGTAGCATTCCACTCACGTCGACTTGCTCCAAGATGTTCCTGAGGATGAAGATCTGATTGACAATACCTCTCCCTCTCCGGAACCCTGCCTGCTCTCTCCTAAGGGTGCGGTTAACTCCAGCCTGTATTCTGTTGATGATCCTGCTGAGTGCTCTGCTGGCTAGAGGCAGCAATGTGGCTCCCCTGCAGTCCTGTAAGTTGCCTCTCTTGGGAATTCTTTGGGCACCTTTTCCTCTTACCATATCTGGTCAAAGGTGTGCTTCAGTTCCTGGCTGCTCTAATCAAGGTCTGCCTTTAACATTTCTGCAGTTATTTGATCTGCTGCAAAGACCTTCCCATTTCAAAGCGTCTTCAGTGCAGTCCTTATTTCCTGTGTGGTGGTGGCTCAACTGAGAAGTCTAGCTCTTCACCCTCCTCATGTTCATCTTGTGGTGGTGACTCTAGAGTGTCTCTGTTGAGTACTTCCTCAAAATGTTCCCTCCATCTGTCAAGCCTCGCTTCTTTATTTTTCAGCAGCTCTCCATCTTTGCTCTTCACCGGAGCTGTTTGCTTATCACTCTTGTCAGCTGCTTTACTATGCTGTACAGTTCCCTCTGCCTCCCGTTTTCAACTGCTTTCTGTGCTCGCTCAGCTTTCTCTGCCATCCATCTCCTCTTGTGTTCTCGGGCACTTTTCTTGACTGCTTTGTCTTTCTCCCTGTAATTTACCTTCAACCTAGTCTTGACTCTGATCTTGTGCTCTCTATCTTTGTCTTGATGTCTTTTCTTTCATCTATCAACTTCCATGTGTTTTCGCTGATCCAAGGTGTACTTTTTGCCTTTCTTGCAGCCAAGTACTTTCTCTGCACCTGATCCCACTTCTGGAATGTCCAGGGATTCGTGATGTATATACCTTTTGCACAGATCTGTATTGTTCAGAGGGTTTTTGAGATCGATCAGTGTTCGTTATCTTTATCTTTTTCATTTCATTTTGTTTTAGAAGCATATCTTGGACAATTGTGAAATGTAAAATCATAGAATCTTCTTAATTGGTGATTCTTGAGGCCTCTGTCTTTCACATTTGTCACGGTGTATTACTTTTGTCATTTTCCAAATGCAACAACCACCAAAGTTTTAGTTATGATTCAAATTTAACAAAAACGTTCCTCACAGTGTCGTACTTTTGTCGTACTAGTATTCCAAATGCATCAACCATCAAAATGTTTTGATTCCAAACATCTTAGAATTGAAAATATCAAGCTAATAAATTTCGAATATTTATATCATTAAATTTTAGAGAGTAGGTCACAATAAACTACTTTTTAAATGACACAATGTACAATTATATGGACATCCTTGACTCTCTTTGGTTGAGACAAATGTGTTTTTCTTGTAAATGGTTATTTGTTAGCTCAACTGAACTGAAGGCTATTAGGAAGAATTCTTTAAAAATATTCTTAAAAGTCATGATTTGTCACGGAAGCATTATCAGATATGGTGTAGATTGAAATTTGTTCAAATCATGGCCCCATGGAATCAGGCTCCAAGACCGTAAACTGAGAACAGACTGCAGTCAAAATTTCAGTGTAACTTGTGAAATGATATAGTTTTCATAATAATTAAACAAAATTTTCATTACATATACAATTTTAAATGTTAAGCAAAATTTCAAATTAATTTAACTACTTCGTATTACACCTTAATTCAAATCTCAAAAAGTTATTGTTTCATTGATGTTGAAATACTGACTCAAGTTTGGCAGGAGCTGTATATATATTGATGTTATTCAAAAGGGGGGGTTCTTGACAAATGTGATTTTAAATACTATGTTAATTAATGTACAAAAACAAGAATTCATTTTCTTCAAATTACTGGTAACATTTTTTTTATAATCAGCATTCCATATCAAACTTCAATATACATCATGATTACCCTAACAAATTTTAATCAGCACACCATCTTTTTTTTTCAATTCATAATACATTTATAATAACAAACTGTATTTATATCAAAACAGAAAAGGAAAGGGACACAACATAGTCCAAAGAATTGCGACATATAACCTTCAGTATACTAGTATGTCCCTATTCACCACACGTTAGTAACACAGTTTTCGAACATCGGTTAAAAGCATCTTTTAACCGATGTTCACGGTTTTAATCAGCTAGTTGAACACTTTGAACTCTATATATGATGGACACTGATAGCTAGGGTGAAGTGATAAAGGCGCTGGAGAGTTTTAGGAATATACAAATGAAATGAGCATTTAATAATTACAGGACTTCATCACAGACACATCACGCAACGTAAGAACTGAAAGAGAAGAAACATAATTAAGTAGGATTTTACAAATAATTTATTCATAACTTTATGTTTTGTTATTAATTTTATTTATACATAATTTTTATACTTGTAAGGACCTTTTTTTGTAAACACAAGTCGGACATCTTGAGTATATGAATAAAAAGTTAATTCCTTACGTCATCATATCCAAACGTGCAATTTCCTGTTTCCTGTCCATACATCATGGCGTCTCTTTTTCTGAAAGCGTCTGAAAGAAAAATAGATACATAAATTAAATAATTTAAAATAAACTATACACATGTAATCACTGTTTCATTTAAAAACTGAAAAACTTAAAATTTGCGTTTACTGCATATAACATATAGATTTAAAATGCAAACGTCAAGGACAATTTTTACTTCATTCGGAGGAAAAAAATTGATTTGACTGTAAACCGATTGAAACACTTGAGATACCTGTGTACGCCCTTAGTCTGACACTAACAGATACAAAGTCATCGAAAGCACACAGACAGGCGGTTCCTCCGCCACGGGGGAGAACTCGGGAATATCGCTTTAAAATTGTTTCTGTGGCCTGGGGTGTAATACGATAGCCTGAAAATAAAACGAAGAAAGGACATGGAATAAGATGCTGCTGCTGTTTTTCGGTTGATTTTTTTTTGACCTGCTGTGGTTTGTGGCTTCAAAAAAATTGAGGATTTCTCTTTCAATCATCTTTGTTAAAGTCAAGTTTATCAACTAGAAATGGGGAATTTTCTACAGTAAGATCTCAATTGAGCATGTATTACATTCTTGTAGATAAAATGTAATGTTGATGAAATGATGCAAAACATTCTTTACTTTTAAAGATAACTTCAATTTCTCAATAAGATTGCACTGGAAACAGGAACTTTTCCACATGTAATAAATTTCAGAAAATTTTATGGTCATTTGAATCTGTTTAATATGTTCATGAATATCAAAGTTCGTGCTATATTAATTTCATAGAATTTTACGTGAAATTCAAAGGAAGTTTGTCATGAATTAAATTAAGTTCTCTGCTAGAAAACTTTTAATCCGATAAGAAAATGGTGAAAATTTTGTGCTTAAACAACAAATCATATTGTTTGGCTTTTTTAACTGATCGTTGTATTATTTTAAAATATGACGTACCGTAAAGGTTAGTGATGACGTTGACAAGTTCATTGGCCTCTATGAAACCAGACCTGTCGCTGTCATATTGTTGGAAAACTCTGAACCAAGCGATCAGACATTGCTGTAATTCCATGAATTCGTTCCACTGCATAAAACCGTCCTGTGAGCGCTGTTTTATACGGTTAAGGTCAAGGGTGTAAAATCACTGAGGTTAAAGAGTGTAGTGAGTGCTTATCTATAAACTAATTATTTTTAATCGAGTAAAGAAATTATGTTCATTTTTTAAGAATTAACTCAGAACAAATTAAATTCAAGTAATCTATGAAGTAGAAAAAAATTATTTGAAGATTTAAAAAAAATAAAGATTTTTGAAATTAAATTTGACAAATTAATTGCATGGTTAGAATATGATATACATGTAATTGCGCGTGACTTCCCTTACTTAACGTACACGTGAATTGTGTTTTACATAGGCAAAGATAAGACAACAACAACAAAAAAGTGGATTTTTACAGATAGATACTAAGTATGGAGATAAAGCTCAGGTAAAAGAGGCATAGCTAACACAAAGAGGGATTTTTAGCACTTATTTCGTACAGCATACTTTAACAGGGGAATTTAAAATTGATAATATATAAAAGAAGGGTTTGCCAACTAAAACTTTATTGGGAAACTGATTAACAACAAGAGGATACATCCAACATAGCTATCATAATGCTGTAAAAAAAAAAGTAAAAATTTTACTAAACTTTAAAATTCAAAGTGTTACATGTACTTCTACAACGATTGTAACAACACAATACAAATATTTCTGTCTAGTTTTATAATTCAATTCAGGCGTATTAACTTTACATTCATGTTAAAATCAATCAAATTATCTATTAAATCATAGACCAAAAGCATAATGGTTTTTTTTTCGTTTAGGTCAATGATAATACCCCGGTATATCGTAAAAAGTGAGGTTAGAATTTAGAAACAGATACATTAAACATGTATTATTTCGTTCCATTAAAATATTTCCAGTAACGACTACGCATTGAAATAAATTATAATTTCAGCGTTGTGTAAAACTTTCGCAGGCCTAGCTAAATGTATGTAACCATTCTTGTCAAACTTAAATGTAACACATTATTTTGCCAAGAAAATGACAGGTGCTTGACGTTTTTAACCTTTCTTTTCATTATTATAGTATATGGGATATTTTTATTTATGAAAAGATAGGTTAAAAACGTCACGCGCCTGTGAAGAAATGTGTAAAACGATATTAATATACATGTATATACATTTAGGAACCAATTGTACATTTTGTATCCTCCTTCTAAAATTAAAGATAATTATGTTTATCAAGTATGTTTGCACAAATTAAAGAAAGCTCATTCACTAATTTACAGGTAATCTAAAGGTAAAAGTAAAAATTGCACCTTAAAAGTAAAAAGAAATAATCTATCATATCATGCATTCTATGCTTAAAAACACTTGCTATCTTACACAAAAATACATTTTCATATATGTTTGAGTCGATCCTATTTCCACTAAGAATGCTAGCTCACTACTGAATTATACTTATACATACTCAATGATTAAAGGATACATCCAACATGGCCAGCATGATACTATAAATTAAATGAATTGTACATAAAAATGAACCAGACAATTACAAGTATTTTAAAATACTACAAGGTACAGTTTGAAAGCTGAAATCTCTCTCTCTCATTATCTCTCTCTCTTACCTGCATAACTCTCTGCTCCAATTAACTGAGAAAAAAAAATCAATTAGACTGGTAATGTTTCTTATTCTTGTTTTGTTCTTTCACATTATAATTTCCATTTTGAATTTACATTTTGGTGTGTTCTTTACATGTAGAATATAACAAGTTACCTTTACATTTGATCATATGTCTCTTCATCTCAATACCTCAAAGATTGTCTTATTTATCATGGAGTATGAGATAATGAAGTTTGACTGTATACTTACTTCTGAAATAGTTCCTGATGGTGTGACAATTATTCATGATGTTCATAAGATCCTCAGCTTGAATTGCCTGTCTTTGCTGCAATCATTAATAAATTTCAAAGTTATCACTAATCAATTACTTAACGAATAGTTAGTCTTGCAGTTGCACTGACAACAAAATGTGAAAGTTCAACACATTAATATTTTTTTTAGCTCATTCGATGAAATGAATTACAAGCGTTAAGGTGAGTTTAGTAATCCATGAAAATTTTTGATAAAAATAATAAGAAGTAGCATTTTTTACGTCATAAAGATCAACGGTAGATAATCTATTTTTTTTTAATGAACTACAAATTAACAATGTTAACTACGTATGTCGTAAATGAAGATTATACCCGTCGATTAAATATATGTAATATTCATACCACGTTAGCAGGATTTTTCATCATCTCGGTATTGAAAACGTGCCATAGTTCGTCTTGGGACCCAAATTGGAATGCCTTAAAATAAAATAAACGCTATTCAGGAAATTGCTCATTCAATAATTCATAAACGAATTTTCACATGTATTGGCCTATAGATGCAAGTCATTTTGCACACGTATTGTATACGAAAATCAAACGCATTATACTAGTATATCAAATACAAGCTTTAATTCAACAATTTTAAATAAAATACATTAAACTTAATAACCAAAAAACTTAATGAAAGAAAAAATAAAATGAAAGTTTTGCTAAAAGAAAATAAACAGGTGCTCGCCCTTGGATCCGCGCCTCGTGATTTACACGTACCTGCCATGCGTTGACAGAAAAGACATTTTGCTGAAAATATCCCCCATAACTTCCATACTGCTGGCTGGGCTGTTGGTACTGCTGATACTGGGGTTGCTGATAAGGCTGGAACCCCATTTGATATCCTCCCTGTTGGTAGCCGCCTTGTTGATAATACGCCATATTTTTACCTTAATTTTGTCGTTAAATCGCCTTGTCCGATTATGAGATTGTAGTTTTTGTTGTCTTGCACAATTCCAAATATTTGGCAATGCTGTGACGTAATGATAAGGTCGGAGTTTAGCTCTGAATTAAAAGCGAAGAGTTTGTTGCTAGGGAAGCTTCGCCGACAGTCTTCAAGTTTGTTTTGGACATTAGAGTTAGTTCCCGTTTTGTTTACTTCCGGATTAAGCGGAGTGGATGAAATGGCGCGAATATTTAAACTTCGATTTAAATAATCATAAACCAAGACATCTAACTCCGAACTACTTGTTGACACCCCCTCCCCCTGAATCAAAGTCATTAACAATTTCAGAGAAGAAAACTGCGGCAAACTGTTTTTTTATTAGGTCCCTAGCACCACACTATGAAGTCAATATAGTTTAAAAGACTAGGCCCTATTCTTGAGAAAAGAACAATCTTTGACAATTTACCGATATTTTCCCTGTATGATTTTTTTTCAAAAAGCTTTTGTAGCCCAAACATACTGACTTTATTGCAAGAACATTAGATTTGAACATAAATGATTGTACATATACATTGTAATACTATAAAATGTAACTTTTCGTGGTATGTCTTTTTCAGTTGGCGAACAGCTAGAGTTTTGACGCTGTTTATACGAATATAAAAGAAATAAAGACAAAGTTTAACATATACCACACATGGTTGACTAGATAAATTATCGTGGAAGAGAATGATAATTAAACATTTTGCCCGTGTATTTTTGTTCTGAGATCGAGTTAATTCCATGTGATTCGGAGTTACGGGCACATTGACTGTGTTTTTATTGTACTATGATCCATATTACAGTTAAAATTTGTTACAGTTATAGTAAGTGCCCGTGTTACATATAAAATTAAATGAAAGGGGAATTAAAATATGGTTTTTTTTTTCATATACATGTATAAGTTTATTTTGTATTTTAGAAAAGAGAGACAAGATCTTATATATTTTTTGGCTCTGACTTACTAGTATATCTTTTGTTAAAATGAATTTAAGGTATACCTTTACTCAGATGACCAAAAATTCCACTGATAAGAACGAAAAACCACCTATTGCACATTGTACACCTATGATTCTTCTGTTAAATTTCGATTTCAAATAACTAGGTCAATGACCTCGTTTTCATGCTAGGGGCCCCTGGGTATTTCTCGAGAAATACCTCAATTTTTCACACTATAACCATTTTTTTCTTCACTCACAAAATGTTACACACAACAAAACTCATTATTTAATGAAATATTGTAGCATTGGTACAGAGTTGCTCCATATAAGGAAAGGAGAGTTTGAGCCATAAACGTGATAATTATTACAGTCCGAATATCCTCTGTAATATTTATATTTTTTTCCCTATTTTTAATCAAATATTGCAAAAATCTGACTGATAAGAACTCTTAATTATTTATAGCCTCGGGTTACTTTTGTTACCCTCATTCTCATGGTATTAATATTATATGGGGTCAATGATCAAATTATTGAGATATGTTGACTGCAGTGGTTTTTGTACTTAATTTTAATTTCTTTAATTCAAAGCAATCATATTCATTTGAAATGATTTAAAAGCTTTAACAAATATAAATTTTGCAAAATGATGTCTTAAAATACATGTTACCTTTACTTTGTGACTAATATTGCAAGAAGTAAAAATTTTGACAAAAATGAAAAATAAAAAATTTATAATTAGTCCGAATTTCCTCTGCATAGCCATACATTGAGTTTTGTTCCTGTAAATTTTCTTCAAGTACTTACATATTAAATTTTTAAATTGATATTGAGATAAAACTTAGTTATTTTATCCATTTAGAACAATTTTTGAACTAATACATTATACTTTATAAAATTTCCTCTCTGATTTCTGAAACCTGAGTAAACGTCATCTTTAAGTTTGATCTTTTTCATATTAGAAAATAAGTTACCTTTGCCTTCTTCCGATGTTCTCAGAGTTGACTCAAGTCCTTCTGTACTGAATTATTTGTTGAACGTCCTTTCGAATTTTTTTCATTTTTAATTAGTGAACCACTAACTTTTGAATGGAGGCACAAGTACATACACTTGTATACTGAGCGTCCCCTTCTTTTTCTTTTCACAAAATAGTATCTACACTGCTATGTAACTAAATTTAAGGTACCCCCACTATAAGCCAGTATTTTATCAATCATTAATCTACTTTAAAATGGCAAAGATCGTTTTTCGAGACTCTTTTTTTGCAGGTAAATCGTTCCAGCTAGACTTCCTTCATCAATACATGTACTCTACTGGGTATATATTAAAGATATATGTATTAAATACGTTTACGTCATATCCATTATATTCTATACTGGTACGACATGCTGAAATATTGCTGAACAGCTATACATGTGTTCAGGGCAACAAAGCTCACCCGATTCACAAATAAAAATTCGATCATTTCATTCAGAAACATTGTTGTTGGTTATCATTTCTTTTGCGCACAACTTAAAAAAAAAGAAAAAAAAACATGTTTTGTATGCATTGAGTTTTTTCCTAATTGAAACTTTTTTTTCTTGAAGAAGAGTTGCATTTAAACTATATATACAACATCATTTATAACAGCACCCTGATCGCATGACCGCCATGTTCTAAATGAATATCCTACAGGTAATTAATTGAATTTAGGGGGGAAAAACAACAACAATTTGATATTCCTTTCGAACCATTTATTTCATTTTACACTGTATAGAAAGAAAGGGCACATACCCCCGGACACATGCAAATTCTTATCAACGGTATCGATCAGCATATGACTTATTATTTAAATGACCCGTGAATCTTTTTGATTCAGATAAAATAGTCTGTAGAAAATGGATTTGATAACACCTACACAGACTGCTTCTTACAAATACAGAGAAAAACATTATGAAAAGAACAAATACACATGTACGACGAAACAAGCGATAGCAAACTTCCTTAATTCCATGTCTGCTATAAACAGACTGATCAAAACATACTAATATAAAGGCACAATGCGCTAATTATCCATGATCACGTACTGTATCTGTAAATTTCATAGCTTTGAAAAAATTATTCACAGTTCATGTACATGTGAATTAAAACACACGATTGAGTCTAAAAAGCAGTAGATATCATGATGGAGCAATTGCAAACTGTACACAGTTATGATGGCGAGCGGCAAAATCACCGTGTTTCAATGGTCGTTTTTCGCAGTTGGCTTTCATTATAACGTCAATAAATTTCTTCTGTTTAATTTCCCGAAATGCATTGGCCAAGGCATCCACCATTTCCACGCTGGCCACTTTTCCTCGCCATTTCCAGAGGATTTCGAAGTTTGTAATGATGGGAGGCTGGTCCAATGCCTTAATGTCAAGGATATCCTCATACGGAAGTCGTAAAGCGACACCTAACGAGGTGGCGTATTGATGCGGAAGTGCACCTGCCAAAACTAGTAGGCTCTGATGACTTAAGACCGGGACTTCATCTGGAAAAGGAAATGATACAAAATTAAGTTAAAAACGCAGTGAAATCAAGGACAGAAAGGTTTTTTAAAGCGACTTACCAAACATGGAACGATAAACAATGGTGGATCTGACGGATTTACTCGATTTCTGAGAACCACGTGACCAAGTGACTCGACCCATTTGAGATGCTGAAAAGAATGAAATCTTTTAAATGCAGAGGAAGAAGTACATGTATTACATATACGACAGGAATTCCTTAAATGAACTTGTGTGGTGTATGAACACAAAATTATTATTTATAGTTTTATTATAGGCATAGTCGCAAGTCACTGGTTTGCGTTTTCCCGTGGATTGTGATCATGATGAATTCGAAATTATGTACATGTATAAAAGTTCAACCCGTATATATTTTCAGATAGAAGGACAGCAGTATAGTATTTTATAAATATTTTTAAAGAATATCTTACATGGTTTGGCGTCTGAGTGGGATGTCGGCAGTCGCGGACCACTGACAAGAAACCGCTCTGTCTCCATGGAAACCAAATGAATACAGACATCTTCTTGTCCGGACTCCCGGTAGTAGTTTATAATACCAATCTGTCGTCCCCGCGGATCCCTTCTAGGTTCAATAGGAAACGATCTGTGGTTTTGATTAGAACTGCTAAGGTATGAAATAAAGTAATGGTCATATGAAAGATCTCGTATTTTTCCAATATTTCCCTCTAGGTCAATTCTCACGACGTCATAATCTTTCATGCGTATATCTGGCGATCTACTTCCGGGAATTTCAAAGAGACCCTCTTTCATACGCATGCGCATAATTCTTTTCAGGAATCTTTTCTCTACCACTTCCGTCCATAACTTTACTACCCCACTCTGAAGCGAAGATCTGTCCATCAGCGTTAGAATGGTACAAATATGTTCCGTCTCGTAATATAGATTAAACTCATCAATGATGGCACGGCGATTTTTCTTCATCTGCCTTTTGTTTGCTTTTCCAACAGCCAGTCTATGAAAAAATGATTTTTTTTCCTAGTTAAGACCACTGAATTCTGTTTTGTACTGTTTTAAACCTAATTCAATATTTTTAATCAACATTCGAATAATCTTGTTTCAATGATAGAATGAATATCTCATTAAAACGTTTGTAAGTCGCCTTATCAAAAAATTGTGCTTAGTCATCATGCAATACACGAAGAAAACTTTAAACAGTCGAGCAATTCCTTGATATATCAAATAAATCTGATGAGTTTTTTTCGCTTATATTTTTATTTAATGAATGTGTAACAAAAATCAAACTTCTTGCGCAAAGAGAAGCAAATTCAGCCAAGTGGATTAAACGCAAAAATGCAAATGTGCGCTCTCATGTGCAAACCAGAGCATTGTACTTATACCTGCAACTAGAAGCGCCATTTCTACAATCAGATAACATCGTTGTGAAAATCTAATATGCTTTACTTTATATTCGCACCTATTAAGTTACAAGCAGGTAATTGTCTTTTTAAAACTATTTAGCTGCAAGCGACAAAGAAATAGAGCTCACTTTTACATCTAAAATAGTTACATGTAAATACATGTACACATGTTCATGTTTATCAGACATACCCACAAAAACGGTCGATTTGGAAGGTGTAGCAATTCCCTGTTGATTCACATCGCATCGCCATTGGTCGTGGGATTACTTCTACCTCGCCGTCAGCCCGTTTCCGGAACACAACTATCTCCGTCTCATAGTCATCCATATCGTTAATAATGGGCATGTGCACAAGAGCAGGTTCGTTAATTATGACGTCATCATCATGCTTTATGAAAAGGACATCCGATATACATGTGACGTATTTGCACATGTCTGGGCATGTCTCCTTGTACGAAAATATCCTGTTTCTGTTTAGCTGGATCAACTGAAACATCAAAAATAAATCTTTATTAACTTGTAGATAAACAATCTGCATGTCGTAAATTATTTTTTGTATTTTTCTAAATCTACTAAAATATTTGAAATATTAGTATTTTATTTAAACAATAAAATGCCTTTACGCGGGTTATGTATTTTTTCTGCAATAGCTGCTTCCGTTAATTCCAGTAATAACAAACAAAGAAAGCATTTTATTGTTTATATTTATATCTGTTTAAATAATCATTTAAAGTAGGATTAAAACGATTAATTATTGTATTAATGATGCGAACGTCATTATACGTTTCATTGACGGAACAGCCACTGATCAAGAAATCTGTACAGGCGACATTCCTACTGTAGTTCACGCAGTGATTAACGCAATGGGTTTTCTTAAGAAATAAAGGAGAAAATATTCAGTGGATGTAAATATATTTAAATGAATCTTTGCGATATAGTAGCTTCCTTACCCTAAACTGTACCATACATGGGCGATTACTCTCTGTGCTATATACGATACATGGACGACTTGATTACTCTGAACTGTGCAATACATGGGCGACTTACTCTGAACTGTTCCGTACATGGGTGAATTACTCTGAATTGTACGATACATGGGAGACTTACTGTGAACTGTTCCATACATGGGCGACATTCATTCTGAACTGTTCCATACATGGGCGACTTATTCTGAACTGTATGATACGTGGACAACTCATTACTTGTATGGGCGACTTACTCTGAACTGCACGATACATGGACGACTGAAGCAGTTTGGGGGAAAGTTAATTCGGATTCTTGAATCATCGTCTGACATGTAAGTAAATCCCGCTGGAGTAATCTCCCTGTGATACGGACGATAACCCGCCACAACGACGAAAGCCTCCATGTAGCTTGCCTTGAACTCACATTTTCCTGCCTATTTGAATGAAATTGAACCAAAAAAATTTTAATAGGTATTTAATTGATTTTTTAGGGAGAAGGGATTCTAACTTCCTTTTCTCGAAATTATATATGTTAAAAGCTTTTTGAAAAAGGATAACCTTTGGGATTTTTAATTTTTTATTTCAAAAATACTTATTAAATGTTAATCTCTCAGCGTTAAAATTACATACATTGTATATAACAATGAACAATGACACTTGCGTACCATGATGTCTCCTTCAACATCTGTCCATTTGTCCCCCGTTTTTGTTTTCACACGGACTGTAGCAGATGCCGGAAATGACGAATGATGAATTGGAGAGCAAAGAGTTATTTTTTCTTGACAACGAAAGGCACTTCCAGTAACCTGGAAAAAGTCAGACACGTAATGTTGTCCATCGTGCAGTTGAATTCCCGCCATAAGTGCTGATCGCGATTCTATTGGACACTGGATAAAATCACAATGCGAAATCAAACCGAGGCTTTCTAATGGCGCCACTGCGTGAACTCCATCACCAAGGTCAATGTAGTCCAGCGTCCTTTTAATAGAAAATAAATGTAAGTCAATAATGATTTTACTTTACATTTACAAATAAATTTATGTAAAATTCAAGAAAAAGCTATATTAATAGATAACAAAAATCACATGTACCCGCTGGTTTTACCAATGGTGTAAAATGCATCTGTACAAATGTTCCCTATCCTCAATACCATTTCACGTAACTCATCTGTAGAAAGACTGTAAGGTGAAGATTGATGAAAATAAGTTCACATTTGATACTAAGTAATTACAGCAAAAATCACTGAAGAAAAAATACTTTAAAAGGAATCCAAAACAATCCCAAATTTTTATTGCATCATTCACGATGCAACAAGTCCACACAGAAAAGAAAGACAAATTAATTTTAATATGGAGGAAATTCTATGACAACTATTAGCATTTATCTCAGTTAGTTATAACTCATAAATGATATATCTCAAATATTCCAAAAACAATGGTTTTAGGTTTAAATGTATTCCGAAAGCAAGCGAGAGAGAGAGAGAGAGAGAGAGAGAGAGAGAGAGAGAGAGAGAGCATGTCCCTTGACAAAAATTAAAAAGAACAAGCAAAGTATTCGTAATTCTTACGAGTGTAGGCCATGTGACACGGTGGCTTCGCTGACAAAGGATGCAATGTTAGTTTGTACAAGCTTCTTCTTCCCTTTTGAGGCATCGTCTTCAAATCTAGGGAAAATAATAATGGATTATGACACGACTGCTTACTAATTAAATAATATCTACACTGTTCTCATACTTATGAATATCCTTTTTACAATACAATGTTTGAGTGTTTGAATTTTTCAATTTTGACTGAACTCACTTGAGTCTTTTGAGTAAAATTTTAGCACTTCTGAACAGTTGTAAAATCCCCGCTAAAAAGCCAGAGTAGGTACCTGGGGCTGAGTGACTGCATCTACAACGATAATGACACAGTCTCAGAAACTTCACATTTTCAACTCTGACCCATATTCAATACACTCAGATACTTATGTGGTTAAACCGTACAGTAAATTGCTGAACTTGAGGAGGCTGGAGGGTAAAAAAAATTAACCAAAAGATACAATTTATATTTTAGATACGATATTTTAAGCGTCAACAATCATTTGGCAAAGAAAAATTTCATACATTTTAATTTAGTCTTAAATTATATCGTTTTAGTAAATCTTTATATGGAGCTCTTCTTCTAAAGGAGTTAAATATAGTCTAGAAATGGCCACAACCACCCAGCCCTCTTAAATAAGTGCTTGAAAATGACTTGAATTCTCACATAAGATCCTTGTCCAGGCAGTTGTACTTGACATGAAGCCCCAGGGCGTAGAACAGTCCATGTATTGGTTTAAGGAGGGGGATGATGTTCAGCTGGAATCGCTGGAGGAAAACTAACAGTATCTCCCCCGTTATAGAGGCCACATCAGAGGATAGCTCCATAATGTCCATAAGAATGTCGTCCTTGTATCTAGAATGGGACCAGTGTAATATATCGAACACTCTTAAATCTCGTATTTCATATACTCACTTTTAAGTACTTTCTATAGTTCATGCAAGTCAATAAGAAAATAGTTTTTCAAAACAGAAAAAGGGAACACTTTTCATAATTTATGAACAACTTCCGTATATGATAGAAGTAACTTGAACAAGAGGCCCATGGGCCACATCGCTTACCTGAGAAGCTTTGAACATTCCGTTCTTTACCAGATTTCCCCTTGTTATACACACTGTGAACCCACCCTACCCAACTGACCATAATTTAAACAATTTGAAATCTACACTACCATAGGATGCTTTGATTCAACATAGTAAAACTTTGATTCCCCATTGTGGCCCCACCCTACCCCCGGGGGTGACATGATTAGAACAATTTAGAATCTACACTATCCCAGGATGCTTCCACATAAGTTTCTGCTTTTCTGGCCCAGTGGTTCTTGCAAAGAAGATTTTTCCTATATATTTCTATGTAAAACTTTGATTCCCCATTGTGGCCCCGCCCAACCCCCGGGGATCATGATTTGAACAAATTAGAATCTACGCTACCCCAGGATGCTTCCACATAAGTTTCAGCTTTTCTGGCTCAGTGGTTCTTTAGAAGAAGATTTTCAAAGATTTTTCCTAAATATTGCTATGTAAAACTTTGATCCCCCATTATGGCCCTGTCCAACCCCCGGGGGTCATGACTTTAACAATTTGGAATCTACACTACCCTGGGATGCTTCCACATTATAAGTTTCAGCTTTTCTGGACCAACGGTTCTTGAGAAGAAGATTTTTAAAGATTTTTCCTATATATTCCTATGTAAAACTTTGATTCCCTATTGTGGCCCAGCCCTATCCCCGGGGGTCATGATTTTTACAATTTAGAATCTGCACTACCTAAGAATGCTTCCACATAAGTTTCAGTTTTTCTGGCCTAGTGGTTCTTGAGAAGAAGATTTTTAAAGATTTTTCCTATATATTTCTATGTAAAAGTTTGATTCCCCATTGTGGCCCCGCCCTATCCCCGGGGGTCATGATTTTTACAATTTAGAATCTACACTACCCCAGGATGCTTCCACGTAAGTTTCAGCTTTTCTGGCCCAGTGGTTCTTGAGAAGATTTTTTTAATGACCCCATCCTATTTTTGTCTTTTCTTGATTATCTCCCCTTGTGAGGGGACTTGGCCCTTCATTTTCACAATTTAAATTTCCCTTTATATAAGGATGCTTTGTACCAAGTTTGGTCAAAATTGGCCCTGTGGTTCTTCAGAAGAAGTCGAAAATGTGAAAAGTTTACAGACGGACAGACAGACGGACGGACGGACGGACGACGGACAAAATATGATCAGAAAAGCTCACTTGAGCCTTCGGCTCAGGTGAGCCAATAAAATTGTTGGTTGCAATGGTAATGAATAAAAGTTTACGAAATAGCAATACTCTTACTTTTTCCTTTCTGGATCCGCCACTTTTTGCCAGATCTCCACGATGTTGTAGAAGAGAAGTTGAAGGCCATTAATATCCTTACAGTAGTTATCCACATCCTGATCCGTGTGACTGGAGATGTTAAAATAAAAATAAAAACCATCGTAACCTCTCAGGACTTTTGGAAAGGCCAAATATTCCAATGAATCAAAAAAATAAGTTTCACTTGTGTTAATTAATACATTATCAAAGAACTGATCCCGTGGGAGTATATTATGTGTTTGAAGATGCTTAAAAACTTCTTTGACGGATTTTAAGATATTTTGCTGCTATTGGATTCTCAAAAATTGACTGAATTTAAATGAAGTTGTTGAAATTACAGTAACGTAAACTTATCTGTCAATAGCCTGATATGATTAAAGAATTGATAATAATCAAAGCATCCATATATGCTCTTGAGTTCCAAATAAGTTTGGATATATAAACACCGTATGATATTTAGAATAAGGTCGCACAAGATGCAATGTGCTTATGATGATAAAACCACAGATTTAACCGGAAAGGTTATTTATTAAATGTTCATGCTATTTCATACTGTACAATCCGACACACTGCCTATTCTGACACAAAATTTGTCTCCAATTGAATATCGGATTAGACAGGTTTCACTGTATCAGAAAATACTCACTCTTCGCTTTCTCTGACCATGATACGAAGTCGCCCCGTCAGGTCTAGTGTTTCACTGATGAGGGACCGTAACAGTGAGATTTCCTCATCCCTAAAACTAGATAGATTAAGATAGAATCAGTTTCAATGAAAATTATGCGAAAAACAAAGTATTCCGATATACAATATTTCACATATATATTTCTGATGATTTTATTTTTAATTGTAAAAGTATCGGCACTTTTTGGTGCGTGTATAAATATAATAAACACACCTATGCAATATTCCTGATTGAAAAATATTGGCATTTTTAAAGAAAAAAATCCGATCTTTCATTCCATTTTGCACTTTGTCTATATACATTTTTTACGTATACGTATGTAGCATGTAAACATTGTTACCATGTCTAATTTTGTTCAAGCAAAGTTTTAATATATTTTCAATATGATCTTAATTAATTACTATACCTAAAAACTGTGTGATTTGCACGTCGTAAAGTAAAGATTACCTTTCTTTTTTGTACAGACTGCATCGTATTTTCCACAACCTCTCTACGTCAGATTTAACCTTTGCCCCTGGGTCCTGTTTCTTACTCAAAACACTGCAAAGAAACCATACAATCCAATGAAAAGCGGACAAATTTTAGCTTTACTATTACTCATGTTAAATGTGAACGTTAACAGTGTTCAGAAGTACTAAGATCAAAATTTATAACTCTAATAATAATTCGTGTACAGTCGAGTCGTGTTAATCCTAACGCTGTGTCCCTGATGCTCCACAATGATAACAGAGAGACCCGATTACTGAAATGTAACTTTTATGATTGGTGGATATTTATGTCATTTCTGATCCCCCATATTTATCAGGAAGTTAATAATTTCGAGCTATTAGCCTTCGGATTATTGAGAATTTACTGTATTCACAATGCAAATTAAAAATTAGAATTTGCAAATATTGAGCTTAGCGTTTTGCCATTTTATTTTTTATCGTTACTTACCTGTTCAAAGACCTTGGTGTGAAGGCACCTGCACTTTGTGAAACTCCCATTTTTTAAAGTTAAAACTCTATCACTGATTTCCACATATTCTACAGATTCTGTTTTATTTGTCGTTGTGTCACAATGTACAATGTATAATTTCTCTCAATAAACAGGATTATCGAGGCCCTGGATTCGGATTAGAGATTTAATCTTAGATTAACGACTGCAGTTGTTTAACAAGCAATCTTGTTAATTTTTCCTCCTAATTATACACTTAAATAACGTGCTGCACAACCAGTTTCAATTCAAGTTGCATGCTCTGTCAAATTTATGATATTTTAATAAGGGATCAGCTCCTTTAGAGTAGAATTAGTAATTTCTATAGAAAAAATATCATTTCCTCTGATTAAGGTTTTATTAAACTTTTTCAAGTTTTTAAAAAAGACAATACACAGTTATGGGCGGATCCAGGATCTGTTACTTAAATTTGGCCCCCCTCCCCCTCCTCAAATAAAAAAGAAAAACAACTTCACTACTTTTTTCAGCAATTAGAATTTAACTTTATTTATTTCAAATTTAATTCAAATTTAAGAACCATCTCATCTGCTTTTTATTTTATAGAGTACTTTATAAAAAAAATGTTATAAGAAGTAAAACAGCACATTTGAATGCGGAAAGCAAAATAAAAAAAAAAAAAAAAAAAAAAAAAAAAACAAAAAAAAGGCATGCCAGTCATGATTCATGTAGTTCATCTGCACATTTCACTTACCTGCGATTAGATCGGCTCATTTTAGTGAATTAAAACTTGTATCCAACTTCATAATAACTGGTTATAAATTTATGTCAAACTTGATAATGCCTTTTTTAGATCAAAACATATTTTTCCTGATAAGAGGCAAGGTCAATTATATCGTATAGAAGATTAATGTCATAACATTCTAAACGTTACATTTGTCTTCGAACTCTCCGCTAATCCTAATTTATAGCGCTAATTATGAATTAATCCGATTCGAAGTTTTACCTTTTGACCGTGCATTTTACAGTGTTCAGTGGGTACCTGTTACGTGGAATTACATTCAAGAAAAAAAAACCTGTTACATGTGTGTATCAATTGCAATCATATGTTAATCGAATAAATCCGTATAAATTTTTACAGGTCTAGTTTACAATGTAGGAGCGGATCAAACAGGATTTTTTTTTAATCAGATTCATGGACTGAAACGAAGCTTCGATTGGATTTATTATCTTCCAACATAGTGGCATACGATGTACGAAATAAAGTCTATTTTACATTAAATTTATCTACAAGAAGTGTGCAGGTCTCCATTAGTGTCGCTATGAAAATAGATATAAAATGTTTTGTATCTACATTTTTATCGCGTCGTTATAAAATACTATTAGTAAAAGTGCGGTTTTGCCTTGGGAAAAAGATCTGATCTCAGGATATGATGAAATTGTACGTGGTAGATAATACGTGATGCTCATATGAGGAAATAGTGGGAGGTTTTACTGAATGTATAATTACCTAATAAATACAGCTCGAAAGTAAAGGAAGAACATTAAAAGTTTGAGGGTTTAAATTAAACTACCTAGTTGATTTTTAAATTACGTGATTTTATTCTCCATTGGAGACCATGCAATTTACTTTTCACATATAGAAACTTGAAAAAAAAAATTAGTAAAAATAAAAATCTGAATGTTTTTGATAAATAAAATATGGGCAAATACTTTTCAGTAAAAATTTACAAACCGAACCTTTGTGTTGCCTTCTGGACAAGCCTGTGGAAGATGGAGGGTTTCCTCTGTACTTTTTCGTCTCCTATTACCTCCCCTTCTTCCCTGAACGAGACCCTCCTAGCTCTATTTTTAGAAATCCTACTGGCCACATGCGCCATTGAAAAGCTCTTGGATGATCGAGGTTGCTGGTTCGATTCCTCTTGTGTATCATTCTTGTCCTTTTCTTCACCACTTTCTGATATGCTGTCATCCTCTTTGTTTTTCTCGGCTCTTTTTGATTTTGCAATCTTCGAAAATGCCAACACTGACTTAATTTTAATGAGCTGTACGTTTGGGTTGGGAAGTATTGACGCCCGGCGAAATTCTTCATGGCGAAGATTGATTTCTTTCCACGATGGTTTTACCTGGGTGTCCGTGTATTGTACTGGCTTGGCCTGCTGAGGTTCTATCACCTTCTGTGAAGATCGCCACATACAGAACATTCCTATCATAGAATAGAAATTGAACTGATATATAGATATAAAGTTAAGAATAAGTTTATTGTAAAAATAAAAATTGAAATACAAAAATTATAAAGATTGTTTAAAAAATTGTTGAAAGGATCTGTTAAGATGGAACATATTCTGGAAAATGAAAATGTATTTTAAGCACCCTTTTCATTTTTTTGAAAGATTAATCAAAGAAACTTCAAGCCAAACGGAAATATAAATTTAAACTAGAGGTACTGAGAGTACTGAAATTTTAAAAAAAATACCCCGCCTCTCACATTAATTAGTACATGTTTTGAAGATTCAAAAAATTTCAAATAAAAAAAAAAATAGGAGGTGCATACATTGTCTTTGTATCAAAATCATTAAACTACTGTAGATCACCAAATTTTCTCGACAGCTTATTTTCGCGAGATAGTTGTTGACTCTTTATAAGCGAGACAAAATTTTCATGAATTGTAGTTATTGCTCTACATACACCTAAGGAATATTATTGACCCAGCCTCTCATATTAGTAATGCATTTCTTAATAAAATGTGATTTACAGTATATTCTTTAATATAGTAATTAATTGCACATTGCACAGATTGAATTATTTCAGTTTTTTTACTGAAAAAAGTTGTGTTTACAAAATCAAATAATTTTTCAATCTATTTTTGTTTCTCATTAAAACATAAAATAGGAGGTACATAGACAATGTGACCCCCCCCCCCCCCCCCCCCCCCCCCCATTTTTTGCATGGTTATTCTCTATATATACATCATCAACAAAATTTCATTAAACTCTATAGCAGTGATATACTTTGGAGTTGCGTAAGCGGGTTATGTAAATTTTTATCTGCAATATCACCTCTTTCCAAGAACAACAAACAATGTAATAATCTTATTGTTTATATTTATATCTGTTTAAATTATCATTTTAGCAAATTAAAAATATTAATTATTGTGTTAATGATGTATTTCATACTGGAACGGCCACTGATCAAGAAACTGTACAGGTGATATGCCTAATGTAGTTTATGCAAAATATATATACATATATATATTATGTTTAAATTCTTGAACTTTGATATATCATGAAAAAATATATAGGAAATATATTTCCTCGGGGGTTACTACTGTATAATATATTGCAAATAATTCCAGTTCAAAACTTATTAAAAAGATTTTAGCAACCAAGTGCACGGTTTACATGTAGTAAATTTACAACACTTTCCAAAAATAGACTTATGAGGAGTCCATTCATAACTTACCGCAGTGGATTACGGGTAATTAATATTACTCCAAAGTGCACCGAAACTGCATTTCCTGCCAAATTTCGATATTACTATCTACATCTACTGTTAGGGAACATTGATTTTGTTAGCTACTAGCCAACAATGAGGCACGAAATCCGCTTAATCGTGTATTGCATGTAAAGAATAAATTAATCTTTAAAAGTTAGTCTGGATTAAATAGAGGAGCGCTCATAAAATGAATTGTAATATTTAAGCAAGTAAAAGTTTAACGTTAGCAACCTGTACCATATTACAGCATTTTAGGTTCTTGTTTTCCTCCGACAACAATGCATAAATATCTTAAAATCGGGAGGCATCGGTAACGATATCCCCCCCCCCCCCCCCCCCCCCCCCCCCCCGCCAAAAAAGAGCTTAGTTATAGGTAAAGTGCACATTATGATTTAGAAATGAAAATAAAATTGATAAAAAAAATTATAGGGGTTTACGCTGAATAAATTGTTTCAAAACCCTGAAATTGAGGCTAAAAACATTTCATGTTTGCCTTGTCCGAAATATAAACACAGAGAGTAACATTAATTGTGCTTTACTGTATTGTCATGCAGTGTTTGTGCCAATATAATATTTGATTTGATTCAGTTTATATTAAATATATAAAATTGATACAACTGAACACAAAGATTTTACAAAATTTTTTTTATTTTCCTAAAATAAAAAAATACATTAATTCTATACATTGGGCAAAAGATTTTGTGGAAGTTATGCATTTGTTAAAGATAATTTTAAGAGAGAAGAGAGATGAGAGGTTATGCTTTATCATTTCCATGTTAATAATTATGTCTTCCCCGCTGAGGCCAGTAGAGAATTAAAAAATACATTAATTAATTCTTTACAATTGATTTTGTCAGTGGAAATTATGCAACTCCTCTCATACCACTGAAGGAAATTTAATGAAACTTTCACAGAATCTTTATTACATATTGCCATTGTGCACCTCCTATTTTACTTTTTGAAGAGAGAGAGAGAGAGAGAGAGAGAGAGAGAGAGAGAGAGAGAGAGAGAGAGAGAGAGAGAGAGAGAGAGAGAGAGCAGTTGGGAATTACAACATACATAATCAATATACTGTAAATAAAAGTTTGTTTAAAGTATTTCTATATATTACTCTTTTGTATTTATTTGTTTCTTTGTTTAACATTGCATAATTTGCTATTTCTTATTTTAAAGATATTGATTAAAAAATTACCCAGCTTGATAAGCAACATGTCATCTTCATTAGACATAATCCATAAAAATTTTTCTTTATTTGTTAAAGTATATATTCATATGGGAGGCGGGGGGTATCATTTAGTGAGCTCATTGCTCACAGTACCTCTAGTTTTTATTGCTTTAATTAACATGCTTTATCAATTCCATGTCATATACATTAATTATTGCAATTAAACTAATTATTGTGATTAAACGCAAAAATTACTTTAAACTAATTATTGTTTTTATTTTATTTTTTAATCGCATCTTTTGCATTAAACGCAACGATTCTTTTTATTTCCTTATTAATATATTATTGTCTACTCCGCTCTTTTGTTTTTGTTATTTTATTTTCTAAAAAAAAAATGATTTCAAATTTAAAAACAATGCAAAAATGAATTAAATTCAAAAACAATCGGCGCGCCATGAAAGAGGAAATAAAATATGGATTACCCCGTGGGGAGCCTCTTCCGCAGTCTCAGCACTCGAAGGCGGATGTAACGTATCTGGAGTGAGTGTGTTATGACTGTTTTCCCTTGGATAATATTTTCAAGATGGACGCATCGATAGCATGGCGATGTTTACTACTCTTCATTGTAACTAGTAAGTGATCTAGATATCCTTAATTATCTTTTTAAATGTATTGTTTCTCCGTGAGATTCGGGGGGCTCTAGCCTGTGTGTATTTCGTTCAGGAAGTGACTAATACCCTCATACAAACAAAGTATCAATGTTTATTTTTAAATGATGGCGATATTTTTTAAATAGAGAAATATTTTCCTGTTTCAGTATAATTTACAGTTCAAAAAATGATCTCTTCCTTGACATATTTCAGTACTGCGTGATAATATTTTCAATTAAGGTCTATGTATGTGTACATGTTCGTAAATATTTTGTCTCGATCAGAAATTCATACTTTTTGTAAGATTTTTCGAGTGGATGAGATCTATTTACATATTGGGAAACCCCCTTGATCAGTGCCTCTGTGCTCCTTATACATTATCAGCCTCATGTATCCTTTATTTTCCATTTATTACGCGACCCAGTAAGTTAAACATGGATTCATGTATAATAACCCACTGTGTTCTTGGTAATTTCTATTTGCACAAGGACAGGAAGTTATGTCAAACCCTTCAAGTCTGAACTGTGTTCACTTCATGCAGCGAAAACATATTATGTTTGTTAGAAATATATGATATCTGTACATGCTGAATGGATCTGTATTTACTGGCTGACCTTTTTAAACAATACCTTAATCTTTCATTCAGTTGTAAAATAACACAAATTACCATAATTTGCACTGGTGACAGTTGATTGTCGATCTTTCCTACCTGCGGGACACGAAATGTATCCGTTTTAATTTATCCCGTTTTGCCAATGTTCAGGAAGAATAGTTGTGTCCTAACTGACAACTAAACAATGCTTTTTAAATCTTAATTATGGGGAGAGTAAAGTGAAAGAGTCTGAAAACGGGATGGGGAAAGATCAGTGAGAAAATCTTGAACCATCGGGGCATTTATATATATTTAAAATCACTTAATTAAAAAAGACCCTGTATACATGTTTTATAACTGAGTTATCAAAACAGTAAAACATTTGCTTGGATATTCCGCACTTCCTGCGGGTAAAAATATAGAAAAGATGTACACTCAAACCAATATATTTATTTTAAGTTCTTTTTTAAGTTAAAGAAAATCAAACTTCACCTTGGATAAAAAGTGAATATGGTAAAATCTACCATCTTCGCTAGCCAAGATGAAAATCTACATGTAAATTGTAGATATAAGTGGTAAATATATTTATAAACCTATTTTAGTTTAGTTCCTTCTTCAGATTTCTTTTAAAACATCATTTCGACACACAGTCACTTATCTTACTCAAAAGGTCAGCAGTATCAAGGATTTGTCAAAAATGGGGAGGGGGTACTTGTCTATAACCATGATTACGGCATTTAGCTATTATCACGAGAGAGAGAGAGAGAGAGAGAGAGAGAGAGAGAGAGAGAGAGAGAGAGAGAGAGAGAGAGAGAGAGAGAGAGAGAGAGAGAGAGAGAGAGAGAGAGAGAGAGCATAAAATGAGTTTTCTATGTCCCACTGAAACCAAAACTATTATCTTTTTGTGCTTTTATTCTGGGATGTGTGATAATTCGATACTATCTATTGATTTTCCTCTCTTTTTTTCTACAGAGGCCAATTTGTCCTCCCTTTCTCACTCTGTGTATTTGTATTTGCTATGAATCTACTTAATTAGCAACACAAAGAACCAGTTATTGAATTTGCTATACTGATGTGTACAATTATAATGAAATATAGAATATCTGATATTTGAAAATCTCGACGTTGTCTTTCTTGTATTATTAATAGTTCCTGGTTTGAAAAACAGTGAGAGATGGAAGACAATTTTGCCTTCGTAGAAAGGTTAAAGTAAAAGGGGAATCAATAGATAGTATCGAATTATTGCAGAAACTGCAATTTTCGTGAAAAGGGGTGTACGTCGCTTTCCTTCATCATATGCAGTTTATGAATAAAAACTGGTTTGAGTCTCCCTACCATTACCAGGAGTCCATGTTTAGGCGGACCCATGATATTTATTTGATACGTTTTCTAGATAATTTTATAGATAATTCTGAAAATCCCGGGAGTTGAAAAGGACGCTTTTGTGAAAGAAATCTTGGATATCCAAATCGTTTGTGCACGTTATGAATAAACTGTACGATAAACTGGTTTGAGGGTTTATGTGAGTTCATGTACAAATGTCACAATCGTAGGATATTCTGATTATAAAGTACACACTTGTAGCCAAGCAAGACTTCCTGTGGATTGCATTCCTAAGATTCTCTTTCATAACTATATACATGAAATCGCATAGATTCTTTTAAAAGAAAGTTCATCCAATGTCGTTTCAATTCTTATAAAGGGGCATGGACACAGTTTCAACTGATTTTTTTAAAACCTAATTTTATAATTACAATTCCTAACAAAGGCAATTCTAATGATCAGCAAAACTTTGAACATCATTTGATTTACAGAGGAGAAACAGAACTTAAAATTCTCCATAATGTAAAATAATGTTATGGAAATAACGAACAGTATTCAAGCTCAAAAGTCCTTAGTATAATACGAAATTGGAGCAAAGCAAACATGGACCTCCAAAACATCAGAGATGGAATCAAGTGCCATGGAGGAATGATCTTCCCCTGCCTACCGGCTACCGGTCACATCCACCGTATGCTAATTGTCATGATCGGAAAATAGCGGGGGGGGGGGGGGATCCGTTGTCAATTTAGTGTGTATATAATGGACTAACAAGTAGTATGAAAAATATCAATCAGGATTTGACTCAAGGATGAATTGCATTTGCTGACAAGGTTATTGCGTGTCCATGCCCCTTTATCGATAAGAAGTATAAGCAGTATGACCAATCCAAGGGCCTCTTTTTTTATTTAACCAAAGAGTGTTAAGGACGGGATGCATATGGAATTTTATACTTAAACATCAGTAAAAGACACACCCTCTCCTCCCCCCCCCAATAAAATTGTGGGGGGTACCCCCCTCCCCTACGTCCCCTCATGCAACGAACCTAGCTGCTCGTCTTCAAATTTATCAAAAGAGCGAGCTTATGTATTGATTGTATTAGTACTAGTGCGAGTGTTAGTCAGGGAGGAAATCTGATTAACTGTCTGATTGCTCATCACACGAATATATTAAGATTAATCACAACAATTCAGATCACATCTTTTTACTGAATCTTTTATCAATAACAATATATTGTTTAAATTGTACATTTATAGCGTCAGTTAATTCCAAACACAGATATTTACGCTACTCAAATTATCAAATTATCGTAGCTAAATACTAGTAACAAGAAAAATGATATTCCTTAATATAGATAACCACCCAATAGTTGAACATATATCTATTTTGTATCGTTTTCATTAATTTTACATATATTTATAATTAAATGTGTCTTCATTAGTATCATTTTGGTAAAATTTGGAGTTAAATAAGGTTTAATTTAATGCAAAATTTACAACACATAAAATTTATATTTAAAAGATGAAAGTGAATGCTTGTTAATTTTTAATTGGTGAGTTGGATGAAAAACTAGAGGTACTGTAAGCAATGAGCTCACTAAATGATACCCACGCCTCCCATGAGAATATAATGGCAGTGTCCATGTTTTGCTATGGGAAACCCAAAATATGTGTCGGATCAAAAAGTAAAATAGGAGGTCACAATGGCAATATGTAAAAAAGATTCTGTGAAATTTTCTTCCAATTTCATTCCCTTACTTATGCAGCAATAAACATAGGGCTGGGTATTGGCCCGAGATTTTGTATTGCGATATATTGCGATATTTTTAACTGTATTGCGATATAAATTGCAATATTTTCAAGAATGTAATTAAAATTGCATTTACTTACTGTATTTACTTTAATTTACATGCAGAATCAAAACACTTAATTATTTGTAAGTAACCAAAAAAAAAAAATTCTTGTTGATTTCAACTACATTTAGTATATCGACTCTGAAATGCTGTCAATATTAACAATGGTATTAATTTACATTCCTAATAACATATATCCTCTCATATTTAATGACAAAATATCACAATCTAAGCATATTGCCATATTTGGATATTTCACAAAAAAAAAACGTTAATGATAATCTAACAATATTTTTTGTCATTGTATTGCAATATATTGAAATATCGATATTTTTGCCCAGCCCTAAATAAACAGCATCATCTGCATACGGAGTTTAAATATCTCATTTGATTCGATACGCAAGAGCATGCTCTACTTATGAAAAAATTCTAAAACGAGGTAAATTATTGACAAACAAGTTAATGAAACAAGGATTTCAGCTGTCTCGTTTAAAGTCATCATTTCGTAAGTTTTATGGTCGATACAATGACCTTGTCGGCTAATATAATTTATCATTGAGTCAAATGCTGACTGACGTTTTGCATGCGAATTGTTAGTCCATTACTTATACATTGTATTGACGACGGATTTTCCCGTTATTTCCCAATCATGACAAGGAACACACGGCGGGTGTGACCGGTCGGCAGGGGATGCTTACTCCTCCATGGCACCTGATCCCACCCATGTTTTGTAGGTCCGTGTTTGCTCTGCTCCTATTGTGTATTGTTTTATGTACTTTTGATCTTAAATAATGTTCGTTATCTCCATATGTTTCACTTGATCCGCTTTAATGAATTGTCAGTGCACGTGCACTTTTGACCGGAAATAATCACTATCCTATTTGTTAATGTGTATTGTGGTCACAATTATTGATAAATTCGTTGTAATACCACAACAGTGAGTAAGTTGTTGCTCATATAATTGTTATAGAATGTGTTATATGGGAAGCAGGACACATAAGGCGTAATAAATAAATATGTAACAAGTATTTGGAAGAAACGATAAACAGGACAAATACCTTGCACATGAATTTTGTCAAAAGTCAATTTGCTATTCCATGGCCAAGGATCTTAGTTAAAAATGCCCCTCGAAAACCTGGTTCTAGATTTTGAATATTCCGGTATTTGCTTAAAATTTCATATTTAAGTTTTCATCACGCGTACATGTACAGTTCGTCTGCAAATGTATACGTACAGGTATTTACTAGCTTAATGAACTTCATTTGATCGTTTCACCCCCCACCCTCTCGCATGAGCCCGGAATCAGGAAATACGATTCGTGTTAGAAGATAATGTTCTTATGAAATGATAAAACTTCCTACATGTATTTAAGGTAGGATTCTTCTCTGGTTTCTGACTAGATGGAATATTCAAAATACATTTGTTGATATGTCTTATATATTTAGATGTAAGAGATTTAAAAGACCATATTTTTCTTTCCTCATCACAATTATACAGCTTTAAATAGAAATGGTAAACTGCGTTTGAAAACTAGCAGGGATTATATTTTTGGCGGAATGGTGGCGTATGAAAATATCTTCTTTTCTGCCTCTCAAAATTATTATAGAACATTGAATTTAGTTATAATTTTTACGCAATCAAAGACTAGAGAAATTTTCAAATGCAAGTTAAATTAATAATAAGGGACTAAATTTTCAAAATATATCAAATAGATAAGATTTTTCACACATACTAGAACTATTTTGGCTTTTGAGTGCTTCAAATCTAAGTACAGATTTGAGTCAAAAATCCGTAAAATGTGTTATATCTCTCTTAGTAAGCGATCAAACCTTTTAGTTTTTGTATCATTTTATACCTGTATGTGACAACTTTACTATATGTGAAAATTGGAAAAAGTTAAATATAGGAAGCCTATAAAAATAACTAATAAATCCTTTAAAAAAATTAAGAAAAGTAGAGGAAATTCGGATTAGCAAATATCCATTTTATTTAAATTATCAATGTCAATTTGGTAATATCATCTTATAGGCCCTATATGGATGTATCTTTTTATGCAAAAAGAAAAACACTCAATCTTCTGAATAACAGGTAGGGATCGCATGATTGGAAACAGTAATTTTTTTTATTCTTAATGTCCAGGAAAAAGGTAATGACCTTGACCTGTCCTTGCCTCTAATATTATACTGTCAAATTTAATCTCGCTGATACCATCACTTAATGATATTGTCCTCTTGATTCTGTGAAAATTTCATTAATTTTTAAATACAACAAATGTGAGAAGAATCCTACCTTAAAGCTTCCTTTGATGTGTAAGAGAAAATTGTTTTAGTTGGTTCTACCTTTTGATCAGAACCCAAAGAAGTGAAAGAACACGAATAGCGTAGTTGAGTCCTTACCTGCCTGTTCACCTATATTATCTATGAAGATATAAGAACTTACCGTATAAGTGGTTATTTTAGTGAGACGCAAGTTTAGCGATTTGTCCTTCAAAATTGGTATTTTATTTTTAGCGAGATGTAATTTTAGCGATTTAAAAAACCTCACTTAAGAAGCTATTACAAATAAAGCGCAATTAATTTTTAGCGATATTCAATTTTAGCGATCTTGGAACCCTCGCTAATAAAGCCAAAATTAAATCCTTGCCAAAAATTCTACTTATACGGTATTAGGTGTGTCCTACAAAGGATTATCAAAGGACACGTTGATTCCTCATTTAACCATTTGTATGAAACACATCATCCCCAATGTTCGGTTATAATTATTAACAAAGTAACCACAACGACTATAGAATTTAAAGAATACTGACTTCAAACGAGGTTGTCAATATCCGTGTATCATCAACTAATCTCTCATTCATTTGCCTCGGTTTAAATCAGTCACACCCAGAACAAGCTTAAGAGTATTGAAACAGTTCAGACATATATACAGACCATACACAGGTGATAGCGAAATGTTACTACCTAAACAAAGGAAGTTGGCGGTTGAAAAGAGAAATCATCTCGTTTGTAAAACAGTTGATTAGTTGACACATATTGTCTATAGTCAGTTTAACATTCAGATATGAAACAGATATGGCAAAATCAGTGGTGTCTTTTGTTTCAAATACAATGGGATATATCGAATTGACGTGTGAATGTAGAATTGAAGGCAACAGCAAGTGTTTTCTTCTGCTTCATAGGAATATGGAGAGAAGTTGACAAATATCTGTTCATTTATTGTGTATTTTTGGATGAAAGCTCAGTAAATATATTGTGCTTTTAATGTGTTGCTTTTTATAAAATATATTTATATCAAGCACATTTAGAAATTATAGTGAAGGGGCATGGACACGGTTTCCACTGAATTTTTTAAACCAATTTTAATGTTTACTATTCCTACCTAAGGCCTCATTTAATGATTAGCAAAGATTTGAACATCATTTGTTGATTAACAAATTTTTGATGATCATTACAAAGACCCTAGTTGAATATTTGTAAAAGTAGACAAATAAAATTTGAAAATTTAACTGAAACTCTGTGTCTTAAGTCATGGACTTCAGTTCATTAAGTCTTGGAGTTAAGTTTATAAACTCTTTATATGGTCATAATATTATCAGGTTAAAAATGAAAATTCATCCTTAGCCAAACATGGAAGTCCTGAACACTTAGTAGAATGGACCAAGTGTTTTAATAATATATTCATGAAATATTCGTATTTCAATATTAAAATGCGAACCATCCATTCTTCCGTTTTTTCTTCACTAACCAGAAGTGATGTAAGAGTCAAGGAGACTACATGAACAATATATTATGGATGAAGCAGACAAAGCTTGAAACAATACCTTCTTTGTTTGCAAAGCCCGTTATTATGACTGTAGTTTGGAAAAAAAACTTGGTTTGAATTCTACCTCTGGAAATCTACTCACAGTTCATTATCCAGGGAAGAAATTCTTCAGAATCAATGTTCAGGGTTTAATGCCTTTAAATATACTACTCGAGTTAGATCTGCTTTATGTGTACTGGATTCCTAAAATATATATTTATCTAACAATTCTTACAAACAAAGAAACATTGTTGGGTTCAGTAAATGCTCTATCAAGCCCTTATCTTTACTCCTCACAGAAAATTTAACTCCTGAAAAGGAGAAACGTCAGAAACTGTGCTACAACATATAAGCCCCTTCACGATAACTGCGATACTACACTTTTGCAGGGCAAAATAATAATGTTTGGCGGAGTTTTTGTTGATGAATAATTAAATGACGTATTTTAAACAATTACTTTAACGTCATATTTCACCAAAATACATCATTTTGCCCTGCAACAGAGTAGTTCCGCAGATACCGTGAAACGGTCTATTCTTGAAGTGGTGTAAATCAGATGTAGGTTCTCTTAAAAAAATCACCAAGATTTTAAAAAGTCTTTAACATCACAACTTACAAATTTTCTACACTTTATGCAACAATTTCTTTACGGTAAACTGAATTGCTTCTTCAATAGAAACGGAACACAGAATTTCACATCTAGCAAAATTATACCTCTAACTATAAACAGAAGTACTCTGAAGTTGATATTAAAAGGATGCTGGAGTTAATTGTCGACAAAATTTATTTAGTCCTCAAAACCAGGTCTTCCAACAAACCGTTGTTCAAAAAAACTGTTTGAAATTTGATGAGACTAATTATACTTCTTCAGTAGCTGACCTTTTTTTCATTCCCATATCACAATTTTTTTAAAACTTCTATATGAGAAGAGAAAATCACTTGCTGTGGCCTTCAATTCGACATTTAGATACAATGTATATCGACGATATTTTATCAATTAACAGTACGTGGTAGTTATTTTCATTGATATGTCGACTCGATATATCCCAGCAAAAGACTCCACAGCGTCTGTCAGGTTTGTTTCGTTTTTAAGTTGTTTGAGACAATTAGCGCCAATTAACAACTAATGAAATTGTATGACATACGAAATGACCTCAGCTCTTCCATCAACTTTGTCTTATTTTTTTAGTACATGTAATATTCTGCTAGCACTTGCATATGGTGTTTAGTCTGCCAACATATTCAATACTCAAGAACTTGCTCCGAGTGTGATCAATTTTTAAACCGAGGTAAACATCGAAATACTTTGGCATCTTGAATCTCATATTATGCCGTTATGAACATAGAATACCCCTGTACAGAACTGATTAATGTACATTGTAGCTGATTAATGTTCATTATAGCATGTACCATTGATACTTAAGTTAAATCAAACTTTAGACAGTGTTAGAAGAGATCATTTATTCATTTTGAGAAACAGACATAGTGAGTTAATGTTTAAGGTCCTTGGTCTCTTGTATTTCATTATAAAGCACGCAAAGTACATGTATTTATAAGCTTTGACTTTTTTTCTATTCATACAGTTGACCAGGCATACAGCCAGTGTTCCGGATCTCGATGTGGGGAATGTCTCATAACGAACACATGTGCCTGGTGTAAAGACAGGGTAAAAGAAAGAAAGAAAGAAAGAAAGAGAGAGAGAGTGTGTTGCTTAGATTTCTCAGTTTTTTTAGTATTTATTTTCAGGAATATATATGTATTTCACAAATATTTGTCATTTTTTTTATTCACGTATAATTCCTGGAATTGTTTAAAACAATATATTTCAAATGACTGTCCTTTTATTGTCTCTTTATTTTTTTATACAAAGAATTTCACTGGAACACGATGTGCCACAGACGCTCAGTTGACTTCAGATGGTTGTTCTAGTATTGTTCGAAGGAAGGAACATGAAGTTATATACATCAGGGTATGTTAGCAACGTCAGCATTGCTCCAACCTAAACCATCTTGTCAGTCAAGGAATATATATCGAATATATTCAATTTTGTCATTTTTAGTGAGCATGTTAAGATTGCTGAAAATAAATATCATTAATAATTCCCCCCATTTAAAGATACATGTACTATTATCTTTCAATACATAACAAAATCGTTAAAAATACTTTTTTCTAAAACTAGATATTACACAACCTTTTTAGGGAAAATAACTGAATTTGCTTCTCGCTTAAAATTCCACTTATACTGTAAAATAATACATCAAGTGCATCGTTCATCACAAAAAACAAAACTTTCATTACATATATAACAACTACAGCAGGTAAATACGAAAATCATTATTTCAAGGTGCACTATGCACATTTTTCACAATTTCACGTAACATGCATAAGGATTGTATTATTTTCTAAAACCACAGTAAAAATATTTCAAGATAAAAAAAAATATGGTGAAGTTACAAAAGAAATATAGAATAGACAGGCAAGATATTTAAATCCTATAATAAAACATTTTCGAGTGAAAATTTTAAATAGTGAATTTATAAATCTATTCTGAAAGTATATGTAGAAAAATTGATATCTCCTAACCTTTCACGAATTAATGAAGGACCGTTTAGATTGTCCAATGGTTGCATTTAGTAAATTTATTGAAGTGGTGTAGGGGGAAGTAGAAGCAATCTTGTCTTGAGAAAACTAGAACTTAGTAGGTAATATAATTCAAATTTCAGCATTGGTGAAAAGCAAAAGGGCTATCTCCATATGGCAGCAATAAGTACTTATATACTTCAATGATTTCCTTTTGCATTCAACAAAAATAAACTTATATAGAACATACGAGGTCTTTTGAATAAAAAATATATTCACTCAGGGCCATTTGGAGAGAATTATAATATATTGTAAATAATATATATTTTTGCGGGATAGGTACTTGCAGTGATGAATATGTTAAAAGTTATGGCTAACTCCTAAGTATCTGAACCACCGAATTATTTTTTGGCCTTTCCCACCTTATTTTTGTTTTACATTTTTCTTTGCAGAACAATGATTTTTCTGATGGAGGACCCGGACAGGATTCTATTCAGATCAAACCACAACATGTCAAAATTAAACTGGTTCCCAGTAAGTTTAATGGCTGATTTAGAAAATCAAACCACATGTCAAAATTGAACTGGTTCCCAGTAATTTTAATGGCTGATTTAGCCTAAAATCAAACCACAACATGTCAAAATTAAACTGGTTCCCAGTAAGTTTAATGGCTGATTTAACTAAAAATCTATCTGTAAAATGTAAACTGAAAACTTTTGTCATAAGGACCCAGAATTGCAGATGTTTAGTAGTTCTCACCGTTTTACTGTGTATCTGACCACCTGTCATTCTTCCCATTCAGAATTAATCTGTTTTATCCCAATCACTTTTTAAATAAAAGTCATGTTACAATGAATTTCCGTCTATGGAATGTAATAAAGAATCATTTATTATGAACTTAGCCTCTTTATTTATCTTTCAATCACTCAAGCCCGAAGGAGCAATTTCATATTGAGGACACAACATTTTCAATTTAGGAATCCATGACTTTATGCATTGATTGAGCTATGTCTTGATATTACCCATTGTTAAAAGTAACTTTTGAAAATGTTTTGTACTCCATGCTCAGTTAAACAGATCTTCAGCAAATATTATCAATTTCAAATCAAAATGTAATATCAACATCTTAAGAAATATTTTTTTTCTTTTTCAGACGAGGTGCTGAATACCTTCATGGTGTACTATAAAATTGCAAGAAATTTTCCACTAGATCTTTACTTCTTGAATGACCCTTCTTATACAATGAGGGAATTACAAAGCTCCTTAAAATCGTTAGCCAAAGCTATTGGTACGTGCTTTAACAGGACCGGTTAAGCTTATTGCTATTGGTAAAATATGCCTTTATTCAATAAAAATCACTGATAGAAAGTTTTATGGTACAATCGCTTGAATTGTACGCATTATATATCTTGAATTCCATTTTTAAAAATTGTTTACAACTGTGATGTTTGATTTTAATCCTTAAAGAAAGAATATGTAAATTTTAGGATTTTTCTTGCGTTTATACATAATAATTTATTCTAATAACATATTTATAAGGGTACAAAAATATGTACTTGTAGTAATTTAAAAGAATAATTAAAAAATTCTCACTGCATAGATAACAGCATATGTATCTAGTTTGAAGAACGTCTTTCTAAATCTCATGTTAAAACAATCTGTTAAATCAACGCTGATGTTATTCTATTACACACTTAAAAATAATGTACAATAATAATGAATTAATAATTTTGAAGTTAAGTTTAATTTATCATGCTTTTATCATGTGGATTATGATTGAAAAGTAACCAAACATAAACAAAATAGAAAAAAATATAATTTTAGAATAGCAGACCGAGATGAAAGATAGCCGCATTCAGTTCTATAGTACAAAAGTTTCTGTAAACATTTAACAAAAATATTACTGTAAAATCACATATTTTCGTTAGGTCAATTTTTCAAGGTTTGAGGAATAGATATTGGTTTGTGGGGATTAGATTCGCGGTAAAAGAATGTTTAGTAGTAAGGCATATGAAATTTAACATTTCGTGGTGGTCATAATTTCATAGGTCTCTCCACATGTCGAAAACAACAAAAATTAACCCCCCACGAAAATTACCGATTTCGCAGTACATGTGTATTATCTTTGTTCTTTAAGGACTATCAAGCGTCTTAATTTAGATCCCACAAACCAAATCATTATATTCTAGGGATATCGGGAGCATACAAAGTTAAAAAAAAATATCAATGTTAAAGAATATCGCTTACATTATGTCTTTTGAAAAAATTAGTAATTTGTTTACAACAATGGAAATTTAACAATATTCATAAACAATAAGAAAATTTGAGCAAAGATGACATGATAACATGGAAACATTGTTTAAAAAAGTAATATAGAGCTCTTGTCAAGTTTATAGGAAACATTAAATCTTTAGGTGCTTCTCTTCAAAGCAACAAAAAAAGGAAAAATGTTTCTTACAACGAAGATCACATATTTAAATATATTTATATACACCCCTCTGCGTTTTTCTTTTCTGTCTCTGATCTGTTGAACAAAATAAACATAAATAAAACGTCACAATGGAAATAGAAGTAGTTTTATAATCTCTGCTGTCTTATTCAAACGAACTACTAATTTCATGATGATATCTTATGTTTCAGCAAACGAAATAGAAACCTTAACAACAGATTACCAGTTTGGATTGGGGACAGCTATGGATAAGGTTATATTGCCATTTACACGAACATCCCCGCTTTAGTGAGTACACCATGAAATACAGTGAATTATACCTGAGAGGTCTGGAGAGAGCTCTGACTGCCAGAGCATTATCATTCAGTCACTTTTCAGTCGATTTTCAGTCATCTTTAAGGTAACTTAACGTATAGCGTATTTTTTGGCGGGTGTAAAATTTGGCGTTTTGCCTGCTCAAAGGTATGTCAATAATTTTGGCATAATTATACCCCCCGCAAACGAAGTTTAGGGGGGTATATTGGAATCACCATGTCCGTCTGTCCGTCTGTCTGTCTGTCTGTCTGTAGACGAGATTTTGTCCGGACCATTACTCAGAAACTATTGGAAGGATTTGTCTGAAAATTTGTACACATATTATTCACCATATGAAGTTGTGCACCTGATATTTTCATCTTGATTGGATTATCATTTTGAATTTTACAGGTGTTTTTTCATTTTTATTTTGTGGTTTTGTCTGGACTGTTTCTCAGAAACTATTGCAAGGATTAATCTGAAAATTTGTACACTTATTATTCACCATATGAAGGTGTGCACCTGGAATTTTCAACTCTTTTTGTTAATTTTTTTTGCATTTTACAGGTTTTATTTTTTATTTTAATTGACTTGTTCATTTTGGGCTCATGTATAAGGTTTGAGATATAGAATCTAGAATATCGATCTGTTCAAAAATACTACAGCTTGAAACTACTCATAAAAACTTAAAAAAAAGAAACATCATCAAGTGTTAAAAACAGTTTTTACATTGCACAGAAGATAATGTAATTTCATTTGTCTCTTGGGAATAATGACTGGACATGCATCCAGTTAAAGATAAATTAATGAGTTTGGTGTTGGAAGTTGTTAAGGCATATCTCTTATCAAGCGTGTGTGTTATCTAATCTCCAGGGAATAAGGCACAAGAATTAAAGATCTCTCTTCTCTTATTCTCTTAATTGTAATTTATTGTCTGTCAAAGCACTTCATTACTGGATGACCAGCTCTTTCTTTTCAAAATGCATTTCAAATTGATATATCAAGATTAATTTGATTTTGTATAATGGTTTTTTTTTCAACATTCAGTTTGCAGAGTGACATAACACATAATTGCAATATATTTTTTTAATGCAGAAATAAAAAAAAAATAAAATGAAAAAAAAAAAATGTTACAATGGAATTAAATTGTATTAGTATTGATGTTTCATTTGGTTGCACCTTTGTTTCATTCATTAAGAAACATGATGAGCAATAATATTTCACTGCAAATATTTGTAAGTAAATTGTGAACACCTCTAGATCCATACAGTATTTTTGAATTGGCACCTTCTCTGAAAAACCCAGCGGGGGGTATTTGTCCCTATTGGACAGTTCTAGTTTATTTTAGCGGAGACAGGGTTTAAGCTCTTTGCAGATGAACACTAAGCAGAACACTGAATATTTTAGCGATTAAAATTTTAGCCGTCCACTATCAAAACGCTAAAATAACCAAAAATTAGCACTCCGCTAAAATAACCCGCTATACGGTAATTGCAAAGTTTGCCGTGTCACCACAAATATTGAAACCGAATGAAGAGACTCTTTTTACATTTTTACAGTCTAGCTGATCCGTGTGTGGGAACCAGTATCACGTGTGAACCAGCTTACTCCTATCGGCACCGTCAGACACTCACCCCGGACATCACGGCATTCGAGGTACTGCATTCTATCCCAGAGACCATAAACTGAGAATAAACAAGCCAAAATTTTAAATCAATGTAACTGTTTAATAATTATGATAATGGAACATTTTTTTTTACCATTTGTTAATAATTGGAATATTGTACAAATCTGTAATTTTTTAAAGAAGTTATGTTTCGTAAATTAAAAGGTATTCAAAATCAAAATTTTTAGTTTGTCTGTTCTCATTTTATGGTACATGTATCCGGGCCCGGGAACCAAACAGCTCTCATCTCTCCTTTTGCTCCTTTTTCTGTTGATTTAATTTAACAGTGGTGTGTTTCTGCTCTTTTGATTTACAGTTTTTTCCGGATATGTTTTATCTACAAAAAGCTTGGGAAAACCAAATGTAGATTGGCACAAAACATATAATATTTCTCCTTGGGAAGTAATTTTTACAACATTTTGCAAACAATTATTTTAATGAATTAAATAAAACCAACACATTTCAAGTGACTGCTCTCTAATTTTGTCTTTTTTTCTGGCCCCTATGTGTCTATAATTTTCAGATATATTCTTAAAGTTTAAAAATTCGTGGTCAGATTGGACTAGGGGAAATTAGCATTACTAAGGCACAAGAATAAGAATATAAACACCAGATGCATAATGTAAGAAAACATGCATTATTTTTAGCAGCCTCTTATTATTTGATGCAGGACCAACTTAAAAATTCCATTCACAATCTTCTTATTCTTAGAATGCAGTAGTCCCTCTTTAAAGATCCAATCAGAATCTTATATATATTTAGAATGAAGTAGATCCCATATTAAGATCCAATCAGAATCTTATTTATTTTTAGAATGCAGTAGATGCCATCAGAACCACAGCGAACTTCGACAAACCAGAGGGTCTCTTTGATGGTTTAATGCAAGCTATGGTGTGTGGGGTAAGGTTTTTCTTGAAGATTTTATTCATGTATCCTTCTTTGGACTAGGCTTCGTATAAGTTTCGATTGAGAATTCATCTTTATCCTCAAAAAAATTATTAAAGCTGTAAGCTTTTGAATACATAATGTGTTTAAAAAAATATACAGAAAAACACACATATGATTGATGATTCTTTGTTATACATGTAGTTTTTATTTACGTATCCTTCTGTTGGATAACTTCATATATGTGAATGACTGGATCAGCCATTTTCACTTACTGAAATAACAAAAATCTTCCATTCAAAAAATATTACAGTAACGAGAAAATTTTAAAAAAAATTATGTGTGTAAGTTTATGAATATATACAATATGTCCAGATATAAGAAAGAAAATCACAAATGCTTGATAAAAGATTTTATTTTTTTCTGAAGAGTAAAATTGGTTGGAGAAACAAAGCCAGAAGGATGTTACTATACGCCACAGATATCAACTTTCATCAAGCTGGGGACGGCAGGGTGAGTGGCATTTAATAGCAGTGAAAGTAAAGTGTAATTTAACAGAGCAAGAATTTGAAATTAAAGTGTGAATTGGAATATTATCTCTTGTTGATCATCTGTTTTAACAGTTAGCTGGAATCCTGGAACCAAATGATGGAGAATGTCATCTAGGTGCCGGCGGATATTATACAAAGGCTGAAATACAGGTACATTTTGTACTATCCTGCTACCTGTAATTGACCATATATTTTTAAACTGTTCACAATTTTTAAAGAAATACAGCGATAACTTTCTAATCCGACATACTGCACATTCCAACGTTATATTTCTTTCCTATTTTACTATTTTCCATGTGCAATCCGACACCCTGTCTATTCCGACATAAATTTCGTCTCCCAGTGCATGTCGGATTAGACAGGTTTCACTGTACTTAGAAAATAGTACAGTATTCCCCTGATTTTCTTCCAATGATAATGTTTTCATGTATATTGAATTTTAGGACTATCCTTCCGTCGGACAAATTATTCAGAAAGCCAAGGAAAACAATATAAATGTCATCTTTGTGATTGGAGGAAACTCTTCTGAACTGACCAATCAGCAAGTTCGGAGTCTTTACTATGACAAACTAGCTCAACTTTTACCAGGGGGTACCCAAGGGGCTTCTCAGCTGTCTTCAGATGCAACAAATATTTTAAACATCGTTAGTGAAAATTACAGGGTAAATACTGAGAGCATTTAGATGTTGTTACAACTATACATAATAAACCTTATATAGTATGGAATAATTTGGAGAATCTTCAGACATAAAATCAATAAAAATGACTTGCAATACTGTAGATGTACTTTTTTCCGCGGGGTCATAAATCCGCGGAATCTCAGTTTCTGTTTAATCCGCGGGTAGAAATTATGCGGATTTTCTAGACTGTCACTATATGCCATACATTTATATTAAGGCTATCTAAATTTAATTCCTTGGTTCTCAGGCCAATTTTCTCCAAAACAGATGCGGGAGGGCGGCATTTTATTTTTCATTTTATTGGCAATAAAGTAGATGAGGGAGGATTTTTTTTAAATTTAATTTCCGAATTTTTTTTAACATAAAGATAAATTTTTTAGTCACAGATATACTTTCCATTTCTGGTCAAAATTTCTGCTTTATCCATTGCTTAACAGCGTGTAAACATCGTAGGTAATGTCCTCGAATGTATTTTCAAACGAAGTAGCCAAAATCTCATTGAAAATGACTACCGGAAGTGATATTTGAATACTAAACTACAAAACAAATGAGGTCGGAATTTTTATTTCCGGATTGGTGTCCGCAACACCAATTTTTAGCTCACCTCAACGAAGTTGGGGGAGCTTATGTAATACCCTCGGCGTCGGCGTCGGTGTCGGCGTCGGCGTCGGCGTCCACGTCGGCGTCGGCGTCCCAGGTTAAGGTTAAGTTTTTTGGAGCAGTTTTCTTTTTAAGTACTTCTATGTCCTATATTGATTAGACATGCATGGAAGATGGTTCTAGTGTGTTTCATTGTACCAGTCAAAGTTTCAGATGCTGCAATTTCAGCAAAGGAATGACCAGGTTAATGTTTTTGGAGCAGGTTAACATTTTTGGTGCAGTTTTTGGTGTACGAGGGTCGTTAGAAAAGTTCGCGGACACATTGAATTACGGAAATTTCTATTGTGTACTGTGAAGTATGACCTATGTCTGAATAAATTCCTACATTTTGTTTATTGGTATGTAAAAAATCAGGTCCATATAATAACATCTTGAAAATTTACAACGATTTTTACTATGAGGTTATGGGATTCACGGAGCAATCACTTGACGTAAGGAGATGTAACGACCAGATTTCAACCCGTTAACCTTTGTCGCAGTTCTATAAATCTTTAGATTTTTCTGATCTTTTTTCTACTTTTAAATTGAATATCTATATCAAGACATGTTACTTTTCTTCTACAATGTCTTTTGTACTGATTCGGATATTATTGAGATCTTAAAAAAAAGTTTATGCAGTTAATCAGTTAATCGATCAGGTATGGAAACTATGCAAAACCATATAGGCGCAACGCAATGTCCATGCGATACGGGGGTACTGAAGTATCGCTGTAGTTAATCTTTCAAAATGTCAATCCTTCCATTCTTATGAAGCTACAACCATTTGAAAACTTCTCCTTTGTAGGTGTAGGAAATTCCCGGCAGCATCTTGAACATTTTAATCTCTTTTTAGACATTTTCCAGTCTGCCTACATAATTTTTACGTAGTGCAGTGCTCCATGACGCTCAATGACGTACCGATTTTTGGCTGTGTTTTTACGCAATGATCATATACAAACGGCTATAAAACAGTCATATACCCTCCAATTTAGTTCAAAATTTCTCCCAGTGACGTTTTATGAATACTTTAGCGGCAGGTAAAATATCATAAATCTCTTTGCGCTACAATTGTGCATTTTTTAATTTTAATAAAGAGTCTTTGTGATGTAAACGTGCCAAAATGTAGCATGCTCCGTGAAGCAAGTTTTATCAAAATAAAAAAGCTGTATATTTTTTAATAATCACCGGAGAGCAAAAATTTCTTGTATATTTATTGGAAAAAAGGTAAAGATTCTATCTGGAAAGTTTGACCGGTTTCGTGGAAATAGCGCGCTCACAATAGAACTTGTCCGCGAACTTTTCTAACACCCCTCGTAGGTTTCATTTCCAAGTAACTATAATCCCTATGTTGACCAAACTTGCATGGATGATACATCTAAGGATGGATACTACTGGGCTTGCTTCGGATGCTGAATCTGACCTACATTTTCCGGTTGATTGAACAGGTTAAAGTTTTTGGTGTAGGTTTCATTTCCAAGTAACTATAATCCCTATGTTGACCAAACTTGCATGGATGATACATCTAATGATGCATACTACCGGGCTTGCTTCGGATGCTGAATCTGACCTACATTTTCCGGTTGAGTGAACAGGTTAAAGTTATTGGTGCATGTTTCATTTCCAAGTAACTATAAGCCCTATGTTGACCAAACTTGCATGGATGATACATCTAAGGATGGATACTACCGGGCTTGCTTCGGATGCTGAATCTGACCTACATTTTCAGGTTGAGAGAACAGGTTAAAGTATTTGGTGCATGTTTCATTTCCAAGTAACTATAAGCCCTATGTTGACCAAACTTGCATGGATGATACATCTAAGGATGCATACTACCGGGCTTGCTTCAAATGCTGAATCTGACCTACATTTTCCGGTTGAGTGAACAGATTAAAGTTTTTGGTGCAGGTTTCATTTCCAAGTAACTATAAGCCCTATGTTGACCAAACTTGCATGGATGATACATCTAAGGATGCACACTACCGGGCCTGCTTCGGATGCTGAATCTGACCTACATTTTCTGGTTGATTGAACAGGTTAAAGTTTTTGGTGTAGTTTCATTTCCAAGTAACTATAATCCCTATGTTGACCAAACTTGCATGGATGATACATCTAATGATGCATACTACCGGGCTTGCTTTGGATGCTGAATCTGACCAACATTTTCCGAACTATAAGCCCTATGTTGACCAAACTTGCATGGATGATACATCTAAGGATGCATACTACCGGGCTTGCTTCGGATGCTGAATCTGACCTACATTTTCCGGTTGAGTGAACAGATTAAAGTTTTTGGTGCAGGTTTCATTTCCAAGTAACTATAAGCCCTATGTTGACCAAACTTGCATGGATGATACATCTAAGGATGCACACTACTGGGCTTGCTTCGGATGCTGAATCTGACCTACATTTTCTGGTTGAGTGAACAGGTTAAAGTTTTCATCAAGAGATCAAAATTCTCAAATTTCCTTCAGATGCTGGATTTTGATTATTTTCATGAAGAAGAACTAGTTTAAATTTTTTATGTAGGTCTATTTCAAAGTATCAGATCAAAATTGCTTAAATATTTTCATTTTTGGAATGTACACTTTTTGTTGGTTAATTGTATGAATTTGCCTTATTTAAAGACAACATTCGTTGAGGTGAGCTCTGTAATCTCTGATTACCTATGTTTTATTTTATCAAAAATACAAAAAAGTCGGCAATGCGGCTACCTCAAAACGGATGCGGGCGGGCCTGAGAACCAAGATTTCAATTTTATTTAGCCTAAGTACGCTTGGACAAATTTCCGAGGAAAATTTGTGACCGCGTACATAGCGTAAATTAATACTACGTGGAAAAAGTACTTCTACAGTGTATCAGATATGGAGAGTGTTGAGTATATTCAAAGCATTATCTGACGTCTTTTGTAAACAAACAGAAAAAATATATTCTGTGCATTAGATTGTTATGCTCCAGAGTATGTTACTTACTAATTTGTACGCTTTGCTAATTGTAGGACTGTTGCTGTTGGAAATCTTGTTATTTTACAAAAAATCTTAATGTAAATCAATCAAATGGTTTCGAATTGAAAGAAAAGTCTTTGAGAGAAAGACTGATTTTCTGTGTATTTTATGCTCAGTTTTTTGATCAAGTTTATGAACTTCATTTTCAAAGGTAGATTCATGAAGTCTCTACTGCCAAAAACAAAGAAGAAACACGTTCCACCTTGTAATTTATGAATTAATGACCAAAACGTTACGAATATTTTTTTCGTATAAGTAAAAGCAATAATAACTAGTGCTAATTGTAACGGGGACCGTTACAGATGTTCCCCAAACGCTCCCCAACTCCCTTTTGGTGCCATATTCCCTGTTATCTCTATTAAATAAGAAATACTTTATGGAATTTAGACTTAATCAAGGTCTTCCAAGAAAAATACAAAATATATTTTAAAAATAGGCATTGCACGCGTGTTCATGTGCGAAACGACCATATTATCTTGTCTACACTATCTAAAATTTTAATAATATCAAAGCATTTAATCCAAAAGTATTAAAAAATGCACTCATTCGAGTGTGTTTTTTATTTTACTCATTTCACGTGCACGCACGTGCAAGCACGTGCATAATGACTACACCTTCTTGTAGGAGTCCCTTATATTTATCCAAGTTCTAAATCCCATCCTGTTTGGTTGAAAAACAAGACAGTTATAGCCATTCGAAGTTTCAGCCAATCAGATTGCAGCACACGTGCATGTGCGTGATTTCATGAATATTTTCTATATCATATTTTAGGATATCGTAATGCATGACTATGTTTTAAATTTCAAATCATTTCGTCAAAAAACAAAGGAGATATAGCCATTTAAAGTTTTAGCCAATCAGATTACAGCACGCGCGCATGCGCATGCTTTTATTAAAATTTTAATAAATCATGCTGTAGATCTTCATAATGTAGGACCATGTTCAAAATTTCAAAAGATTATGACAAGAAACAAGAAAGATATTGAGACTTTAGTTTCAGCCAATCAGAGCAAAGCGCACGTGCATGCGCGTGAGATCTTGCTATTTTGACCATGCCATCTTGTCTGTACTACTAATGTATCCTTACCTTATGAGTTTCAAAGCATTTTATCAAAAAATAGAAAAGTTCCGACTATATCTATTATATTGGTTATTTCAAGTGTTGCACGTGCGCGCTCTTGCAAGCACGTGCGCGCAAAATGACCTTGATTCCGCAAATCTGCATAACATGTCTACTTACCCTAAAAAGGTTTTACCTACCTCGGACGAACAGTTTACAAGATCATTCCCGGACAAAAAAGTACCCAGGAAGAAGAAGAAAAATAATAATAATAATAATAATAAGAAACAGAGTAAAAACAATATGTTCCCCAACTTCGTTTGGGGAACATAATAATAATAATAATAATAAGAAACAGAGTAAAAACAATATGTTCCCCAACTTCGTTTGGGGAACATAATAATAATAATAATAATAAGAAACAGAGTAAAAACAATATGTTCCCCAACTTCGTTTGGGGAACATAATAAGAAACCGAGTAAAAACAATATGTTCCCAAACTCCGTTTGGGGAACATAATAAGAAACCGAGTAAAAACAATATGTTCCCAAACTTCGTTTGGGGAACATAATAAGGCAGGAAAATTCAAATTCTCATTTCTCTACTAGGATTTTTACATCGGGCTCGGAGTTGGTTTTATTTAGAAAGACAGGACTGGGTTCAAGGCGACTAGGGGTACCACACCGGTAATTGACCAATCAAAATGAACTTAGTCAGTTGTAGTCCCATACATATAAAGCCGATTTCCCTTTCTTTTGAGATTTTTTTATTTCCTCCCAGGCCATTTTGACAACTCTGGTACCTGTGCCTAGGAAATTTTATCTACTCTGTAAATAAATAAAGTTTTTTGACAGGAACTATTGTCCCAGGGCATAGGAGGCTACTTCCTGGGGTGCTTTTGAGATGTTTATAAAGACATTGAAAACACGTGGATTTGAGGGTAGCCTTGTTTGCAGATGCAAAAAAATCAGAAAATGTCGTGTACGTACCCTGGTTTTTTGGTGTCAGTTAATGTGACAGGTATTGTTTAACACCCCCTCATTAATATTTTTTTTTTATGAATTCAAATACCTGATGTTTTACGGGGAAAGAAACGTGTATTGCTTTTTAATATACCGAAACTCGCTGTTTCTGGGCATTGTGTAATTCTAAAAAAAAATTCAAATAAATTTCAAAAGTAAAATAAAAGAAGAATGCTTGGTATTAAAATATTAATTCATATCAGTAGAATTGAATGCTATTAACGACATCTAGAGATAGAGGCTTTAAAAGGTTTATATCATATCTTTGTTCGTCTGCACTTAAATTTCAAACACGACCGAATTTGTAATTTTTGCCGTAAAAGTTCATAATTTCTATATGCTTTAGAGACTTACCGTAAAACTTTCAGGAAACTTTCTATGAAGTCTTTCCTGCACCTTAAGTGAAATTTTATGTCGATCCCAGGTGTGGATTGAGTTTCAGAGAAATTTTCTACGTTGTTATTGATTTTTTTTTTCAGGAGAAAAGGGGGGGGGTTGACTTACTTATTCTAAGCATTTGCTAAAGTGAGTTTGTAGATACATCTACGAACTTGAGCTGGATTGTGACCTTTGAATCAAGAGGTCAAAGGTCAAGGTCAAAGGTCAAGGTCATCAAAAGCATTTCATAAAGAAATATAAAACTAACGGCCATATCAAGTATACAAGTCATTTGAACATTGCACGCGCGCGCAGGTGCAATGCATGAAAGCCATATCATCTTGACTACACTTTTAATATGTTTCTATTCTTTGAGTTTCAAAACGTTTCATAAAAAAATTACGACTATATCAAGTATATCGATTATTTAACGCATTGCGCGCGCACACGTGCATGCATGCACTTGCATTCAAGTTTGATAGTAGCATGATGTAGGAATCCGTCATATCTATTCATATTCTAAATTTCATCCTGTTTTGTTGAGAATCAAAAAAGTTAGAGGCATTTAAAGTTTTAACCAATCAGATTGCAGCGCACGTGCATGCGTGTGTTTTCATGAAAAATGTTATATATCATACTGTAGTATATCCTCATGCATGACTATGTTTAAAATGTCAAAGCATTTCGTCAAAAAACAAAAAAGATATTGAGATTTTTGTTTCAGCCAATCAGAGCGCAGCGCACGTGCATGCGCGTGAGTTCATGCTAATTTGACCATGTCATATTATCTACACTATTAATATATCCTTATATGATGAGTTTTAAAGTATTTCATCGAAAAATGTAAAAGTTATGGCTATATAAAGTATATCAGTCATTTCACTCATTTCACGCGCCCGCACGTGCAGGCGTATGCGCGCAAAATGACCTTCGTTCCGCACACCTACACTTCACACCTATTAACCCTAAAAAGGTTTTAGCTCAGTTGGATGAACAGTTTCTGAGAACACTCGCGGACAAAAAAGTACCGGAGAACAAAGAAGAAAAAAAAGAATAATAATAATAATAAGAAACCGAGTAAAAACAATATGTTCCCAAACTTCGTTTGGGGAACATAATTATATTCTGATATCCAATATCATGACAGGAAATTCAATTTATCATTGAGTCAAATGTTTATACTAATATTTCATTGTTTCATTCAAATAGTTCATACTAATTGTTAGTCCATTATTTACACACTGAGTTGACGACGGATTTTGCCGCTATTTCCCGTTCATGACTAGGTGCACACGGCGAATGTGACCGGTCATCAGGGGATGCTCACTCCTCCATGGCACCTGTTTCCACCTCTGATGATTCCGAGGTTCATGTTTGCTCTGGTCCTACTTTGTAAATTCTAATGGACTTTTGAGCTTGAATACTGTTTATCTCCATATATTTCATCCATGATTGTAATTGCGTTCTACTTTCTCTGAAATTGTCTTCATTTATCAGTTTCTTCCAAAGGACATAAGCAACCTACTGATAATTTTTCAAGATATTCTTAATATAAGATTATAGTGCCATCAGATGTTCGGAGACAAAATAAGTCAGCATGCATTACCAAGGGTTTTGAAAAGATATAAACTGATGAAAATTCTTCTGAAATTAAAAGAAAAATGTACAAAAATTACTAAGCATATATATTCTCGGTCTTTTGTTTATCCAAACTTGTTTCAAAAGAAGTGTACCAAAGCATATATAGACATTAAAATGTTGCACACAGCTCATTCAAGTTTTGGAACTCCTCAACTCCAGGGAAATGAATATGAAGTTGAAGTTACGTTAATTACGTTGCACATGTCCTTAAAGTATCTGTATGTTTTTGAACATTGTACTTGAAAAATAGTACGTGTTCTCTAAAACACTGTTTTTTTATTGGAAAATTATCCCCCTAACCTTAATGGTGCTATGATTTGTTTTAAGCTCTCCTGGTCAGAAACCAGAAGAGATTATGCGATAGTAATGCTTCCGTTGTCCGTCCGTTCGTCTGTCCGTCTGTAAACAAGTTTTCAAAATGCTACTACTCCTACAGTTTTGGTCTGATTTCTATATAACTTGGCACACAAGTAGACTACACTAAGAAACATAATTTACTGCATCGGTTTTTTTATTTCGATGAACGGTGTTGCCATGGTTACTAAAATAGAAATTTCCATGAAATTCCTTTAAAACCCTACTCCTCCTACAGTTTTGGTCTGATTTCAATATAACTTGGCACACAATTAGACTACACAAAGATAAATAATTTTATTTATTTCTGCGTGTTGAGAAGACGAATCCAAGTGCTACTTTTCCTTTTATACACGTACAGACCAGTAGAGCTACAGTCTCATCAGACACTTATTTTTTTTACCACTTGACTACGTACTGACAATATTTTACACATCTCAAGGTTATCTTCAAAACATTTTAATAGAATTTTTACTTGCAGGGGAGAATAAATATTTGTCCTTATCTTTGTAATTGTAGATTAAAAAACAAAAATCAGAGCAAAGCCGCTTTCAGTGATAAATTTTCTTGTATATTGACAAACAATTTACATGTAATCATGGTGTATTTTTTGTTTCAGCGTTTACGTGAGACAGTAAAGTTGGTTGTTAATGAAGATTTTGAGGAACTGGATGTTACCATGTATACAAACTGTAATACAGGGGGGTATGTAATACATAACAATACTTAAAAAAACATATCATGAATTGGTTGTGAGACTAAAATTACTTGCATCTCTGGTCCCCCTTACAAAATTACTTCATAGTAAACTAATATATATATAAATTATTAAAGTTATCTAAAATAACTATGGTATCAAAGTTCTCACTATAATAAATCAAAATATATTGACCATGACTTTGAAATCCTTGTTAGGGCCCCGCAAGGATTGCTGGTTCCCTATCGTAATCACTCTGTCTATCCGTCCGTCTAGCTGTCTGTCTGTCCGTCTATCATTCTTCCGTCCACCAATTTTCTGTTTTTTTCTAATATGTTTTTTATGGTTGTCCAATAAAGTTCAGATTTGGTATTATAGTTCAGTAGGAAGAAAGGCATAGTTTGATGTTAAGTTTGGTTCTCTTCGTCTTCTGATTTGGAGCTGGGAGATGAAGTAGAATCTTTAACTATACATAAGAATGAATGGGCAAGGAGAGATAATTGCTAAGAATGTATCTATTGTAAATTATGAAAGCTGTGCAATGAGTCCCTTGGGGTTAATCAACCTTCCACTAGAAGGAAATCCTAAGCATTATCATTATATGTCACATTGAGATTATTTACTGTACCACCTCTGTCTGCAAATGAAGTTAAGGTCAATTTTGTATGATGGGCACATTCTCTGAAATATGGATTTAAATAATATTTTGGTTAAAATACCGTACACCAAGAGTTGTGATTTTATTGAAATCGAAAAACAAGATTTATATTAAGATATCCTTTATTATTATTTCATTAGCTCACCTGAGCCGAAGGCTCAAATGAGCTTTTCTGATCACATTTTGTCTGTCGTCCGTATGTTAAATTTTCACATTTTTGACTTCTTCTCAAGAACCACTGGGCCAATTTTAACCAAACTTGGTACAAAGCATGCCTAGGCGATAGGAAGTTTAAATTGTTAAAAAAGGGCCAAGACCACTCACAAGGGGAGATAATCAAGAAAATACAAACACAGGGTGGGGTCATTAGAAAAATCTTCTCAAGAACCACTGGGCCAGAAAAGCTGAAATTTTTATGGAAGCATCCTGGGGTAGTGTAGATTCTAAATTTTTCAAATCATCACCCCCGGGGGTAGGGCGGGGCCACAATAGGGAATCCAAATTTTACATAAAAATATATAGGGAAAACACTATAAAAAATCTTCTTCTTAAGAACCACTTGGCCAACAAAGCTGAAACTTATGTGGAAGCATCCTGGGGTAGTGTAGATTCTAAATTGTTCAAAATTGCGACCCGCTTGGGGTAGGGCGAGGCCACACTAGGTATTACAAGGGGGAAATCTGGTAAAGAACGGCATCACCAATGTTACCCAGGTGAGCGATGTGGCCCATGGTCCTCTTGTTTCCTTTTTTTTTGCTGCCTTAATCCTGTCTGTTAATTTTAACAGGTAATCAGATAATAACCCCACTCTTTCATTGCTGAAAATTTAGAAGGAAAAGATGAGAGAACAGTACAATTAATCCCCCCCTGGATAAATTATATTACTTTCTGCAGACAATTTAAAGGCTTATCTTTATCTGTAACGTGGAGATTAATGAACACCTTTGTCTGCAACTGATGTTTGTTTTGAAGTTGAGGTCAACCCTGGGTGATATTTGTATTCACTGAATGCTAGCATTTTATCAAACACCTGCTTAAATCTTTTTTAAATACACATTTAATTGAGCTATTATAATACATGATTTTTTTCCTGTTTTATATAAATACAAGATTACACAGATTTTTGAACATTCAGGAATATCTTGAAATTTTAAAAATACAGCTAGTTGTTGCTTATATTCTTCATATATATTTTTTAAAACAATGTAATAATATAACATATTCTCAATCCTCATTCCGTATGCTGCACCCTTATATTTCTACCCCTCAGCGGGGTCCTTGCTGACTGGTCAGTTTTCTAGTTGTTTTTTTTTTGTACTTATTAAAATTTCTGCAAGCATTTTTTGCACTTAATTAGAAGGGAATATCACTTTTATGTATGTACATATTTAAAAATTGTCATCAGTTAATTTAAATTAAAAATCTATAGATCTATAAAATAGATGTATTAAATCTTTTACAATAGTTAAATATAATACATTTTGGTTATGGTTGTTGTGTCTCAAGTCATTGTACAATAGTTAATAACTGTAATAAATTTTCGTTATGGGATCAAGTCTAAAAAATCTTTGAAACTGAAATTGAGTAATTGGGTCTTAATGCCATTTTAGACGACAAGCAGACAGAACTAATATATGTACCGGATTAACAATTGAGAAATGGGTGAGGATTTTTCTCTTTGAAAACTAATTCACATAAAATTATTTTAGTCACTTAAAAGCAGCATTATGCATAAATTCAATCATTTTTTTCTAAAACATTTTCAACTGAAAGCTATCTCTTTTTGTTTTGTTAAAAAAAGGTACAGAAAATAAAAAATAATATATACTTTTTAGGCTAATTTTACTCCGGTAATAAAGTCTACTTTTACCGCCTGCCCGGAGAATAGAAATCTGACCTTCACCATTTTCCCTGAGGGCCTCGAGGAGCGTGTTCAGGTGGACGTAGAACACGTGTGTGATTGTGACTGCCAGCTAGAACCGGAAGCGGTAGGTGGCGTTCGCTAAGATATGGTTGCTAGCGTTTTTGAGCCATTCCAACTTCATTAGACGTCCTTTTGTTACTGGAATTGGCACACTTAAATGTTTTCTTTAAAATAAACAAATTTTATTTCGTTCGTTATACTTACCAGTCATAAATATACATTAGGATATCTTCCCCTTATTAACGTTCATAACTCGCGGGCAAGCGTTTAAAAGAATAAGATTCAAACACTTATAAGACCGAGATCACATCTCAGGTGCTTGCCCAAATCAGTTCATCTTCCGGCGTGCAACAGAACGTTCATACTTTTTTGGCAGAGATTTCTCAGCCACGGAGTGATACAAATACTTTGTATTTGTATAAGGTATTGGTATAGATACTCTCTCATGCTCTTAGTTTAAGTATGGAAGAAGCCAGTTTTATTTCGAACGACGAATTAAATTCGGGCTCGGAATTCCAGAATTTACAGTCAGTAATGGAGGCCAAAGGAAAAAAACCGCGGTCCGGTAGGAAATCCTCCAGCAAAGCTAACGAGAAAATGGAACAATTAGAAAACAGAGTCAACGAAAGGTTAGACACTATGATGAATTTTTTAAGAGAAAGTATTCAAACTTTGTCCAGCAGTGTTTTAGAGAATACAGCTTCTCATAATGTACACGAGACAAACGTGTCTCATAATTCGTTAGCGGATCAGGATACCGGTGGTTTATCCACGCGGAGACCTGAGCCCATGGTATCAAATGTAGACGATTCATCTGGAATGCGTCCGATTATACCTTTGGAAAGTGAAGTCCAAATTGAAGGGACATTAAGTGTGCCTGAAATGGACGATATGATATCATTAGCTCCAAGTGTCAGAGAAGTACGTGAGCTATTGGGTGATAACGAATCCTCAGTTCAAGAGGAATCTATTACTGCCCATGATTTTGATAACAATCAACATAAGTTGGACAGCAACAACAACAATAGATTTCAGAACTTGATCAATAAATGTGACGAGCATACAAAAACTCTAACTGATATTTTTGGCAATGTTTCGTCTTCAGAGGAAGAAAAAACTGGATTAGTTTTAGACAAAACACAAGAGGAGATCTTGAAAAAGTCATGGAGAATTACTGATCCTGAACGCTTGTCTGCTTATAGAGATGAATATATACAATGTTTCCCTGTTCATCCAAACTCGGCAGCATTTCTACAAGTTCCAGGGCTAGATGACATTTTAGAACCAATGTTAAGAAAAAAACACGGAAATAAAACCAAAGGTTGGGGGAAAAGTAAACATTTAATTTCCCAGCCGTACAAAAGTATTGAAACTTTGGCATATCAGGGACAGATGGCTGCCCGTATGGGTATTATTTCATTAAGCTACATGCAGCAAGCTTTAGGAAGGTTGTTAGATTCTATAACTTGTCAAGATGCGGACACAGTTCAAGCAATTAAAGACATTTTCTCCATGTCTACCAAGGAACTAGATCAAATGGGTAGAGCAGGGGCTTTTCACCATCTTATAAGAAGGAAAACTGCAGCACAAGACTCTGGATTATGTACCTTGAAGGATATTCATAGCAAAATTATTTGCCTGCCTCTTTCAGAAGATGGCGTCTTTGGCAAGAAATTAGAAGAGAAACTAAAAGAAAGGAAAGAGCAGAAAGATTCTCTTAAGGATTTAATTCCAGAATGGAATGAAAAAAATCAGAAACGCAAATTTTCAGAAAATTCTGCTGAAAACTCTGGAAATTTTAAAAAACCCAGAACTACTACTGTGTTGAATAACAGTTACAGAACAGCTACTCAGAGACCCAATTACTCAAGACGGTCTTATGACTACAAACCAAGAGAGGACAATTCGAGAA